CCAATGAAACTCTCCTAGTGATGCCTGGAAAATCCCACAGCCCTACCAAGGTGCGGATTGGAAAATGCAGAACTAGTCACCTTTTCTGTTTCCACAGTTTCAACATGGATGCCTTTTGGATACCTATGGTGAAATTGAAAAAAAAAGGATTAATAATAATCCTCCTTAGCTTTGCAGAAAAAATAATCAAGAAAATGCCACATTTGGCAATAACATCAGAAACAGAAATATAAGTGTAAACTCCATGCTTGGCGAATAAGGAAAAAAAATGCCTGAAGGGAAAGCAAACTCGGCGACCTGGCTCTTTGGCCCTGGCCAGCAGCTTTGCATCAACACCGCCCAGGAGACGGGGAGCTCTGCCTCTAAGGAATGCAGCACTCCCAGCTGTGGCTCCCCAGATGCGGAGAAGTCTGCTTCAGATGCTTCTCCTTGTAGCAACCAGCACTACTCACTTCCAGCTCAGCGTCTGATAGATTAGTTTCCTCTGAAATCTACAGAGAAGAAGATAAAGATATTAAGTTTGCCATCTCCCCTCCTCTTTGCTGCCCAGCCAGCCTCATCTACGTAACGCTTTGCCCAAGACCCAGAGGAACAAACCCGGTGCATGGCTCCAGCTGCACGGTGGTGTTTCCTTCATTTTGCAGGAGATCTTCTATCCTTTCTCTGAAAAGGGGGAGAGAAGTAGAAGGCATCTTCTTTCTGGCTGGCCTCTTCCCACAATGGGGAGGGCCGTCTGCAACCAGAAGAACGCCAGCCCAGGCAAGGCAGAACCATTGTCTCCCTGCTCGTGCACAATGGCTTGTGTTCTCCAAAATGGGAGAGCTGGCAAGTTTTACTACTTACTGGATCCACACTGTGCACATTATTGCAAATCACTATTTAAGTCAGTACTTTCAGAAATTCAAAGTAAATGGGGTGAGTGGGTAAAACAATGAGGAAGGAACCAACGTAACTGAATCCCTACAAATATAGCATCAGCAAAAGCAAAGTATCAATAGATTCTAAGGCAAATGCAGAAGGATGGGCCTCTTGTGGGCACCACATCTACAAAGGCCCTGTCCCTACCCCGTTTCCCCCAAAATAAGACATCCCCTGGTAATAATCCCAATTGGGCTTTTGAGTGCATGCTAATAAGGCCAAGCGCTTATTTCAGGGTTAAAAAAAATATAAGAGAGGGTCTTATTTTCGGGGAAACACGGTAGTTACAATCCCCATATCCTGATCATGCAGGAGCCCAAAGCCGGGCCTCTGTAGCTGAAAGGGCTCCAGAGTAATGTACTGGGGTGGTCAGCCTCCCTCACTGCATGAGAAAAGCTGCAAATCCATTTCCAGTCTGGCAGACGGTGACAGAAGAAGAATCCTCTTCCTGGCAAAACTTTGTCTGGCCCAGGAAATAATTGAAAACCTAAATGGAACCATTACCAGTGGTGTTCTGAGTCCTTCTCCAAGCAGAGACTGTATATTTACTCACACAACTTTCTCGATGAACTTCTTCTGATCCTCAGGAACAGCCGATGGAGGCTTGGCAGCACCAGGTGACATATATGCCAAGCCCCCAAGCCCATTGGCTTGAGAGCGCTTCTCGTCATATTGCTCCCGTAACTGTCTTTCTTCCTCTTGATTTAAGTAAGGGATACCTTAAAAACAGGGGGAAGGTGGGGATGAGTGGGAACTCAGATGAAGTTCTGTTTTAAAACTGTTCCAATTTAAACATCTGGGCATCTAGTCATCTTTTCCTATCCTAGTTTCCTACAGATGCACTTTTAACTCTCTTGGTAGGAGAGAATTCTCAGTGATGGGAATTAAACTTTAACCACAAACTATTACAGAAACATGACTTACTTTCTTCATGATCAGATTGCACAATACTGGAAAGAAAGAGGTTGAAGTTACAGCTATAGAAATACAGAGTTACTTTTTAAATATTTACAAAAGGCTTACCGTTTCGAAAAACTTTATTAAAATCAAATCCCTGGTTTGCTAAAAAATCTATACTTGAGCTCTGAAAGAAAAACAGGAAAATAGATTTATAGATGATTCTACAAATTACTTCAATTTAATGAAATTAATTTTCATTACTAAAAATGCCAATTCATGGTGGGCTATATATTGTATATTTTATTCATTTGACAAAGCAATACGATTACAATCTCCCAGATACAATTCAAACTGCTGGCCTTGACGCAAGGCACAAGGAAGCTTCCAGGCAACTGACCTTTTCTCCAACATCAGGCTAGAAGTACTGAGAGTGCAAAGGAAAAAAAATACTTTCCTCTGCAGCCACTTTGCGTTTATGAAACTTTCTCAAATTGACAAGATCCTTCTGACTTTAATAAAAAACTTCTTTTTGATAATTTATAATCTACCTTCCTAATGATAAATAGAACATACAATTCACAGTACTGCATTTGTGTAAGATTGGTAGTGGAAGATTTTGCTTTGGATTCTCTGTTATTTTGGAATCAGACGGGGAAAATACATATATACCTGACAGACAAACTTGACATCTGGTGATGTTCTGTTCAAAGGTTTGGGGAAAATATAGAAGTTAAATGATTTCATAATATACCTAAAAGAAAACACAGTTGAAAATCAGAATACAAATTATGCATGCCAGCACATTTAATTTTAAAAACCAAGAAAAGGACATACTTAGATTCTGTGTGATCATACTTAAAAGTGCATAGGCCAAACTGGAACAGCAAGAAATCCATGGAATGCTGGGTAGAAAAAGAAATGAACAGAAATTCTAAGCAACCGGTTATCTTTTCAGAGAAAGGGGGAGGGGGGGAGGCGCAGGCCATACAGCGTTTCCCCCCCCCCCCCCGGGTGCAACGGAGGGGCTCGGGCGAGGCTGCCCCCTCCTCGGTCCCGGCCCAGCGCCCGCTCACCTTCCGCAGCTTCTGGTAGCGCTCCTCGGGCGTGTCGAAGCCGTTGGTCAGCGCGCTCACGGACGGCCCATCGCTGATGCCTGCAAGCAGAACAAGTCCTGAGGCCTCGGCGGGGGCGAGGGGCCTCGTGGGCCGGGAGGGGGGGCGGGGCGGCTCGGCCGCGGTACCTGAAAACTCCCCGTCGATGGCCAGGAAATCGGCGTCCTCCACGGCCTCGTAGACGGTGCCCAGCGCGCTCTTGAAATCTGCGGACAGAGCGAGGGTCAGCCGGGGGGGCCGCCGCCGCCCCGCCCCCGCGCCCCCGCCCACGCCCGCCACTCACTGCCGCGGGTGACCTCCATTCCGCCTGGCGCCGGGTCGACCCCCCCACCACGGCCGCGGCAGCACTTCCGGAAACAAACGCGGCGACCCGGCGCGCAGACGCGTCACGGGCACGTGACCGGAGAGCGTCGCGACCCGCGCATGCTCAGGGGGGGCTGTCCGGGGGGGGGGCAAGAGGGGCGGCGGGGGGGGCGGAGGGGCGGCGGCTGGTGGGCCGGGCGGCCGGGCCTGGCGGGGCCCTTGCGTGCCCGCTGACTCGCCTGGCCTTCCCTGCGGGGCAGAGGCGCCGGATGAGCGGGGCCAGCCCGGTGCTGGTGGAGCTGGACGAGCGCGCGGGTGGGTAGGGCGGCGGCGGCGGCGGCGAAGCGGGGCGGCGGGTCTGCGCCGGGCTCTGACGCGCCCTTCCCCGCAGGCGTGGCGGTGGTGCGGCTGCAGCAGCCGCCGGTGAACGGGCTCAGCCTGGCGCTGCTGACCGAGCTCTGCCTGGCGCTGCAGAAGCTGGAGGACCGCCGGGCCTGTCGCGGCCTCGTCCTCACCTCGGTAGGTCGGGCGGGGCGGGCGGGCGGGCGGCGGGGCAATGGGGGTGGCCGGCCGGGAGAGAGCGAGCGAGCGAGCGAGCGAGACAGCCTGGCGCCTTCCCCCGCAGGCCGTCCCCGGGATCTTCTCGGCCGGGCTGGACATCACGGAGATGTTCGGGCGGAGCGAGGAGCGGCTGGGCGAGTTCTGGAGGGCCGTGCAGCAGCTCTGGATCCTCCTCTACGGCAGCCGCCTGGCCACCGTGGCCGCCGTCAACGTAAGCCGCCCCGCCGGACTGCGCTCCCCGAGCTGCCCCCCCCCCCGGCTGCTCCGTTTGGGCTGCCCGCAATGCTCCGCAGCCGCTGAGCTCTCCTCCCTGGAAGCCTTCCTCCTTCGAGGCACTCGGCCCACAAGCGGCCCCTGGAAACGGGGGAGGGGGCGAGGAATGGTGAAGCAGGGACCCTCTTCCCTGCCCCCCAGGGCCGCTTGTGGGCCGACGCAGCTCTGTTCCTCGCAGGGTTCCAGCCCCGCGGGAGGCTGCCTCATGGCCTTGTCGTGTGACTACCGGATTATGGCTGACAATCCGAAGTACAAGATTGGTCTGAATGAGACAAGATTGGGCATAGTGGCCCCTTTTTGGTGAGGTGTAGTGGAAGCTGTGCAAACAGCAGGATCTTTCCAGGCCCCTCAACCCCTTTTCAGGCCAGACCAGCTTCGGTTTGGCTCCAGTAGCTAGTTGGAGGACACTTTGTCTGAATGTCTCTCTTGCACCCAGGTTCAAGGATGCTTTGCTGAACACTGTTGGTCATAGGGCCGCCGAGCGGTCTCTCCAGCTGGGACTCCTGTATTCTCCACAAGAAGCCTTCAAAATTGGCCTGGTGGATGAGTTAGTGCCTGAAGAAAAGATCCAAGCCAGAGCTGCAGAAGTCATGGCCCAGTGGTTGGCCATTCCAGGTGGGACACCCAGGCCCATTCTCGTGCTTGAGGTCAGGACTCGAGGCCAGCCCACTCCTGGCTGTGTCTAGGGAGAGCTTAATTGCCTCAGGGAACCCTCTTGTCACTCTTCCCATCCTTGTGCCTAGATCACGCCCGACAGCTCTCCAAGTCCGCCCTACGGAAGCAAACTCTCGACCACCTGCTGATGCATCGTGAAGCTGACATTCAGGACTTTGTACGCTTTATTTCCAGGGATGCTATTCAGAAGTCTCTCCAGAAGTACATGGAGATGTTGAAACAGAAGAAGGCCTGAGGGGGGTGGGTGGGTGGGTGGGGGGTTGAGCCTTTCCTCTTGTCAGAGCATGAGGGCTGTCCCTGGCAGCCTCACGGTTGCCCCATTTTGTCCTCAGTAGACTGAACGTGTGGTGTCTGATTTTAATGGTCTTTGCTTAGTTTGTTGCTGGAGTTTGGACTGCAGGGCTCAGCTGGTGGCTAGACAGGTTAAAAATGGTTGTGGAGAGGCAGCTAATGCTTAGTTTTTGGTCTTCCTAAGAAACAGGCGGAATGCCAGTTGTCAATAAATCCTTACAGTAGAGACTGTTTACTTCATTGCTGGTGGGGGTGCCACTGGATCTCTTTAAACCATCTTTGCCAGGTAAGCAAGGTTACCATGGCTGCTCTGGCCACCCCACTACCTGCACTTGACTGCCTTTGTGGGCTTTGTCTGGGCCGCCTTTTCTAGCTTGGCCCTTTGTACACTGATGGCCTCCTACTCTGCTACAGAAGCCTAACTGCTTCAGAGGATTGGAGCTGCTGTGAGGTGCTCCTGGGGGTGGGGGTGGGGGTGGAGCAGGGCACCCATTGGAGTGTCTGGTTGTGTAAGTAAAATGGTGTGGATGGCCATTGCTAGAAACTCTCCCAGTTTTTTATGTGTGTGATTTTCTATTTGACTGGTCTCTTTTTTCCAGTCTGTGGGGGAATCCAGATCTAGGCATTGATTCTCTAAAGCAGTTTCTCCTTTGGGGGTGACCTGCATGTTCTCAAGAGCTGCTCAAGACACTTTGGACCGGGATTGTTCTCATCGGGGGGGCAGAGTTTGCCTTCTCTTGAGCAGTTTGAATGGCTTTTAAAGCTAACCAGGTGACTGTCCTATACTCCCCGCCCTGAGTAGAAATTCCTTGGAGTTTGTGTTCTGAATGGACGGCTGTTAAAAAATGGAACTCAACTCCTTTGCTAAGTTAGTATTTTTTTTATCACGCTGTTTGTCCAAAAGCTGTAGGTTAAGAGGTAGGTTAAGCTGAGTGTTACGGTCTCTGAGTTCTCAGAAGACTTTTGCAGCCAACTAAGGATTTGTGCTGTATATCTCCAGCCTGTTACAAGACCACACCGCAGCCTTACCCATTTGGACAAGGCCTGTCCAGTTGTCTGGAGGGAGACCTGGCCCGAGAAGCAGGCATCCTAGCCTTTCCAGCGTCCTTTGCTTGCCTCTGGCTTAGCAGGGGCTGGAAAGGACAAGGAGGTGGGGGAGATCCAGCAGAAAAAGGGTTGGAAAGATGGGACTCTTGTTGGATGTGGTGGCTGTCGCCCAGGCTGGAGCAGTTGTGTAAGAAGTCCAAGCGCACTTCCAGCTCAGAAACTCTGAAGAAGCCGTTCCTTCAGGATCCCAGCTCCCAGTCAACCCAAGGCCCAGTGGGAATCCAAGTCACCGGAAATCCAGAGGTGACTTGCAAGGCAGGATACGTGGTGCTGGTGCCTGCAGAGTGGTGAGGCTGTGGCAAGAAGCCCTGTATCCTCTCTTCCCACCCTTGTAAGGCCAAGCAGCCTGGCAACAAAGAGCTTCAGGAGGATGTCAGCTCCACTTCCACGGGGAAATGATCACTAACAGCCAGAGCCTGCGATGAGGAGAAAGTGGGAGAAGTCAGGATGCCCCTTGGATAGCATAAGGAGGCTGGCTGGGGCTCTGGGACAGCAGGCAGAGGCCTCCTGAGCTCAGCATTAGGAGCTTGGCTGCCCAGCTGCTTTTGAGACCCTGGTGTGTCTGGCTCTGAATGGCCAAGCAGTCCTGAGGTGGTTGTGACAAGCACAAGAGGGATGTGGAGCAGAACTGAAATCACTAGAGGGGCTGCTTGTGTGATTCAGGGCATGGAGCTACACCCAAGGGCTGACTGCATCCTTGATTTGAGTGGTCCACATCAGGTAGAAGTGCAAAAAGCCTTTGTGATCCCCCCACCCAGGAGATGGACCCCAGGGTAAGTGTGATTACACACTTCAAATTACTGGCATCCTTTTATGGTAACCGTTTATTGTCCTCTGCCTGGGATCTGAAATACACAGGAGGTAGGGAATATTCTTAATTACCGTATTTTTCGGACTATAAGATGCACCGGTATATAAGATACACCAAGATTTCGAAGAGGGAAGCAAGAAAAAAAAAGTTTTTGCCCTTCCTGGCCCCCAGGAGCACTCTGCAGGCTTCCCAAGCCCTCTGCGCATCCCATTTTTCACAAAAAGAGTGTGCAGAGGATTTGGGAGGCCTGCATAGTGGTCCTGGGGGCTGGGGAGGGCAAAAACGCGATTGGGGGGGGGCTTGGGAGGCCAAAAGAGGGTCAGTTTTTTTTTTGCAAAAGCAGGGGTGTTTTTGCCCTCCCCAGCCCACAGGAGCACTCTGCAGGCTTCCCAAACCCTCAGTGTGCCCCACGTTTTTGCAAAAATGGGATGCACAGGGCTTTGGGAGGCCAAAAATGGCTGTATTCGGTATATAAGATGCACCAACATTTCCACCCTCTTTTAGGAGGGAAAAAGTGCGTCTTATACTCCAAAATGTACGGTAATAGTCCTTAGTTGTAGATTGGCATCTTTCTAGGCCTTAAATTAGAACGCTAGATGAAATATCAGGGCTTCTAGGGTGAAATTTTACCTCCTCTTGGCTCAGCTTGAATGCCCTCTGGAAGTCAAACACTTTGGCGGACTTGGGCACAATCCACTTCCTTAGCTTCGAGCCGCTCACCACAATCCTAAAAGCACAAATATAATGCCAGTGAAGGAGAGCTTTCCTTGGGGATGTGCCCTTTTGCAAGGGGGCCTCTGGGGAGCCAGAGGGGAGAGAAAGTCCAGGGATAATTTGGCTCTGATGCCCGGTCGTCCTGGATACTGGAGAGCTGTTGCCTTCAGCATTTGTGAAGGCCGCTGCCCCCTCACCTGTCGTAGGCACAGTCGGAGTTACCCACGGTGGTGTCTGTGTCATCTGAGATGAGCCAATGGAAAACCTCGCTGGTGCGCAGACGGACGGAGCTCCAGTCTTTCTTCCCCACATAGCTGCAATCGGCATTAAAATCCCCCAGGAACATGATGTTCTGCCAAGCAACAGGTTATGGGAAAGGTGCGGAGGTTGACGTCTTATGTGTTTCCTGGATCTGCCCGGGTGGGGCTCTCCCTGCCTCTCTGGGTAGCCAGCTAGCTGCTCTGATTAACTCTCCTCCCACCCTTTCCCAACCCTGCAGTTGGGACAATAAAGGCTGATGCTACTTTTGTTGTAACACTTGATACCCAACCACCTTCCTCCTGGCATCCTCCAGAGCGTGACAGTGACTCCCTGCACTTCTGGAGGAGGCCAGTTTGGAGAAAGCAGGCGAAGTGGGCCCATCAGAAGCTTCTGCATGGGCCAAAAGGTGTCCTGAAGAATGGCTCCTCTGCATGCAACGCTCACAGCGAGCGGCAGGGCCTCTGCTCACCCCGTGGGGCCCAGCTGCTTACGTCAGTCTGCCACTTGTCAATGATCTTCAGATAGACGTCGTAGAGAGCATCGATTTCTGCCACAGCCTCACTGGGAGGGGTATGAAGGGGCACCAGCACCAGCTCGTTCTCTGCAAAAGAACCAAGTCAGTGCCCCAAACGGCACTGGTCCCATGGTTACCCCCAGGAGAGAACGGGATGGGCGGGTGCGGAGCAGAATCTGTGCCCTGAAGCCTTTAGGAAAGGAATAAGAATGGCTGCTCTGGGAAGGTGGTGCCTTGTGGATCTGTTGGCCTAGCCGTTGTCTTGGACCCCTGGCCTCCTGCCTGCTTCCCCAGAGCATTCCTTCCTTGATCCGATTTGTTCCCTGACTTGGACTGCAGGAAATGCCGGCTCTTAATCTGGTATGAAACTGGCCCAGCCTTTGGCTTCACTCACTTGAGCTAGAAGCAGCGAACTTAACGATGAACGGAGGCCTGCTGAAGGTGCTGTCGGGGTTGGGGTACTGGTCCTGATCCACAAGAGAGAAGCTCTGTGTCCTGGAAGGGAAGCCGAGAGAGTGAAAGGAGGAGGAGTGGGAAAGGGGCCAGCCTCGCTTTCTGAGAAGGGCACCTGCAAGCCCTACCTGTACAGGAAGAGATACATCTCTTTGTAGTTCTCCCGGCCCAACGACTCGCTGGTCACGTAGTCGTAAGAGTGCTTGGAGGCTCTGCAAGACAAGAAATGGTACAGCAACCCCAGGGCTGTGGTCTGAACAGGGCAGCCAAGCAACCCCCCCCCTCCCCATCTCAGGCTGGTCCTTTCAGCACTTCGGGTGTTTTTTCCAAGCCTAGGCAGGGACCACGACCTGCCCAGAGTTCCTCCTGTTTAGTCCTTGCTGCGTAAACCAGGCAGGCGCCATTTTGCCCCGGGAGTGCATTTGGCAAGGGAGAAAACCAGCCATGAGCCTCACTCCTCACCCCGCTGACTCCGAGCCGCTTCATTACCTGTTGAGTCGCTCCAGCAGTTCCTGGACTGCGCTGAGATCAGCATCCCTCACCTCTTGCACTAGGACAAGGTCGTATCGGGACAGGATCTGAAATGGGCGAGCACAGCTTGGGTGTGAATGGCAGGTGCTGGCATGGGAAGGTGGGCAGAAGGGCCCTCTAGGCAGATGGAAGCCAGCTGCCCCCACAGGTGGACCTGACAGGGCCCTTCTTCCCAACATACTTTTCAGCACCAATACCTCTTGAGCAGGGACGCCATCTACTGACAAGTCACCTTCCTCTGCTTCTGAGCTGGCCTGCCATCTGACCACTAACAGTTACCTGCCCTCACCTTCACAATAATTTTGGAAACGCTCTGGTCTGACAGTTTGGTGTCTCCAAAACTCCGGATGTTGAAGGCACAGATGTGCAGGGCTGCTGCTGCATGGAGCATCGAGGCCAGCCCAGGGAAGACAGCTGCTAGTTTCATGCTGCTGCCTAAAGTGGGAGGGGGGGGAGAGAAGAGGGATGTGGACGAGGCAGAGTGGCTACCCGCAATTTGACTTCATGGTCAGCTGCTACTGTGGCTTTTCCCAACTGGCGGTGGGGCTGCACTGACAGCCCCTAAATGGCTCTCTGTTGCTCTGTCCGTTTTCAAACTGGAGGTGTGTTTCCAATGCAACCCATGAGATGCAAGAGCAGAAAACCATCTGAGAAGCCTCCCCAATGCTCCCCTTAGGGCCTCTCAGACAGGAGCAGCGCTGGGCTCCCTGGGGCCCTTGGGAAGTCAGCCCGGATCTTCCTGAATTTCTCAAAAACAGACTGGGAACCTTGTTCGCCTGACCATGTGCAGCTCATCCCAGTTCCTCCCCAAGCAGAGAGCCTGAGACGGTCCCTGCTCGACTTTGTGGCCCTGGACCATGGCTCCCCTGCCCATCTGCTCTGTTCTGCAGACGGCATCCCTGGCCTCTTTAGAGATTCAGCAGAGAAGACCAAAAAAGCCCAGCAGATTTCACTGAATTGGGCCTGATGTCATCTGACTTAGCATATTTATTACTCACAATAAATGCCAAACAAACCAGTTCAGTAACATAATAAAGGATGCGTGCTCAAGCTGACCACTCTGCTGCACCGCCTGTCTTCATTTCCTCAGTTTTTTGGGGCAGCCATGCTCTGTTCCTCCCCCACCCATTACACTTGGGGAATGCAGCTGGCTGAGCCCTTCCTGCTGGCACTGCTTCGCTTTGCTGTCAGCCCCCTTCCTTGCTGCTGGACCTCAGCTTGGCCTTTGGACTGCCTCCCTACAGTGGAGGGCTTCTGGTGCAGAGCACCCTAGGGCTGAGCAAGGAATTTCCCCCTTCTGTGAGAGAGTTTATTCTTCATTAGAGCCATCCCAGCTGTTGTCTATTGCCAAACCTCCTCCAAGGTTTTGTCGCTGTGAGCTCCAAAAGCTTTGTGCCAATCTAACCAGCAGTTCATTTCCTTGAAGGGATCCCAAAAGAAGAGGGAGCAAGGAGTGAGAAAATGGCCATTCCCTCCTCCAAGGGCAGAGCCAGGGAGCTTCGAAGGCCTCCACTAAGAAGGTGCCTACCTTGAATTCCTTGAAGTCCAAAGGTGGCTTGGCAGAGCCTCTAAACTCCCTCTGAGCCCTGGTGTATCCGGCTTCTCCCTCTGTTTGAAACTGCGCCAGGTATTAAGAGGAGAAGAGAGATACCTCCGTCCCCCCCCCACCTGCCACTTGGCTGCAGTGATGCAAGGGCCCTGCCCTGGTGGGGGTGGAGAGGATGCTCTGAGTCTTGCTGACTCCACCCTGGGAAGCCCCGGCAGCTCTTGGCTCACCAAAGCCACAGAAGCTGTTGCGCAGGGGTTGCTCTTCCTCCCTTCCCACACAGCCATTGCTCAACTCTTGGATGGTCAACAGGTTGAACTTGCTAAGCACGCAGGTTTGCCGAGAATTTTTACCAGTTGGATTTTAGCTGAAGACTTGCTGCCCCTTGCCCAAAGGGCTGAGTCCATCCTGGGCTTGCCCAGTGACTTCTCAATTATAGAACAAACTTGTCACTCAAGATTTTAAAATTGGGTTGAAATGTTCTTCCAGTTTTAGAATGGAATGTGGAAAACATGCTGAGCTGGAGAATTGCCTAGGGCCAAGCATGCCGTGTAAAAAGCCGACTGGAGTGGGACCGCAGAGCAACTTGAACAGCAGCCTTGGAAGACAAAGGGGAGACTATCCTGTGGGTCCATCCTTGGGGTCAGTGGAGGCAGAAGTGGGGTGTGAATTGGGGAGAGGAGGAGGAAGAGTCCCTGCTTGCTCTTCCCAGGCAGGTATAAGGGTCCTCATCCGAAGCAGTGATGGTGAGTTTGGGGACCAAGATGGCTGCTCCCAGTTCCAAAGAGCTGTGCCCAAGGGAATCCAGGTAACCCTTGGCAGCTCAGCAGAGCCTGCTTAGAGACGTCCAACCAGACCGACCCTTTGCATTCACACATGATGTAGCTGCTTTGTGTCTCACGTGAACCCAGTCATGGTGGGTTGTCCTTGGATTACAGTAACTCAGTTGTGGTGTCCAGAGTAAACTATGGTCCCTCATGATGCCCATTTGCCTGACAGGTGGACAAGCCCAGAAGCAGCAGGGTGGATGCTGGCTGGCTGAGGGGGATGGTAGACCTGACTGGTGAGAGCAGCTGGAAATGGCCGGCCATCTTTCACAACTGCTGTGGCTGCTGCATCCTTTGCACAACTCTACTCTTGTGCTCTACAGGATGCAAGTGGCCTTGGGAAAGAGCCCTCGGCTTGCTGCAAGGCTGGATAGTTCGCAATCTCTGGACCCAGCGTGCCAATAGCAGCCCATCACCTGAGGCATTGGAGTCAGGCTGAGACCCTCAAGGGGTTTGCAAGGGGCGAGAACGCTTGAGGAGCAGCCAGGGCAGCAATGACTGGCGCTGGCAATCCCTCAGCTCAGGGGGTGTAACAGCCCCTTTTGGCACAGGCATCCAGGCTGAAGGATTAAGGCATCTCCTGGCAACCTTCTGGGGGTGTGGGTGGTGGATGTCCCAACAGCCAGCAGCCGGGCCAGGGTGGGCTGCACAGCTTCTGTCTGCACAGTTCCTGGGCCTGGACAGTCTCTGGCTGCAAGGAACGCGCCCTTGGCTGCCCTGGAGGGGAGTGGCCAGGCAGAGGCACCTTTCCGGTAACCAGCCATGTTCTCCAGGTGCTTATTTGTTCTCTGTGAATATTTTTCATTTGGCATTGTTGTCACTCATCAAACCCATAAAAGCATTTGAATGCAACTAATCTTTTTATTATTTAAGCTTCTGTTTGTCAGAAAGAGCGCCTGCTGAGGTTTTGCCCGTCTCCTGGGCCTGTGAAGGGAGCCATGCTAGGCTCTGAGGGAATCAAAGCGGCTTCTTCGAACTGGCTGGCTAGGCCTGGAAGGCTCAGGTGGATTTCAGGGTCACCTCCACCGGGAAATGGTCACTTACAGCCAAGGCCTGCCAAGGGCAAACACACACATTAGAGCAGGAGCCAAATTTCTGGATCAGGCTCAGCGCTGCTGTGTTCAAGAATGGGTCAAACCTTCCATAATGCGTCTCCAACACAAGGATTTGGGGTGGAGAACCTTGGAACCTCCAGCCCTCTTTTGTAACAAGGGAAGCTGTGGCAGAGCCCGGAGTCATGCCCAAAAAGCAGCTCTCGTCCCCTGGCCTCAAACCGCTTCAACTCACAAAAGTGGTTTTTCTCTTGGGAAGGGTCAGAGAGGCCCAGGGTGTGTTCCAGGATGGAGGCAGTTTTCAGGTTCAGACCACCCCTCCTGACCCGCCAGATGTTTCACCCCTCCTCTCTCTTCTCCCCCAGAGGTTGCGAAGGAACTCTCACATCTTTGGAGCTCAACTTCAGGGTCTTCTGGAAGTCGTCCACTTTGGCTGTTGCAGGCAGGATGCTGTCTCTCAGCTTTGAACCCACTGCCACAATCCTGAAGCCAGACACCGTTGGAAAAGAGCACATGAAGCCTGAGGGTGACGGGAAGCTCAGGGAGAGCTGAAAGCTTTGTGAAGGGAATTGGAGGTGTGGTTGCTAACCATGGATGAAGCAAGAGAGATGGTTTTAAAACGGGACTGTGCCAGTTGGTGGGCAAGGAAGTCCTTCTGGGCACCTGCCCAAAGAAGAGTATGCTCCTTCTAGCATCTGGGCAGGTAAATGCTCTGCGGCTGTTCCTGGCCTTCTCAGGGAGGCCTCTGATTAGCGCTGGCTGGGGATAGACTGGTCAGTCCCAGCCATGGCTGGCTGGCGAGTACTGAAGGCAGCGGCTGCCTGCACGGGAGGTTGTAAGAAAAGGGTGCCCGCCATCTCCCCCTCTGCCCAACTGAGAGCTGCCCACTCCTCCCACCTGTCGTAGGCACAGATGGTGTTGGTCACCGTGGTATCTGCCGTGTCTGGGATGAGCCACTGGAAGTCCTTGCTGGAGCGCAGGCGGATGGAGGGCCAGTCCTCCGCCTGGACGTAGTTACAGTCGGCATTGAAGTCTCCCAGGAGGAGGGCATCCTGCCAGGGGAAAGAGTAGCATGTGTCCGCCTGGCACTAGGGTGGATGGCAACTATTCCACCAGCCCGCAGCTCTCCAGCTTTGTGTTGAAGGGGAATGGGGCCCTGGAGCCCTTCCAAGGGAGGCGCTTACCGTGGCCCCCCACCTGTCTTTCACATCCTGGTAGACGTCATAGAGAGAGTCAATCTCAGTCACTGCGGCTTCGGGAGCTGCGTGCAGGGGCACCAGGACCAGCTCTTCCACCGCTGGGGAGGGGGGTGGCAAACAGAGAAGGTGGCTTGCAGAAGAGACTCCCCCCCCAGCCTAAATGCTTCCCTTTGCCAGGTGTTTCCTGCCACTAGTTCCCTTGGTGGGGCTGCCCCTCTCCCAGAAGTTGCTTGGCCTACTTTTTGGGGAGGGCTGCCCTGCACCAGCCTTTACTCCTTGCTGCACTGAACTGTACCAAGACGCCGGCCGGCCACAGCCTGGCTTGCCAAGCTTACAGGCCACCTGAGAAGTCCAGCAGGGCTGCTCACCTGCTTGAGGGACAGCAAATTTGACAATGAAGGGCTCCCTGCTGAAGTTGCCGTAGGGCTCACAGCCGTCGTCATAATAGTAGCTCTCCACTGGAGAGACCCTGTCCTGCCTGGACCAAGAGAATAGCAGCCACCAGTTTCTCCCCCTCCAGTGGCTCTTGTCCTCCCCCACTGCTAAAGATCTTCCCCTCGGAAGCTGGAGGGGCAGATGGGGAAGGGTGGGAAGGGAGAGGAGCAGAGGGATGGCAGGCATTTATTTTTATAAATAAATCTCCCATCTTTCCAACAAGGATGTCTGAGGGCATTAAGAACAAAGCAGAAAAGCAATTAGTCTATAGAAAACAAAACAACAACAGCAAAGGACTTCAAAGCCTGGTGTGTGTGTGTGTGTGTGTGTGTGTGTGTGTGTGAGAAAGAGAGAGAGGGAAATGCACAGAATAGTGAGGAAAAGGAGACTTGCTGAGATCCAGAAACTGACTGGCACCAGCAGCAGCAGATCAGCAACGATCTTCAGGATCTCTTTGGCAGCTGCCTGGGTGATGTTTCCACTTGGGCCCTACCTGTAAACGAAGAGGTACTGCTCCTTATAGCTGTTGCGCCCCAGAGGCTTGCTGATCAAGTAGCCGAAGGGATCTGGCGATGCCCTGGTGAAGAAAGATCATGCTGGGGGGCAGTCATCTCCACCAGGCCTGCTGAACTCTGTACTTGCTCAAGGGTCTCCCAAAGGAAAAATCCACCCACCAGGAAAAAGCATTTGCTAGGGAGGCGGAGGTCTCCACACTCTGCTTTGCCTCCATAAGGGGCTTCGTCCCCCTCAGCAGCTGTGAAACTCACCCATTGACTAGCTGCATCAGCTTCTTGACCGCGCTCAGGTCAGCGTCTCGGACTTCCTGGATCAGGACAAGGTCGTAGGTGGTCAGTATCTGGAGGGACAAAGCAGAGGACCTGTCTGTCTGCAGCAAAAGAGGGCAGGCAGCTCTGGGTCAGCAGGTTGAGAGAGAGCGATCTGGCCGAGTGGGGCAGGCGAGCTCTGAGGCAGCTGGGACCTCAGCCCAAGGAAAGCTGTTCCTGGGCCATGGATGGGCACGAGGGGACGATGGGCCAGGCTGCCAGAGAAGAGTCTCCCCAGTGCAGTCAGAGGGACTCACTCTGACAATGGAGCTGGAGATGGTCTGGTTGGACAGCTTTTTGTCCCCAAAAGCCCTGATGTTGAAAGCGCCGATTCTCAGGGAGAGGGTGAGCTGCAAGAGGGAAGCCACCCCAAGGAGCGCCAGCAAGAGGGTCTTCATGGCCTCGTCCTGTACAAGAGAAGGGAGCATGGAGGGTGTGACACTGGCGCTCCCAGGAGGCAGCTGGGCCCTGCGCTTTCTGCCAAGCGCAGAGAGCGCTTGGCTGCCAGGGCAACCAAGAAGCATTCCTGATGTGTTGATAGGACATTATCCAAACAGGGTGAAGAAGAAAGCTGGCCTGGCACAATGCTTGTAGTGGCATGAACCTCTGCAGCAGGTGTGCTCGGCCATTGGTCAAATGCAAGGGGAATTCTCTTGATTTGCTTGTAAACTTACAACAGAGGCATTTGCCACGCTCCATAATTTCAGGTGTCTACAAATGCCACAGAATCATGCAGGAGGTGGCACTTCACTTGAATTTGGAAACTTACACGTGGGGCAGGGGAGGGCACTTCACCATCCCTGGGGAAAGTCAGGGGAGAATTTGGAAGGCTTTCGCTCGATTAGCTGACGAGTTGGATGCCCTGGGCTTGGCAATGACGAGCATATCAGCCAGGCAGTGAATGGGCTCAATGCAAGATGGGAAATGAACATTTCCCCCCCAAGGAGGATTTTGGATGGACTGCTGTCCTGTGGCTGGGAATTTCTGAAGACAGCACTGCTACGTCCAGTTGTTAGGGCCGGTTTTCCTGGCAGACAGGTAGGGTAGAGATGCAGCCAGGTGAAGGCACGGAAAGACATGCCAGAACTGGGGACAAAAGCACCAATCTGAGAGGGACTCACCCTCTCTTGGTTTTTAGGCCAGCACCTTCACCACTAACCCCACCTGGCTCTCTAAGTGCGCTCAGGAGGCACTTAGGCATGGGAGCATCCTGCTCCCTCTGTCCAGCCAAACTCTGAGGGTCAGAAAGGTCTCACCCCCAGTGCTGGTGTCCCCTGATGCTCTGGGTCAGCCAAAGGAGGGCTTCGAAAAATGTTCCAGGAGGGGCAGAGCTGCTCCTTACCTGCACAGGTCCAGTCCTGCTAGTGGGGTAGCAGATTTTCTGGCTCCCTTAAATAGGCTGGACCCCTGGCCTTGGCAGCTGTTTATTGTTTCTTATCTGAGTAGGTGTTGGCATCGGGCATGCCCCTTCTTGACCACGTCAGCAGCGATATGGTCCAAGGGCAGATGGGCATTGCACCAACAGCAGAGAAAATGTGGGGAAACTAGTGATATGGCCACGTGTTCTACGAGCAGCACCCAGACCGTTGCTTGCGATGCCAACCGCTTTAACACTGATGCCCAATGGCCGCGTGGAAGGCCAGAGCTAAGCTGGCAGGGCACAAAGAGGGCACGAAGACCCTCCAGTACGGCGGAACCTGATCGCGTGGATGGTGGGGAAAGGCCAGGCTGAAGAAGACGACCTGAGCGAGCAGGGGCGCTTTCTGCCAGGGGAGGACCCAGGAGCTGCGCGGCCCACCCTAAAGAGGACGTTCAGGGCCTCTTCTGCCCTCTGGGCTGGGCCTCCTCGCCCACCACGCTCTGCCCTCGCGGCCGCAGCTCCGGATCAAGGTCTCGGGGCGCACCTGGCCGAGCGGGGCCTTGAAGCGCACCTGCCGGCTTCTCAGCTCCCGGGCCAAGCCGGCCAGCGTGGCAGCCTCCCGGGGGCCGGCAGGGGCGGCTCCCCGGAACGACGGGGACAAGGGCGAGGCATCGCGGGGAAGCGGGGGTGGGGAAGGCATCCCCCCGCTCCACCCCACCACCCCCAACCACCCAGACTGGGAACCAGGCGGGCCACGTGCGCGCGGCGCTGCCGGCAGGGGGCGCTGCGGAGCTCCGCCCTTTTTGGCCCGAGCGGGCCGCCGTCGCTCGCGGCTGAGCGCGGCGGCGGCGGCGGGGAGGTCGGCCATGAGCGAGGTCCGCCACGCGCTGCTCCGCCGGGACGCGCTGAGCGCCGCCAAGGAGGCGCTCTACCACCTGGACGTGCTGGTCAGCGGGCAGCTGCAGAGCGCGGCGGCGCTGCCGCCCGGGGACGCGGGCCCGGTGGAGCTGCTGGAGGAGTTCGTCTTCCAGGCGCTGCAGGAGCGCGGCGGGGCGCAGCCCAAGGTGGGCGGCGGGCGGCGGGCGGGCGGGCGGCCGGGGCTCCCTGGGGGCCCGTGGGGGCTGCGCGCCTGACGCCCCGCTGTGCCCGCAGAGGCTGACGGCGGTGCAGGAGCTGCAGCTGCTGGAGACCCTCTGCGGCTACTTCCAGGAGCAGAGCAAGGAGGCGGTGCGGCAGGTGGTCTTCTCGGCGCTCTTCGCCCCGCAGGGCAACAAGGCGGACGACAGCCGCATGGCGCTGCTGGGCAAGCTGGTCTCCGTGGCCGTGGCCGTCGGCCGGGTGCCCGTGCTCGAGTGCGTGGCCTCCTGGCTGCAGGTGCGCCCCCGGGAGGCGGCGGCGGGCGGGCAAGGGTCCCAGCCGGCCTCACCCTGACCCAAGCATGGGCTCTGTCTTGCAGCGTACCCCGGCCGTCTACTGCGTGAGGCTGGCGCGGGCGCTGGTGGACGATTACTGCAGCCTGGGGCCCGGCTCTGTCCAGACCCTCCAGCACATCTTCAGCGCCAGCCCTCGATTCTGCTGCCAGTTCATCACTGCCGTCGCCATGCTCTACGACCTGTCCTCAGGTACCGTCCTCTCTGCCCGAGGGACGCGGGGGCTGCTGCCCACATTCAGCCATCCTGTATGCGCCACGGGGTCCTGGCTCCAAGAGTCCCAGCTGGTCCTAATGCCTGCGCCTGGCTGGGATGTTGTAACTGGCCTGCAGATAACTGGGCAGGGCCAGGGGTGATCTACCTTGCCCGTGACCCCAGGGCTCCTGGGGATCCTAATTGCTGCAATGAGTGCTTGTGGGCACCCACCCTCCGGGTAGGTACTTTAAGGTGGCTGAGTAGTCGGCTCTTCTGGCCTATCAAAGTGTTTGTGTTCCTTTTGCTTCACTAACACAGTTATTCAGTCTTCGTTAACCTTTCTGCGTTATTAGCTGCCTTGGGTGTTTCACGGGGAGGTTCTTTCCAGTTGTAGTGAAATAAATGTGGCCATTGTTGAAACGCTGTGACAGACAATGGCAGAGGCAGTATCTGGAAGTAAGGGGAAGCTAATGTCCAGTTCTAGAACATGTAAACACAAACCGTTCTAGAACAACTGAGATCCACTTTGGTTTAATAGTTCAGATACTGGCCTAGAGACCAGGAGATGGAGAGTTCTAGGCCTCCCTGGGGGCATGAAAGCCGGCTGGGTGACTTTGGACCAGTCGCTGTCTCTCAACCCAACCGACCACACAGGGTTGTGATTGTGTGGAAAATAGAAGGAAGGAACATTGGTTATGTTCAGCGCGTTATAAAACTAATAAAGGTAAGATTTAAAAAATCCAAATCTATTTTCCACCCAAGAGTCCCTACATATGTTAGCTGAGCCACATGTTGATTGGCTGCTATCTTCCCACCAACATTTTGTTGCCCTTTTCCAGATGAGCTCATCCCTTCCCCTGATTTGCTGGAGATGATCGTCTCCTGGATCTTCGAAGACCCTCGGTTGATCCTGATCACCTTTCTGAACACACCAATTGTAACAAGCCCACCCATTGGCTTTCTTGAGCTCACCCCACTCTGTGGCCTGATCTGCTGGTGTGTGAAAGCCCCGTTGGCTTACAAGAGACGAAAGCTGCCTCCCTCCAATGGGGCTCTTGGCGGGAAGATGGACTTGCCGGACAGCTTTGACAGGGACTGTCACCTGCTATATTCCAAGCTGCACCTCAGCATCCTTCAGGTGCTGATGCTGCTTCAGGGGCACTTGACCGAGAAGAACCTGTATGGACGTCTTGGGCTGGTGACTGGGGAGCAAATGGCTTCCCTGGTGGAGGACGTGCGCCTCCTCTCTGACAAGCTGAACCCTCTCCACGCAGCCAAGGAGATCGAGCTGGCACTGGACCGGCTGGCCCAGGTCTTGCAGGTGGCCATGGCCTCTGGAGTGTTGCTTTGGACAAGAGGTAAGTATTTGTGCGAATGGTCAACCTGAGGGTGCGCTTTTGAGCAGAGAAAAGGGGGGGACAAAGTGAAATATCTCTATTTCCAGATCTGCTCCTTCTAATTTCCCTTATGCTCCTGCAGCCTTCTCTTAGGTAATCTGGGGCAGTCTTGGGTGGGGCAGTTGTAAAACAGCAGATGGACCACATTGATTTTTACCCCTTATTCTAATTACTTTGTTCTCTGCTTTCAGAGAATCTAAGGACAGTGTGCTCTGGACTGCCGCATAACAAGTAAGGAAGTGTGCCATACTTCACAGAAGCAGGGCAGGGGAGCGATGCTAACCCACCCACCACTGAGGCATGTCTCTTCTCCTTCCTCCGCAGCTTGCTCCAGCTGGTGATTTTGGGTCCAGTCCAACCGCCAGCCCATGCTGCTCTGCCCCCAGGATTTTATCCCCCCATCCATACCCCTCCGCTTGGATACCCTACCCACGCCGCTCACCCTGCTCATCCTGTGCAGGCCTTCATGCCGGGCATGGCATTTCCATACCGGCCCATTCGCTGAAGGCTCGGCTCCAGCACTTCAACTTTTCCATGCCTTGTGGAAGCCTTAGAAAAAGAGCCCATTGTTTTGGGGTTGTGTTGGGGGGGATTTCTATATTTATTAGAGAAACAAGTCTTAGAGAAAGAGATTGTCTATTCTGGGAGGAGAGAACTGATGGTGCTGGACATTAACAACGGGGACTTAACACCGATGCAGGCATAATGGATCGGCCATAAGATGTACAGTTCCAGCTTTTGAATGGGCAAGAGCCTTTTCCTTCCTATTGTTGACTTGGTATGATTTTTAACTACAGAGGAAGGCAGGATTGTGGGGTTTTTTTTGCCAATTACCTTTTTGGGTAACTTTTTTTTTTCCGTTCCCCCAAACAGAAGGAATGGATAGTTATGTAAAAATGGCAAAAGGAGAGGTAAATCACATTTTGTAAGCTTTTTGGTCAGTCTTTATGTGGAAAACCTGAGTGCATTTTTAAAAACAGATTTCTGCTTTAAAACTCGTGGTCTCTAGCATTTTCTATACAAGGAGTTGGATAGTAAATCCAAATTTGATTAGAGAAAATGTTCACTGAAATATCTTTTTAGTTAGCTGACAAATTATGATTAAGACTATTTTATAGGTCTACTTGGAAGAGTTTACATTCTGTAGCAAAGATCCCTCCCTTTAAAAGTGTATGACATCGTCAAGAGATGATTTTCCAATTTTAAATGCATTTTATAGTTAAGGAGATGTATTCTGGGCCCCCATTCATCCCTGGACTTGAGACATCAGCTGCTTGTTGGACCTTGACGTTTGACAGAAACCACAAATTCGTTAATGACTTGTTTTAAAGGCCAGATTTCTTCCTGACTTAAACAGTGATGCTCTCTCAATCTTTGAAATACGGATGGACGACTTATATATTAATCAAAACTGAAGGAATTGGCTTTGCAGCAGAGAAAAGTAGGTGTTTTGCCCAAATCGCTTTTGGGAAGGAGCCTTCTGGTCTGAAAGTCAATAGGCTGCACCTCAATGCAAGTTAGATTTATTTCTTGGCTTCTGTATAGAGCCATCAGATTAGGAATTCCAGTATTTCTCTGCCGATGAGCGGAGTTGAACTTCCGTCCTGGGCTTCGGTCTCTGCCCGGCAGAGCGAGAACGGCAACGATAGAGCTTCCATGGTCGGGAGCAGCCCCAAGGTGGAACGCCGGTTCTGTTCTTCGTGGAAGGCCTCAACCGGTAGACTGCTTCTGGGCGTGGAGGATCGCCCGGGAGAAGCAGCGCTCGGCGGAGATACTGCGCCTGCGTCAGCCCGCCTCGGGTCAGGCGAGTCAGGTGACCCTTTGTGGTGGCCAATGGGGCGGTCCCTTATTGCGGGGTCCTCCGCCGCCGCCTTGCTGCTTCTGGTCCGGGATGCGCTGAGCCGGGGCAGCTGCCGCCCCTTCTCAGGTGAGCGGCCGCGAGGGCCGGCACTTCTCGCGGGGGGTGGGGGGGGGGGCAGGGCCGCGGCTGCCGGGCCTTGCCGGGAGGCTCTCCCTGGAGACGGGGCTAGGGCCGCGATCGCCCCGCTCAGCGCCCGAGGAGGCCCGCCCGGGAAGCGCGCCTCGGCCACCGGAACCCCGCAGCCGCTGGCCTTCCAGGGGTCCCGGCGGTGGCGCGAACCTGCTGGACGGGTGTTGACCGGATAGTGATAAGCCTCCAGCGTTATTGAGCGAAGCGGGTTGGAGAACGGTTGACCCGCTTGCTGGGCTGCTTCGCGTCAGTCGACCCCGGGCGCTTCTAAAGAAAAGCCGCCCCTGTAAAGCTTGCTGGGAAATGCGGGCTGAAGGGCTGTTTTGTTGCCTAATCCCTGGAGGGGGGGGGGATGGAGGACTTAGTGTGGATTCAGTTGTGTTATAGGAATGGACATTGAAAGAAATCGTTCCTGCCTTGAGTAACTCTAGAGATGTTATAAAGATGAGCAGTTTCGTTGTTTTCCTTTCCATGTATCTGTACAACTGACCGCAATGTATTTCTGACCTCGTATATTTTTAATTTATCTCGATCCTGACAGGCAAATGTCTGTATAGCTGTAGGTGTACACGGTTATTTATAGTGCTTTATGCAAGAGCAACATAACTATTATCTAGATCCCTAGCTGAGGTTTAATTTTATCATGTAACTAATGTGGCTTTTTGGCATTTTTGTTCAAGAGTAGAGTATGGTATCAATTTACCATCTCATGTAATGGGCATGTACTCTTGCTCTCTTGTACTTGGTCAATTAGTTTAGTCTTACTTGAGCATTTTGCTAAGTGTTGTTTTAGCCATGCCTACTCAGCCTGTCAGACCTTACTGGCTTAATATTTATCAGTAATTTCCGGTGGGAAAAGGATTGTAGCTCAAAAGAAGCAACGGATAAATTGCTTGAGCAGATAACAGGCTTGGGGGCTTTGGAACCTGAACTCCTGCAGTTTTAGAAAATCTTGATTTGGGCTAGGACCAGGGTGGATTTGATTTAAATCGAGTTGATTTAAATCACAATTTAAATCATGATTTAAATCACTAGTAAAAAGGCTTGATTTAAATCAACTCGATTTAAATCTTAATTTTTAAAGAGCAACTGTCATCTCTGCTACTCCTTTGACCCATTGTTGACTCACCGATAGTCCCAGTGTTGCAGAATATATAGCCTCATGCTACATAACTAAGCTCCATTTCATGCTGAATTAACTAAATTATTTATGTATCTTAAATAGAAAGCTATCTTACGATAGATTTTTACCCCAAAAGTTTTTTATTAAAATAAATTCGATAAAAATCAAAAAAATCTGATTTAAATAAAAAAAATTCAATTTTTTTGATTTTTTTAAAAAAAATCATTGATTTTTATCCACCCTGGCTAGGACTGTTGAACAGGACCCTAGCAGCAAAACCCTTAGCCCCACCAACTGCCTCTCTTTTCTTTGCAGGTGTGAATGACAGAGGAGGTGCCTCCGACTGCACTCAGCGAGATATACCTTCGCCTTTTGTGTCATGATGACATAGATACGGTCAAACAGCTTTGTGGTGATTGGTTCCCCATTGAGTACGTTGCATTTGTCTGCCTGTAGCCACTTGCTAGGCCAGAATGAAATCTGTCCTTGAACTGTGTAAAAGGGAGCATGGAACTGGGTTTCCGCTTAAAGTTGACAACTTGGAGGTTATAATGTTTTCATCTCGAGATGATAAAATTATCATCTCATTCAACTCCCTACCGAGCAATCTTAATGTCTTGCTGGGAGCCTGACATGAGCACCTAACAGGTGCCACTGGGGAGGAGGCCCATGTTTTGGAGGTTTGTTAGTGCCAGTGAATTGTAGGATTCATAAAAGACTGAATTGGAATTGGAAACATCTTGCATTTTCTGATAAAATAAAATTGGAATTTGCATGATATATTTAGTAAATGCTACTAAAATGTACCTTATTTTTCAGTGTATAAGACGCATCGGCATATAAAATGCACTTTAATTTTGGGGGAGGAAAACAAGAATTCTACCTCTGCCTACCAGCATTTTGGAACGGTCTGGGGGGAATCTGCCTGCAGCTTCGGGGAACAAGGCAGGTGCCATGATTTGTGGCTGGTCACCCCTCTGGCCGCCCAGCAGGCAGCTTAGGGCAGGCAATGGCCGCAATGACTTCACTCCCCTGCAATGTGAGGAGCTGCCGCCTAAGCCCTCTGCGCCCAGGAGCCGAGCGAGCCGAGCGAGAGCTCCTAAAGAAAAACGCCCCTCCTTTCCAGCCACTGCTGCCTGGATTCCCCAGTGCAATAATCAGAGCCGCGTTTCAGGTGGCAGGCGGCCAATTCCCCTGCAATGTGCAGCGGGGAACTGGGAACCATTTTGGATTTGGGGAGGGGATTGCAGTGCTGCCGCCTGAAAGTGCTTTTAAATATTTTTTAAATATTTTTAAATATTTTTAATTGGTTTATCATTTTAAACTGGGGCCAAATTAATATATATTTTTTAAATTGTTTTTAATGTTTGTATTGTATGTTTTTATCTGGCTGTACACCACCCTGAGTCCCTCGGGAGAAGGCGCCGTATATAAATTTGAAATAAAATAAAAAATAAATTTTGTTCCCGTTGCACATTCATTGCGGCCATTGCCTGCCCTAAGCTGCTTGCTGGGCGGCCAGAGGGGTGACCAGCCGCAAATCGTGGCACCCGCTTTGTTCCCCGAAGCTGCCGGGCAGATTCCCCCCCACCCCAGACCGTCCCGAAGAGGGTTGTTCCTCAGGCTGTGCCCTGACCCAGATCCCTGCTGCCTGGAATGGCCCAAAAATGGCTGAAGGGTGGGGGCTGGCAGGTGGGCGGGGCTACATTCAGCATATAAGGCGCACCCAGATTTTCACCCCCTTTTTGTGGGTAAAAAGGTACATCTTATACACCAAAAAATACGGTATTTTAATAATTTAAAATACTAAAATTAATTCTATAAATTTCTCAGAAATTTTCCTAGTAAACAAAAATATTTTGATGGGCATTAATTAGTGCAAAGGTTGTCTACCATGTTTAATGACCATGTTTAATGACCATTTTCTTTTTATTGGGATGTTGTGGTTTGAGACCGGTATCCCTGTATATGTGAAAATCATTGGTTCCTTCCAAACAATAACAGTGCTGTTTTTCCACAGATACCCTGACTCATGGTATCAGGACATCACCTCCAACCAAAAGTTTTTTTCCCTGGCTGCAACTTACCGTGGCACCATTGTGGGCATGATAGTTGCTGAGATCAAGAGTCGAGCCAAAGTGCACAAAGAGGTAAATATTGAGGCTCTGCCCTGCACAGCCTTTGCTTCTCTTAGGCCTTTGAACCATCCTGGCCTCCCCACCAAATCATTCTTGTGCTTTCCAATGACAGGGCAACTCACTAATCTTCAGGCTTTTATTGTGAAGCTTTAAAGGATGGAGACGGTGTCAGTAACAGAGACTTGGGGCAGACTTCATGGTCTTTATCCTCTTGATATTTGTTTGGGACAACCTGTTTCCTTTCCTCTTTTTTAATGCTTTGAGCATAAGGGGAAATTTGCCAATGGGCCCCAAATCCTCCTTTCCTGCCTTCCTATCCAAACCATTCTCAGACATTCAATAGACATTGAGCATGCTTGAAAAAGAGGCTTGGTTCATCTGTATCCTCACTGTGTCTTACTTTTGAGTTTCTCTCTAGGATGGTGATATTTTAGCTTCTGGTTTTCCTGTTGATACTCAAGTTGCTTACATTCTAAGCCTAGGAGTGGTGAAAGAATTTCGAAAGCATGGCATAGGTAACCGTGTTTTTAATATTTGTATTGCTTGCAAGTATTTATAGGGTATAAAAAAACTGGCTATATATGTGTGTCAGGAGAGCAAGAGCTACATTGTTATTATGCACAGGGCTTTTTAAAACGCAAATCTTACTTGTCTGACCCGGCTCTGTAATTGTGTGTGTCCACTGTCCTGGCAAGATCCCGTCCAAATGGATTCCCTGGTATGAAAGAAGATAGCCTGGCAGCGGAGAAGGAATGTTCAGCAATTCCTGCTCCAGAATAACAAGCCAGTTATCTGTGAACTGATCAGTTTAAACCCTGTGCCAATATAATGGCAGTGGGTCCTTTCTAACAAGGCTGCTGGTCTGGTGGCAGGTTCTCTTCTGTTGGAAAGCCTGAAAGATCACATTTCGACCACTGCCCAGGATCACTGCAAGGCCATTTACCTGCACGTCCTGACCACCAACAACACGGCAATACATTTCTACGAAAACAGAGACTTTAAGCAGCATCATTACTTGCCCTACTATTATTCCATCAGAGGGGTCCTCAAAGATGGCTTCACTTACGTCCTCTACATCAATGGGGGACACCCGCCGTGGACAATTTTATATCCTTTGCTAATGATCTGGCTGCTCCTTGGCCAGTCTGTGAGTTTTGAGAAACAACTTCCCGGGTCTGGGTGAGGAGAAGCCAAAGTCTGAGCCTCATTTTTTTACAGGGACCTGGCACTCAGAGCAAAATCATCAGGTCTGGGTTGCAACACTTTGCCATGGCACTCGTGGGCAACTGCGGGCCCCCATGATCCCCTCTGGCTTTTAGCTGTTCTCCTGGTCTGGTGGGTTCCTTAACAGCAGGGCACCGACTATCTTCAGCACATCGGCTCGACTTTGGCCAATCTGAGCCCCTGCACAATTCCCCAGCGGATTTATCGCCAAGCCCAGAACATCCTCTGCAGCCTTTTGCCTTGGTCGGGCATTTCAGCCAAGAGCGGCATTGAATATAGCCGGACCATGTGACCTGAAGGTAGGCAACAACCCAGCCTGCCCATTGCCTTGTTTTGTGGTCTTGGCGGATCAGGACACGCAGGGCTGATGACCATCATTGCCATGTTTCTCTTTTCCAAAAGCTGCCTTAGTTACCAACATAAGGGAAAATTAATGTTAATAATACATTCAAATGGGGTGAGGAGGGAGAGATGCCCAACTCAGGACAACAATTTGGCTGTGTTCCTGGAAGGGTTGCCTTCCATGACCTTTGCTAGTTAATTCATCAACAATTTGTCATAAAACGCTCCCGGGTTGGAGCAAGTAGGAGGTGCCTCTCCGTTCCTGTGGAGTTATTTGTTTGGGCTGGGCTGGCAGAGCAGATACTTGCTCACTGACGGGCCCAAATCCTGGTTCTTTTCTAGGGAGTCCTTCTCTGCATCTCTGCGGTTGCACAGCTGACATGGCTCCAACTCTCAACCATTTGTGGACTTGGCAGAATAATTCCTCCTCCTCCTCCTGCTGCTGCTGCTACTTTCCCCTCTTCAGTATGAGCAGAAGGAAAACAGGCAGTTCTGCTGCCTCGGCACTGCAGGGCAATGTCCTGGCTGCTCTGCCCCCAACCAGCCTTTCTGCAGTGGGGAGATGCTTGGCACGAGGGGCGCCTTAGAACCGAGAGGACTGTTGGCAGCCGAGGCCTCCCGGGTGATCATTGCTCGGCATCTTTGTCTCCCTTTCAGAAATGCCTCCCTTGGCTGAGCAGTTCATGCCCAGGGGAGCCTTTGGCTCTTTGAGGCTAAAATGTGTGTGTGCTGAAGGACAGACACCACCTGTATATCTTGCTTTCTGCTAGTCTGAACTTGGCCTTGAAGTGTGGACTGGAAGTAGGGGAAGAGCTGGGGGTGGGAAGTGCCCCCAAGTCAAGGCCTGAGATGCTGCCCTGCTCTCCCTCCTGCCTTGGGCCCCCGAGGGCAACTGCAGTGGAGCCCCTCTCCTTCCCAGCGGAAGCAGGAGGCTTGAACAGACCTCGCAAAATGGGCGTGCCATCTTAAGCCCTTTTGGCTCGTTGGACCTCTACGGGGCCAGACGTGGTTTCCATCCCCGGTGTAAGCTCTTGGGATAAAGGGCCAGGTGTTCAGCCTTACACGATATTTCTGGCCCCTCAGTAGCAGTGGGAAAGCATGGCTCCCCCTCTCATGGATGAGCTCCAGCTGTCTCAAGGGCCAACAGTGCTGATCCTTCTCAAAAGGTGCTGTGGGGAGTCTCCCCTCCCCTTCCTGTACCTAGATAAGTAGCATCACCTCCCAAGACCTGCATCTCCAGGCAGTTTACATAACCCAACTGATCCTTCCGGAAGGCATGTGCTTACTGCAAGCACTTGAGAAAGCAGCAGGCTTACACCTTTAGCGCTAAACTGGAATTCACATTTTGGCTCTTTGGCTGGGACTCCTTGGACCTGGGGAGTTTAGGCAGATTGTGTGTGTGTGCGCGCACTTTGAAAAGGGCTTTGAAAAAGATGCGGGGGGGGGGGGGGCTTGCAGTCCTTGCTTATGGCTGGCAGGCTTTACAGTTAGCTGGCTGCATGGAGCAGCGCTGTGCCCTGCAGAGTTTGGAGTGGCACAGAGTTGCTGCTCTTGCTCCCAGCAGGCCTTGGGCAGAGGGGCTGGTTGCGCTGCCGAAGGCAAAATAGCCTACGAGACTCTATGGGCACCTCGGGCAGTTTTTACCCTTCTCTGGGGACCCCCTCAGCTCCCTGAGGGCACCGTCTGAGGTAAAAGGTTAGGGAAGTCTGAAGGGCTAAGGGTCAATCATGGGAACAAGCGACACCATCATGATGTAATGAACACCCTTCAGAATTTGCTCAGTTGGTGAGGCCACACAATGCCACCACAATGACATGGCTTGTGCCAGAGGCCTGTGGCATCTCTTGACTGTGTTGCATGTGGCTGCTCGTCTTCCAAGTGGAAGGACCATTTCAATGCCAGGCCCAGCATAGCATCTTCCTGAAAGGTTTTGTGCTTTCAAACCACCTCTTGCTTGGAAATACTGACGTTGCAGTTTCATCAGTGTTTCAGTTTGATTTCTGAATAGTGCCTCTCCATCGTTCCTGTATGCCTGCCTGTTGTGTAAGCAAATTCTCCCCTTCCTCCCCTGAAAGGCATTTGTATTGGCCTGTCTCCTTATTTATTGAACAGCACGTCAGCCGGTCCTTTTAACTCTCTTGGATTAAAGGGGTTTGTTTTGTGGGCAATTCTCCAGTGTCGTCTTTAAACCGGGTGGAGATGCACTGGGAGCAGATGTGGAGCTTGAGGGGTGTACTGAGCAAGGCCAGGTTTGGACAACCTTTCTTCCATTTTGCAACTATCTCCAGCTAGGACTCATCCTTTCAGAAATAATTACAGGGAGTTGAAACCTGTCTTTAAATAGCGAACTGTTGATTCCAGCAGATGCAGCTGGAAAGGCCCTTCTTGCGAATCTGCCCAGCAGCTGGCTGACTGCTGAGCCCTCCGAAGTAGAAGCCGTGAAATTAGGGTGAAAACTTTGGCTGTTGAAGCAGGTGCTGAATTTTGCTGAGGGTGTGAATTGAATGGCACCGAGAGGTTATGTGATGTGGAAAACATGGATTGCATCCATCTGCGGCATGCTGCTCTAGAGAGCAGGATTTGGGGGACAGAATAGGGTAACCCTCCCCAGCACTCAGCAAAGCCAGAGTTTCAGCCTTGCTGTTTGCCAGAGGGATGTGTCAGGTGGCACAGAATTAGGCTTGGTGAAGTCTGACACTTCCGCTTAGCGCAACTGCACTCATCCACTTGTGGGAATGGCTAAGCCTCGTGGTCCCTGATTAGCCTCTGCTTTCCACAGAGCAGGAAATTCCCAGCTTTTTCTAAATCTGGCCTTCGCCCGTTAAGAGATTATTAATAAAGGAAAATACAATTTTTGCCCAAAATGCTTTTAGCGTTGCCTTCTGTTTACTGGATAGCCTGGGCAACCTAGGAAAGCTTAGCCACTGTCCATTATAAACACAAAGCCAGTTGCCAAAACCTCTACTTCCACTTTCAGGAAGGCCCAGAATGTGGAGGTATCTGCAGCCCCCACCAATTATCTCATCAGCCTCAAAGGCAGGTTATGGCATCCTCCCCTCCTGCTTGGGAACCCTGCCTGCAAAGCAGTGGCGGAGTTGACCAGCTGCTGCAAAGGCCAGTGATGGAAGAGACCGTGAACAACCTTGAGAGACCGAAGGGAGAGCCACAACCTAGAGCATGGTCTGGTTACCCTTACAATAACAGTGGTATTAGAATGCATACGTTTACTTTCTTGGCCTGGATTAGCTCAAAACAGCTGACAAGCCAACACCTCTATTCCTTTGACTCCAAATGATGATCAGCACCAGAAAGTGACACCAAAAGGTTTATTACTATAAATATAGGAACACACCACCTAGGTGTGGAAAGAAGACAGGCACTAGAAGAGACTTGCAGGGAGGTGGGGAGGACAGCGGAAGTGGCTGGCAGCAGAATAAGGGGCCTCTTGCACAAGTCATGAGGGCCGGCCTGGAGGGGAAAGTCCCAGAACCGTGGCTACAATCAGCAGGTGGCAGGGGCTACATCTGGCAGGGAGATGGAGAGAACAGCCCTCTAACTCACAGGCCTGGACGTGGGGAGCTGCTTGAGCCCAGCTGCTCTCACAGAGGCCCCAAATGGCCAAGAACGGCTAAGCGAGAGAGCAGAGGCTTGGAAAGGGTCCCCCCTGGGGAGAGGATGGCCCATGGCAGCAGACCGGGAAGGGGTCTTTCCCATCACGGCCACAAAGGGGTCATGCACGTCCATACAAAGACACATATCCAGAAAAGAGACAGGGTGCTGGCCCAAGACCGGCCCAAAGAAGGAAAAAAACACGTCCATCTTGCTTTGTTCCTGAAGCTGTGTCCCTTCAAAGTAGGAGGGAGGGAAGGAAAAGGGGGGCCAGCTTCTTGCGGCCTCGGTGCTTGGAGTTTGATTCTTGGGCCAGGTACTTAGGACGGGTTTGGCCCACTTTCAACACGGAGGTGAGGCTGAAGGAAGAGGAACGGCTGTCCGGAATTGCTGCTCCCGTGGTTTGGGAGGGCACTGATGAAGTCAGAAGACCCTGGAGGAGAGGACAGAGGCAGCTCGGCAGTGTGGTAGCCCTGATGCTCCTGGGGCTGCAATACTGCTGGAAGAGCCAGGCCTGTTTCATCCTCCCTGAACGGCGGTGAGCAAAAAAGACCAACCAAACTCGCAGCCGAGAACGAGCCCACCCGGTTGTAGCTGCCCTTTCCCAACCCAGCTTCAGAGAAGGCGTCTGCTGACGCACAGGAAGGAAAGCGAAGACGTACCGGCTTACTCCTCTATCCCAACAGAGCAGGCGTCTGGGCCAAGGGCTGCCCAGGCAGGGCAGGGCCGGAAGGCAGACAGAAAGGAGGGAGATGTTAGAAAAAAGGCTCAGAATAGAGGACACCCCTTGTCCAGCCAAACATGGCGCTCCAAGAGGGAATGGTTCCCATCTGCCCCACCCTGCCCGCAAACAGATGCTGACTAGGCCCCTTTTTGAGCCACCGCTTCTCACCCTCTTCAGACCCACAGCACACAGCTGGGCCTCTTACACTGATCTGCCAGGCGCCTGCAGGGGCTCCATCTTCCTTGTGGAGGAAGGCTAGAAGGGCCAAGGGGGCAGCCCCAGCTCTCCCCACTGTAGCCCCCAGGGAGTTACAGAAGCAAGGAAAGTAGGAAAAGGAAGGTGCAGAGAAGCTGGGCTCTTTCCTACCAGCTTCAAGGAAGAGCCCCAAGACCCAGGCCGGACTGCCTGAGTGCCCTGCGGGCCCTTACCTGGCAGGTAGACATCAGCAGGCAGCTCACTTTCCATTTTCTGGAGGGCCTTGGCCTCGCAGGATTTGCTGCTTTCCTGGATAAGATCCTTCCCGGAGGAAGGCTGGCTACCTAGGGGGAAAGCAGAGGCAGTCCATTGGGAAAAGCTGAAGGAGGCCCCAACCCGCTTCCTCTGGCTGCCCAGGACCCTCCTCTGCACACAGCAGGAGTCCCGGCGTCCGTCCTGTCTTTTGTCCCATCACCCTTTCCTACCAGGCCCTTTGGGGTTGAACTCAAGCCTCCTTCCCTAAGACATCCTGGCCACCTGAATCCCCCGTGGGCTCACCTTGTGGCAGAGTGGCAGCCGCCTCGGCTTCTTCAGCTGCCAGGCTCTGGAGGAGAGGAGAGCAGGGTAAGCTTAGCTCTGCATTTCGCATTGCGTGTAAAACAGGCACCTCCATCAGGTGGGGAGCTGTACTGTGCCAGTATTTCGTTTTATGTTACCTGCCTGTCTCCACTTTGCCAAAGGAAACACTTCCAAGGCACAAGGGAAAAGCTTCAGCAGTACCTTCCAGCCATTGGGTGGACTCCCAAACCCAGAGGAAACAATCATTTACCCCTCAGGTTCTGCCTGGACTTGGGCTGAAGACTTGAAGAAGTAGGGAAGATCTGGAAATTGTGGGAGCCCCCCTAAGAGATAAAGCTCCCAAGGACCTCATGGCCCATGTGCTCGTGCTAATGGTCTCCACAGGAATCTCTCGGTAGCGAACCAAGAAGGCCAAGCCCTACACCAGGGAAGGCCTGGAGGCTCCCAGGGGGTGCAGAGCTCAGCCACAAGGTACGGTGCACTCTGGCGTGGCCTAAACTACTGCTTCCAAGACATGCATGGCTGTTCCTCAACATGGCCTTCATTTCACAAACCATGGTGCCGGGCTGACCGCCATCTGCCAAGGATGTGAGAGCCCTTCTAAAATGGAGAGATGTTCACCTCAGGGGAGCTGTCTTCACCCAGGATGTGCCCCATCCCAGCAAGAGGCGGCTCCAGGGCCAGGTCTTCCGAGAATTTCTCCTCGTCTTCTTCATGGATCGGTGAGGAGGGGGACCGGAGGGCACTGCAAATGCAGGGGGGGGGGGAAAGGAGGCTGTAGTGGCCATTAGGGAAAGGCAGCATCTCTCCCTCCCGAAGAGAAGCAAGAGGGATGTGTGGGAACAGCCGGGCCAGGCCAGCCCTTGGCCGCTCACCTGTCTGGAGATTTGCTGCGCTTGTTCTTCTGGTGGCTGCTCTCCATACCTCCTCGGTCAAGCCCCACGAGGGGCCTACTAGATGGAGGGAGCCCGTCCAGCACCCCGGAGTAGCTGATCTCATCATAGAGGGGAGCCGAGGGGATGGAGGGCGAGACAGAACGCAGACCGTTCAGGGCTTCCAGCAGGGAAATGGGCTCGTACCCCGGGGGGATGTTGTCCGAGCACTGCAAGGAGAAAGGAGGACAGTCCCACTTGTGAACAGGGACCAGCACCTGGTTAGCTCTGCTCTCATAACCACAAAAGAAATTGCCAAAGCCTGAATTTGTAACACAAATCCCATCTTTAAGGACAACTCTCAAAGTTGGCTAGAAACATCAAGAATAAAAACCTTGGACAGGGACTGAAAACAGAGCAAAGTTACCCCCCCAAAATCTTAGCACCCCAAACTTCCTTCCCTTGGTGGAGAGCAGCTTTTGGCGTTGCTGACCAAGCACTTTCTTCACTCCGGCCATTTTCACGGCTTCCAGGCAAGGACAGAGCCTCCCTGCTGACGGAGGGAACTTGGGGGAAGAGCAGGCCCTGGGTGGGGAAGAGCAGGCCCTGGGTGGGGGAGGGGCCCCGCCAGGGGTCTGGCTCACCGAATGCTCCTCCCGATCCAGGCTCTGGGCCAAGACAGGACTGAAGGAGAGTGGCGACAAGGCACCTGGCTTCTTCCTCACTGCCCGGATCTGCAGCAGCGCACGGAAGGCTGTGGGAGAAGGAAGAGACATTCCTTGGTGCCCAAGGGGTCAGGTACCCAAAGCGCCCACTGGCCAAGGCATTGGGGTGGAATGGCAAAGGGTCAGACCTCTCGGGGACTCCTGCCCTTCTGGAAGCCTCCCTTCGGCCCCTCTGGGGAGCTTGTGGGAGGCTGATCTCAAACACCCAAAGACAGGGAGACCTCTTCAGTGGACCCCTTTCCCCCCACATACGCAAACGGCAGATGGGACAGTTGTTGGCCTGGTAGCGAAGGGTGTCGGCGCAGGAGTTGCACAGACAGAGATGCCTGCAGGGCAGGATGAGAGTGTCCCGCAGGTCCGAAAGACACACCACACACTCGTTGCTGTTGTCACTGTTTTCATCATCGCAGGGCTATTGGGACATGGGGGGGTGGGAATTAGCTGGGAGCCCCCTCACCTTTCTACATCCACATCTCCCAAGTGGCCGGCCTCTCTGATGGAAACAGCTAACCTGAAGCCCTTCAGCAAGGACAGCAGGGACCCCTCAGGCCATCCAGGGCGTCCACTGACAGGAGAGGCAGAGAAGCCAGAGTTCAGAGTGCCCCTTCCCAGCCCTCAGGGAAGTCCTCTGGGAGAACTAAACTAGTTTTTTCCTGGCTGAAAGGGTGTATGTGTGTGCTCCTTCCCTACCTTGGTCTCTTGGTTATTCTTATTCTCGATGCCATAGATCTCCTGGAGCAGGTAACTCACCCGGTCCACCTGCGGGGGGGGGGGGGGAGGGGGGGGAGCCAAGAACAAGCAGACATTCAAGCACTGACTACCAGTAGATATGTCTCTTGCCCATTCCAAGTAGATTCCCCCAAGATTTGGGTCATAAAGAATGTCTGAAGCCCCCTTTGAACCTGGAAAGAGAAGTGGGTCAAGCTCAGCTGCAGCAGTAAGGGGTGCTGTAGTTCAGGCCTAGAATTAACCTCCTCTAAGGCAGGGCCTCCAAATATTCTCCCCCACCCCCTCACACCAGAGGAGAGGGAGCTGTGGGTCCCACCCCTCCCTGCTGTCAGGCCCCGCACTCCACTCAGAGGCTCTGGAGCAGCACCCTGGCCAGTACTTGGGCGGGATGAGGGGGACAGTCTGGGCATTTCCCTGCTGACCAATAGAGCTTCCCAGTTGTGAGGCCAGAATCCCATGTGCCCCTTGCTGAAACCAGGAAGTGAGCGAGCACAGGGAAGGGCTCCATTGGAGCAGCATTCAGCCCCCCTCCCCAGGATTGCAGGAAAAGACTTACAATCTGCTTTTGTTTCAAGGGCTTTACAGAGAAACTGCCATCGACGTGCTAGTGAGCAAGAAATAAGGGAGACAGATTAGCCCTGCCAGAAGAGAATATAAGTAGCCCAAGTTGCTTGCAATGGAAACCCCCAGCCCAATTTCTGAGATTGCTGCAGAGATTCCTGAATTGGCAATATTATAAGACCCAAAACTCAGGGGATGCGAATGTTTCCAGCTGAAGCAGAAAAACACAGCAGTCAAAATACCACCTGAAATGTTAAGAAGCAACCCAACCCAGTTTATATCTGCAACCACTAGAATGCAACTCCCCAGCCCTCCAGATGCCATGCTGCACTTTAAAGGTACACATCAAAGCTCTGGACAAGGCCAGCCTTTGGGGGAGAGAAGGAATCCAGAGTCCTGCAAGAGAACTTCTTCTTACCTTCTCGAAGGCAGCCAGGAGGATGTGGGCATGGCCAGTCACTTCCACAACAACTAGGAGGCAAATATAAGAATCCAGCTAGGAATCCAGCAGCTGGGCCAACTCTATGTCTCCGAGCTGGGAGGAGATAGTCAGGCAACCCTTTTGCTGGGTGAAACCTCTACTGGAGACCACTTCGGCTCTCCCAGCCAAGACCGGAGTGGGGGCAAGGGGTTCCCTTGGGATGGAGGCACAAGTGGACAAATCCCAAGGACTGAAGGAAGCAACTGATGCTGGGATGCAGGAGAGCAGGAGGCTGGCAGAATGGGAAGCCCCTTCTTTTCAAGCATCCCAAAAGATTGAAAGGTTGGCACTCTTGCCAGCTTTAGTGGAGTTCAGACCACTCAACAAGCAGCTGTCCAAGCCCCTTTGGCCCACCTTTTCAACCCCCCCCCCCACCTGACATAGCCCCAAGGAGTGCTGTCCAACTCCAGGCATGAATCTGCTTCGTACCATCGCCTTCGTCTACCGTGGCTTGGATGACCACTGGAAAAATGCCCCGGTCCAGATCAAAGTTCAGCTGGAAGGAAAGGCCGAGAGATTAGCCACAGACTGAGAACACAAGAGAACAGCCTCTGAGAGGCATCTGAGTAGCTGCTGGCTCATTCCTCTCCTGCTCTCTGATGGGGGTCAAAATGGCTCCTCAGACAGAGCAATGGAGCCGTGACCGATGCAATCAAGACCAGGCAGACGCTGCCTTCTTGACCTCTCAGATCCTCCCTGTGGCTCCCACAGCTGGACTCATTTCCCAGAGGCAGGCAGGTTGGCTCTTGTGCCACATGAACCCAATGGCTTTGCATCCAAAGCCCTGAAGAAAGACCAAGGAAGCCAAACCTCTCCCAAATCACAAACTGCCCTGACTCTCCTCTACTCGGGAAGCAGCTAGAAGATGGGCAGAGTCACCTCTTCATCCTTCCAGTCGGAGAAGTCGATCTTGAAGGAGGGCAGGGAGAACTGCTGGCTCACCCCTCGCTTGTAGTGCACCGTCTCCGACTGCAGAGAAGGGTTCTTTGTGCTGTAGCTGCAGGTGAGGAACAAGGTTGGAGGCGCCATCCCAGGAAGGAGCGCTTGGCTCTATCCCTCTTAATTTCACCCTCCCCCCCAGGTCTGCAAATGAGTCTTGGAGCTGCTACTTGTCAGCTGCAGCCAACTGACCAATGTTCACATTCCTAGAAGTGCCACCAAAAGAAGCCAGATCCGAGAGGCCCGTTTGTTGGTCAACCCCACAGTCCCTGCACTCACACAGCCATGCCACCAATCAGCTCCTCCGTTGCTTGGCAGTAGATGGTGATGGCCACCCGGGCATCTGCATCAAAGGTGAATTCAAGGCTATATAAAGCCTTCTGCTTCCCGTTCTCCTCTGTGGGGCTGTCAACATCTTCTTTGTACCTGCACCAAGGAAGGCTAAGTCAGCAGAGGAACAAAATCCATCCACTGCATCTCCTGGATGGCCAAAAGGTCAATTTGGTAGCTGAAGTCTCTCGATCTCCTTACATTTCCCAGCCTTTTCCAAATACTGTTTCGGTAATTGCCCCCTAATTACACTGTTGGCAATCTCTGCTAAGGTGCCTCTAAAGAGTTCTTTAATACTTGTTACTTCCTTTTTTTAAAAAAAGAGTTTACACTATAAAATAGTAACGAGAATAGACAAAAAGCGGTTTTTTTGATAGCTAGGGACCCCTATCAGCATGTATGTCCATCTCACCCTTCATCTTCCCTTAATTTCTCTGCCCAGGTTCTACTTGGGTCTCTTGGTCACTTCCTTCCCAACTAACTCCCAGCTGCTGCTTGGCCATTTACGAGAGGCCTTCAGAGACAGGAAGATCGGCTGAAGGCAGCCTCAAAGCCTGGGCAGCACAAACAGCAAGCGTTTGCACTGCTGCAGCTCAAACCAAATTGACCCTGTTTGGCCACAAGTGAGAGACGCCATCTCTCATCTGCCAGTCATTGGCGAAGAATGAAAACCATGGCAAGGGAATTCCTGGGCAAAGGGGAAAACAACCCACCAGTAGGTAGCCCTGGCCTTAACCACAGGGAACAGATCAGCCTTCCCAGGAGCCGGAAGAACTTCCAACCACCAGAGTTTGGCTTGAAGTACCTGACCAGACGCAGGGAGTCTTTGCGGATGTTCACCAGGCTCCGAAGGGTCTTTACTGGTTCATGAGGGGCGGGGGTCACGTAAGGAAACTGGAAAGACAAACCGGGAGTCTGTGAGGCAGGGTGAAAGGCAGATGGGCAGCATGATGTGGGGCAAACAAAGGGGATGGGAGACTATCTACACCCCACCCCACCCCGCAAAAGGACTATGGTTGAAGTGGTTTGGCTTCCCTGGGGCTGCATCCGGGTAACAGGCATGTCTCTGTCAGTCCAAAACTTTGGAGCCCAATTAGCATTCCAGGGTGGACTCTCTAGGCACATGGCGTGAAGCTAACTCATTGAGATATGTTCCGGCACTATGAGTTTAGTATATCATTAACTACAAAAACAAAACTGCATTCAAATTCAGAAAAAGCGTCCATTACAATCCAGTATTTCCAACATTCAGTGGGTTGTTTTTTTTTAAATGTAGTGCAAATCTTAAACAAGAACTATGTTTTAAAACACATACATAAAATTAATATATAAATATTAACTTATCCCCTAGATATACTTTCCCCTAGTTCATTTGGATCCTGAATAAATGCGAGGTTCTAAGGAGAAAAGTTCCCGGGGCTGCCTGCGCTTACCTGGACGGGCCGGTTGCCCAGAAAGTTCAGGTCCATGTTCTCCCCAAACAGGTAGCCCTCGGGATGCGGCATGTCGAACTTCTCGCCCCCCATGAAAAAGTGGCTGGCAAAGTAGTTGCCTGATGCCCAGAGAAAGGAAGAGAGAACGTTCCACGGCCGACCTTCCCGCTTCTCCGCGGCCCACACCCGGCTCCCCGGGCCTTCCGCACCGCCCAGAGGAGCCCGGCAGCCGCAGCAGGGCAGGGGCGGCCTCCAGCCTCGCACCAGCCTTCCCAGGCTGCCTCCGGGGCCGGTTCTGCCGGGAGCCCCGCGCCTCTTTCCCTCCGCGGCCGCGGTTGTAGCCCGGTGCTCGGGCTCAGGTAGACTGCCCCGCGTCAGGGAAGCTCTGCTCCTCTGCCCAGGAGGCCGCCGGGCTCCGGAAAGCCCCCACGAAGAGGGGAAGGGTCCCCGGCTGGCGCCCGGGCAGAAGGACGGGGTGGGGGCCGCCGGAGCCAGCGCCGGGCCTCACCGGACTTGGGCGGGTAGCGGTAGGCCGAGTTGGCCTGGATGTCGATGTCCTCCACGCCGGCGATGCGGCGGCTGAGCAGGGAGCCCATGGCAGGGCAGGAGCTGGCGGCGGTCGCCCCTCTGTGTCGCCCGTCAGGCAGGCCTGCAGGCCGCTGCCGCGCGGAGCACCAGGGGAAAGCGAGTCATCACTCCCCGCCCGCCCGGTAGTCGTCGACCGGTTCGCCAATCTGCTGGGACTACGCTTCCCAGCAGGCGCCGCGCTCGCCTCGGAAAACAACAACCGCCCGTCCGCTCGGGCCGCCCTAAAGGGGAAAGGGCGGGAGCTGCGGCCGTCAATCAACCCGAAAGCTAGGAGAAATCAGAACTGTGGCAATGGAGTAGAGCGGAAGCCGCGCACTGGCAGAGCATGATGGGAGTTGAAGTCCGCATTCTACAGGCAGAGCCGGAGCGGGGTTCCGATGGGGCTGCCGAACTCTATCCAGGGTGCTGAAGATCGTGGGCGCCCCGCCTCAGCTTCGCGAGTACCGGCCCGCGGTGGAAAGGCCAGCGAGAGCCCCCAAGCGGGTCCCAAAGCAGAGGCTTCTCAACGGCCATCCGCCTCAACCTCCGGCCGCAGCGCCACCGTCCCACCCGCAGGGAAGCCAGAGATGGCTGGAAATGCGGCGCAGGAGCCGGGCTGGAGCAGCAGCACCGCCCAGCTGCCCACCAGACCTCCTGTCCCGGTGAGGGCGAGGGTTGGGGACCCCGCCCCAACCAGGACGAGGCTGGCAGCTCCTGCAGTGGCCCCCCTGGGAGTCAAGGTGCTCCTGGAAAGGGTTCAGTGGCCCCTAGAGGAAGAGGGTCAAGAACGGAAGCTGCCTGCCCGCCCGTCCGTCCCTCCGGAGCTTCCTTTGGAGCCCCCAGCCACCACCCCACATGGGAAAGGGAGGAGAGGCAGCTCTCTGCCCCCAAGGGCCTTTTGGTTTGGAGGGTGATAGACTGTTGCTGGGAAACATGCCCAATCCCACTCTTATGAGGAAGGGAATGCAAAATCCCAAAAGCCTCCAGCTGCACCTCATGGAAACATCTAGGTATTAGGCACCAATATTTCCTCTTTTTAGCTACCCACCAGCCTGGACTGATCTGCTTTTACCAAGGCATCGGATGACCAGCCTTTCCCTCTTTTGCTAACCACCCACCAAAGGGAACTGCTGAGGTTGGAGGGAAAAGAACCAAGTTCCTTGCAGTACAGAGGCAGCAGTTCACAGCATGTAGAAAAAGAATCTTTATAGAATCATTTTCTCACTAGATGAATGCTTTCCTGGGCCATGGCTGAGACAGGGACAGTATCAGGAATATCTCCGGGGTCCCATACGGAAAGGGAAGGAGAGGCACATTGGTCAGGTTTCTGAAGATGCCAGGGCCCAAACTGGAATCCCTGGCAGATCTTGGCCCCAGGAATACTTGTGTTCACTGTCATCATAATGAATGTTTTGTTTGGGAATCCTGGTTCACCATGGAGAGAAGCACCATGTTAGCCCATGATCTGCTGAACATCTGACGTAAGTCAGGCATGATGGTAGTTGTGGACACAGCCGCTCTCCTTTGAAAGCCAGGCAAGTCTGTGGCCTCTGTTTCAGATGGACGGGAAGCAACTTCTTCCGTTATAGCATCAGAGATCTGGCAGGGATGACCAAAATCTTCAGGGAAGGAGTCTGCTAAAAGCTACGGCTGCCCCTAGAAAGACACCATAATGGAGGCTGACTGAAAGGCCCGGGCCAGATAACACAGCTGAGAGGGAAGGAAGGGAAGCCCACAAGACACCTCCGCCTCTACCACCTCCTGTCCCGTCTGGGAGGAACCTGGCAGGTATTTAAGAAGAGAGAGGAAATGACATGGGGCTCATGGAGTTGAGCTCACAGGCCTGGAACGTCCCTTTCGTTCTGAACGTGGCTTTCGCTGAGGGTGGCACCGATGACTGTTCTGTCCACAGGATCACAGCTAAGCTGCTGCGGTCGCTGGTTGCTGTTAGCTATTGCAGACCCCACTCGACGGAGGATGGAGGCTGGAAAAGGGAGAAACCAGGCAGGGTCAGGATTCTTTCCCAAGAGCCATTTTCCCCCATGCTACACTTGCCCTGCTCATATTTCACATGGAAGGACATGGCAGGAGGACCCTCCAAAATAGAACAACTAGAACCCTGGCAGAAAAGAGGCCAACTCACGGGGGTAGGGCACTGCACTGATGTCTGCAAAGGCAGAGCGGACTCTCTCCATTCGCACCCCCGTCGGAGGCCGGGGAATCTTCAGAGCTGTGTGGGGAAGAAGCACAACAGCCAGGCTGTGAAGAGGTTGCCAAGACTCTCGGCATGCAGAATGGGGTGCTTGAAGTGAGGAGTGGCTGAGTTGGGGAACGAGGAGAGCAAGCCAGAGAAGCCCACCGGGTTCTCCTGTGGCTAGGGAGGGTATTTCCAGCCACTGGGCTTCCCCTAGGACGACAGACATGCCTCTCCCCCAAGAGCCCTCTCAAGGATCTGGAGATGCCAGGCTGGGAAAAGGGTGACAGCCCTCCCTGGTATGCAAGGTGGCCAATTCACCCACCTGCAAATTCCTTCTGCAGGGCAAAAGTCCGCTCTGCTGCATGTGAACTCACTCGGCCTTTGTAGAGGACTCCGTTCACCCCCAGAATGTCTACCTCAGTCTGAGACAAGAAATGCACAGAAAGAGAAGGGGCCACCCATGGGCCACAGTCCCGACCAGGAGGAGAGCAGCTTGGTCAGTGCCTTTTGGACTGCTACCGAGAAGGAATCTCCCTTTCCAGAAGCTCAGGAGCACTTCTCCCTCCCTCCCACACCTGCTCTTTGTAGGCCCTTAGGATGGCTCACGTTGTCGTAGGTGATGGCAGTGGGGTCCCCATAGGGGTAGAGGGTGGCGAAGTCCTGGGCCCGGGACAGGTGCTTGAGGGCGCAGGCTTGCTGCTGGGCTTGGCATTGCCAGCAGGTCTGCAAAGGGGGGTTGCCACTCATCTCGCTCGGATCCTGATCCCTGGGAAGGGAATCAGAGGCCCTGCTCAGCACCAGCAGCAAGCGGGCCGGCTGCCATCTCAGGTCTCCTGGCCCCAGAGACACAGACACCATGTGCGGGACAAGCAGTAAAGGGAATGCAATGCTGGGGGGAATCGATGGCTGGGAATGCAAAGCCTCCTATCCAGCACGGAGGCGCTTCCTCTGGGCGTGTAGAGAGAGCTGCTCCCAGAACTCCCACCCAGCTGGCCCAGGAAGCCCCCCCCCCAGTGTCCCCAGCCAAGTCGCTGACCTTTTCTGCTGGTGGAAGAGGTATTCATAGCCACTGGCACTGACTGGACGAGGCTTCAGCGTGGCCTTCCGGACAGTGATCATATGCCTGGGAAGAAGCATGGGGCGAATGCAGCTGCTGCTTGTCCGTCTGCTGCCCAACCCAGAAAGGCACCAGGGATACTTACGGCCCAGTCATCATGGTCACTGGCCGGTCACAGGAGATGCATTTCACTCTCTCAAAGAGCTGCCTGCAAGGCACAAATCAAGGGCTGTTGTGCAGCTCCAACAGCCTCCCTCTATCAGGGCCACAAAAGAGGGGGTGCCTCTGGCAGGCTATGCAACCCCCGCCCCCCAGCTGGGCTCTGCCGTCCCTCCTCACTTCTTGAAGCCAGCTGCGCTGTCGGCATCAAAGCGGGGCCCCTCACTCAGGTACTTCTTGATGAACTTCCACACCTCCTCCAGCTGCCGGCTCACGGGGTCCAGGGCCAAGCGATCCAACTGTGGGGCAGCAAGGGTGGCTGAGCGGGCCGCCTCGCTCGGCAGGAGGGGTCTGCTCTGTGGCAGCCAAGGTTCCCCCGGGGGGGTGCTGGACAGGGAGGGGTCACCTTGCAGTCCATGTCCACAAAGAGCTTCTCAAGCGCCTTCTGCCAGTCCTTGTCCTGCAGGGACATCTTCTGCAGCAGATCCTGCATCATCTCGCTGAGTTGGCTGGTGGCCAACTGCAGCTGCCCGTGGTTCACCATTGCCTCCAGCGCGCTCTTGTCAGCTTTCTGGGGAAGAGAAAGCAGGTCCTCCCTGAACCCCAGGCACTGACAGAGGGGGGCAGGGGAGATCACCAGGCCAAGAGAGAAAAAAACCCAAATCCCCCCCCCACCCCCCTATGTGGATCAACCTTAGAGCCAGATTTCCCGACAGCCACTGCCCAGGTTAGGAGGGGAGAGAAAGTGCCTTTTGCTTCCAGAAGGGCTCCTGTGGTTTTAATGACAGAGGGCAAGGCAGGGAATCAATTCCCTGAGTTGCTGCTGGGGCGTATGCAGGCCCAAAAGGAAGCTAGAGCATTTGAATGTCCTCCCCTTAAAGGCACAGAAGCCCCGTGACCAGGGGTGAAATGCTACCAGTTTGCTCTGGTTCAGGCGACAGGTAGTTAAAAAAGCTACTGGTATTTCCGACGATCAGCTGTGCAGTGGGGTTTAGCTTTGCTAGAAAGCAGGAAATCTTGCTTTTTAGCAAAGCTAAACTGTGCTGCCCAGCTGATTCTCCCCCCCCCGTTCTACTTACCTTCCCAAGCCTCCTTTTGGCACGTACTGCTCATGCACGTGCACAGCACACCCCAAAAGGAGGCTTGGGAAGGTAAGTAGAACAGCTGTGCAGCACAGTTTTAACTTTGGTAGAGAGCAGGAAATCCTGCTTTCTAGCAAAGCTGAATCACACGCCACAGTTGATCTCCCCTCGTTTCTACTTACTTTCCCAAGCCTCCTTTTGCCATTTTTTGTACATGTGCATGCACATAGCCTGCATTCATTGCACACTGTGCATGCAGCGCATGTTTGGCTGCAGTGTGCATGCGCGGCCAGTAAACCGATAGCAAACTGGTTCGGATTTCACCACTGCCAGTTATTGCCTCTATCTGGAAAAAGTGTCCTCTTTTCTTAAGAAAGACATTTCCTTTACATGGATAGTGACAGGACTTCACTTAATCACTGGTGATCCTGGAGCAGACAAGCAGAAATCCCAGGGATTTCTCTTCTGTCTGAGACTGGGCTGACTTCAGGTTGGAAAGAAGCAACCAGAGGCTTCATCCAACCCAGTTTCTTTTCCACACCAGAGACCTGATTGGGGTGGGGGAAAGATCGTCTCCTCCAGTTCCAAGGGACTCCTCACCACATTCATCTCCTCTTGAATCGAGTCTTTATCGGCTTTCTTGACATCCAACTGATGCAACAGGTTGCGTATGATCTGTAGAGGGAGTAAAAACTCAATTTTTCCCTCTGGCTCAAACTGCCTGGGCTGCTTCCCAGCTTCTCCACCAGCCACAAGCTGTGGCTGGTCACTGAGTGGCCGTACAGCCTCTTACCTGCATCTCCGTGCTGCTCCTGGATAACCTCTCCACTCCCTGCTGCAGGTTTTCAAATTGTTCCCTCAGCTTCTCCATCTGCTCCAGGGTCTCTTGCAGAGACTCCTTTCCCTGAGAAAGAAGCCAGCGTCTCCATCCATTCCCTGGTATGGCCAGCAACTTTGGCCCGAGTCCAGCCACTGCTGTGACCAGCACTTTCCCTGAAGAGGTCCAGGTGGATGCTCTGTGGTGCCTGGGCAAACCCAGAGCTGATTTGCAATGGGCTTTTCTTGTAGGCAGGAGCCTCAAGGCCTCCAACAGGCAGGATTCTGAAAGCACTTTGGGGTCTGTCTGTTGCCCAGGGCAAAGGGGGCTTCCACCCAGAATCTCTTCCCCACTGGACTGCCATCTTGGATGACATGCCCTCTCCCCTCAGTGGCAGTGGGCTGTTGAGCATGTCCAGACCATAGGGTGAGATTTGCCCCCTTAAGACGTTGTCCCTAAATTTCTATTGTCCTTCAAATCCTAAGCCCCCCCCCCCCCCACAATCTCTCTCTTGCTCTGTCTTTGTACCTTGGCTTTGCACATTTGTGGAAATACATTCATGCAGGGCCCGCCCCCACCCCATGCCCATCCCCTGCCAGGCTATGCTCCTGGGGGCACCTGCTGGCTTTGAGTTTGCAATGTCTCCATCCGTTCCAGCAGCGACTTCAGCTCGGGGGGCATTTCAAAAGCTAGAAATGGGGGAGAAAAGGACTTGTGCCAGATTGCTCAGACTTAATCAGCCTGGGGTTGCAGACTTCAAGGCAGGTAAAGAGCCTCATTCTGAGGGCCAGGAGACAGCGTCCCCAGCTGGACATCATCCCAATTCCCCCCAGGGAACAGCAGCTGGGCCCCCCATAGATGTTATCTCAGGCTCACCTGCAGGGCCTGCTGGATACTTCAACTGGGCCTCCAGCTGAGTGATGTGCTTCAGGAGAGCTTCGTGCTTCTCGGGCAGTTGGCTCAGAACAGCGAGGATCTCCCGGGATGTCTTCTCTCTGCCCCTGTCCTCTTCTGCTCTGCCCCTCCTGTCCTCTTCTGCTCTGCCCCTCCTGTCCTCTTCTGCTCTGCCCCTCCTGTCCTCTGGTGCTCTGCCCTTCCTGTCCTCTTCTGCTCTGCCCCTCCTGTCCTCTTGCACTCTGCTCCTGTCCTCTTGCACTCTGCTCCTGTCCTCTTGCACTCTGCTCCTGTCCTCTTGCACTCTGCTCCTGTCCTCTTGCACTCTGCTCCCGTCCTCTTGCACTCTGCTCCTGTCCTCTTGCACTCTGCTCCTGTCCTCTTCCTCTTTGCCCCCGTCCTCTTTCTCTCTGCCATCTTCCTCTTCCTCGAAGGTCTGAAATGCCAGAGTGGGGCAGGAGGGTAGCTGTGCCTTGCAAACAGGAGTCTCCTCAAAAAGGGCACTTCTGCTGTTCAGCCATACAGCATCAGCATGGGGGGGAGAAGCTGGCTGCAGGGACTGCCCCCTGCTACCTTCCTCACCCGAGCAAGGGAGGTCCCGACCTCCAGACCCATCCCATTCTTGCTGCACTTTGCCTTTCCAGGTGAGTCAAGAGGATCCAATTTATCCAAAGATGCGAATTGACTCACCTGTGTGTTGGCGGGCTTGCTCCCATCATGCCAAGGGAACTAGGCAGGCACAGAGAGATGCCAGGTGCCCTATCTGGGCCTTCAGGGTGAGGATGCAATTCAGCCATACTCACTTTGCCGGTGAGCGTCTCGCAAAGGGCACTCCAGGACACCACCTTCGAGGCACTTGCAGACAGGCTGACCCTTTCTTTTACAAGGCCCTGTGCCCGCGGGGGGAGGAGAAGGTTGAGCCCGTTGGGAAGGGGGCAGCCAAAGCAAACATTTGTTTTCAGAAGCAGCAGAGGCTTGTCTTAAACAGGGGCCGAGAGGAGGACTGGAGCCTCCCGGGGCCTGTCTGCAAAGCCCAAGAGCATCTGTCCAGGGACTGAGAAAGGGGTACTAAGGAGGGGAGAATGGTGCCCAAAACTGGACAGAAAGCCCTATACATTAAAGAGATTGTGTATCTTTTTAATTAAAGTTTCAGGTGCCCCCTATGGAAGTGCCACTCTGTCATTCTTGGTGCGTGAAGTAACCGCCTAAATGCTCTCAAGGCCCAGCCAGCCTTTGAAGAAGTGTGTGTGTGGAGGGTGTCCTTGAAGTTCCACCACATCATCTCACCCCCATTTCCTCACTCCCTGATGCTCTGCCTGCCCATCTGAAGGCCTTGCCCCGCTCCCTCTGCCAACACGGGTGGCTGCAAGGGGCAAACGGAGAGGCGAGAGAGGCAGGGCATTGGGTTAATGGGTCTGGGGGGCACCAAGGGAGTGGCAAGGGCACAAGGGTTCGGGATTCTCTCACCAGTTGCTCCTTCATTTCTTCCATCATCCTGGCCTGTTTGTCCAGGCTCAGCAGCCGCTCTTTCATTTCTTCTCCGTTGATCTGTTAATAGCAAAACCAGCATCAGAGCTGCAGCCGGGCAAGGATCACCAAAAGCACCCTTCGGGACCCAAGCCCGGAGTCTCTCTCCCTCAGGACCGCTCACCTGGGCAACCTCTTCTTTCAGCTGCCCCAGTTCTTGCTGAAAGCCCTCCGTGGCGATTTTCAGAGAGCAGATGCTATTCAGCAGGTCCTGCAACGTGTTCATGGCCTGAATGGGGAAATAGGAGGCGTCACGGAGGGCCAAAGACCAACGAGTGGCTGGCGGAGACTCTGCACTGCTTGCAGGCCGTTCATACGGTTGTTGCAATCTAGGGAAAGGGCAGGGAGGGGGGCTTCGTGGCTCCACAGCCCCACAACTAGATAGGAAACCTCAGATCCCTTAATTATGCCTGAGCACCCACAGTTGCTTGACCAGGAGGAAGGTGGGGGATTAGGAATTTTTAGAGCACTGCCCAGAGAAGAACCCTGCCTCTGTGGGGATTTACTTAACGTTTGGCACTCAAATGGCAAAAGAAAGAGATGATGGAAGTGATTGTGGGGCGCTGGGGAAGCAGTGGGTGAGTTGCAGAAAAGGGAGGAAGCCGCCCTCAGACACCAAAGTGCCACGGGGCGTGTTCCTCATTTCTGGTTGCTCAAAGCCTCTCTTCTATTCACCCAGCAAGGGATTCTCTATTTGTGAACCTCTTTGCCCGATGGGCAGCAGAGGTCCGGGGAACTCCAGGCGAGGATGGCCAGCTGAGCGTTGACTGGAAGCCTGGAGGTGGTGCGGTTTGGGGTCCTGCTGCCTGCTTGTGAAGGGCAGGGCAAGTGGGGTTACCTTGGTCATGCCTTCCTCATTCAGCTCCATCTTCTTCTTCAGCTGCATCATCTGCCACATGTCCAGGGCGGGCTGGCCCATGCCCTGGCTGCGGGCCAGCAGCTCTACCGTGTCAGGGGGCTCATTCAGGAACCGGAGCTGCTTCTCGATGGCGGTGATCCTCTCCTGCATCTGGTGGAAGATGGAACTGGACTTCTGCACCGCCGGGAGGGCCTCGGTGGCCGAGGTGGCTGCAGAGGCCCCGGAGCTGGGGGGTGGCTTGATGAACTCCAGCTCCTCCGCCGACACCTCCCTCCTCAGGTCCTGCAGGCGGAGGTGCTCCACCAGGCTGTGCAGGAACAGGTGCAGCGCGTTGAAGTTGACATTGCCCAGCTCCGGCGTCCCGATGGCCAGGTTGATCAGCTCCACGAAGGAGAGGCTGCGGCTCATGGTCCCGCTGCCCTGGGGAGGCTCGCGGCTCGCAGGCGGCCCCGGGCCGGGATCCGGCATCAGCGGCGGGCGGCGGCGTTCTGCTCGCGGGAAAGTTTCTCCCGGTTGCTAGGAGACCCGGAACGCGGCGCGGAGGGCGGAGGCGGGCGAGCTGGCAGCCGCTGCCAGGGGCCCCGGAGCAAGGCTGGCCCCGGCGCCACCCCCACGCCAGCCCCGAGGCCCGGCTCGGCCTTCCAGCCCGCTCCCTGAGCGCCTCTTCCAGGCCGCTCGCCCTCCCTCGCACCGGGGACATCGGCATCGAGGGGCTCCCGAGCGTCCGATCAGTCCCGCCGGGTTCAGACAACCTTCCCGACACGCGTCTCGGCCCGGGGGGGGGGGCTTTCCGGCGCGCGGGGGGCGTTTCCCGAATCTGGATTGGTCCCGTCCGCCCCGAGGCCCCGCCCCGCTCTGCCCGGCTCCGAAGCGGCTCGCTCGTTCCGGTCTGCAGGTGAGGCGGGGGCGGGGAGGGGGAGGGGGAGGGGGTGCGAGGCGGGCGGCGGAGCCTTCTGGGTTCCTCGCGCGCGGCATGCCGGGGCTTGTGGTCTCCCGGGCTACCCTTCCTGCGCCCCCCGCGGGGAGCTAAGCCAGCCCCGCCGGTCGAGGCCGCCGCTCTCCCCGGCCGCGCCGCGCCTTCTGCTCCGGAGCCGCCGCTGCAGGTGCCGCCCGGGGGGGGGGGGGGGGGGGCGGCGGGGCGGGGGGCCCCCGGGGGGGAGAGCGGGTCGGGGCCCGGGGGCCCGCCGGGGGGGGGGGAGGGGAGGGGAGGGGGAGGGGGGGATAGGAGCGGGCGCCCAGTGCCCTCCTCGGGTTGCTGTTCCGAAGGAGGCCCGGAAAGCCTGGTGGTGCTGCTGCTGCTGCTGCTCCCGGGCGGGGATGCCGGGCGCCGGCGCTGATCTGCTGGGCCTCCGCTGGGGCTGTGACCGTGCTGGGCGAGCGAGGCTGCCCTTTCCACCTGGGCCCGCAGCCGCCCTTATGCTGCCCCCCCCCCGGGGCCCTTTGGTGCCGGGGCGGCGTGCGGGGCCTGCCGAGGGGACTGTAGCCGTGCCAGCCTTTTGCCAGTCGGAAACAGGGCCAGCTGCCTTCCCGAGAGGCTCTGCTCTTCGTCCCCGGGGCTCCGCGAGCGGTCGGGGCGCGTGCCCAGGCCTGCTGGAGGGGAGGCCGGTCCTTTCCGGGGACTGCCCTTGGCTGATGAATCCAGGGCGGGGAGCCCAAGGGCTGCTGGGTCTATTGCACAGAAGGAGCATCTGGGCTGTCAGTCTTCATGCAGTTATTGGAGATTCTAGAGTGACCCTTGGATTTGCTGCTGTTGTTTTGGCTGGAGAGGAGTATTTTTATTTGTGTAACCGGCCTTTCTTCTGGCTGATTTACTTGTTTGCGGTTAGCTTGCTGGAATCTTGGGAGCCGCGTGGAGCTGTCCCTTGGAGGGCAGAGGGTCTGTGTCCACACAGGGGTGAAAGCTGCTGTCTAAAGTGATCTCCACAGGAAGAAACTTCCCCAAGGCACCTGACTGCCTCCCTTTCCCTTTCTGTGCACCAGCCCTGTTTGTCCCTGTTCTGATCCAGGAAAGGGGCTTTTCTGGCCACAAAGGCTGCCACCTTCGAACAGATGTCCTAACGAGAGACCACAGTGGTGCCCCCACCCGCAGTCTGACAGGATCCTCCTGTGTCCCCCCAAAGGGTCAGGCTCAAAATGGGTCCATCTCTTTGGGGCTAGAAAGGCACTTATGGTCCTGGCTGATGCCCCCCCCCCATCCCCCCAGTCAAGGAAGTGACTGGCAACTGACTCCACCTGCAGGGACTGTGTGGCCAGAGGATCTTTGGCTGCAGCCGGATGAATTTGTATAATAGCCAGGAGTCTGTCTCCCCCAGCAGACTCTCCGTGATGCTCACAGGGACGCCCTGGAAGGGGAGGCCTTGGGGAAAGATGGGGCATCCCTTTCCTTCTGGAGAGCTGAGCCAAGCACCCCTGTCCAACTGGCTATGGGTCTTTATCTCTCTGTCTCATTTAGGGCAAAACCCTTCAGGCCAGGCCAGCAGAGGGGCAGGAGGAAAGCCTTAATTTGTCCTCTCCCCTGAAGTCACCAGCAGGAGGTTGGGCCATTTGTGGCGATCCTTTTGTCAAGAATCCCATGAGAAAAGCCCCCCACTTTCCCCTGGCTGAGCTCTCCGCTCTTTTTCTCATACCTTTCCTAGCCTGCCTGCCGCCCATCTCAGCAGCTCTGCATCTTTCTGTCTTTCTTTCTTTCAGCATGTCCAGTGACCCTCCTCCACCCTACCCCGGGGGGCCATCAGCACCCCTCCTGGAAGAGAAGGATGGGTTCCCCTTCCCTGCAGGTGAGGTTCTGTTTGTGACCCATTACACACCTGGTCACCTTTCTCCCCATGTGACACCCTGTTCTTCCAAATCTTCTCAGATAGGAGCCCTCCGGCCATGGTGCAGCCCCCTTCCGATGTTGGCCCCCCACCCTATGAAGCAATGCCTCCCCCCCAGCTGGGCTTCATCCCCCCCCCTGTGCCAGCAGACAGCTCGATGCCCTACGTCCTCCCTGGTGAGTGGCATGGGAGACGGGGAGGGCTTCGTTTCAACCTCCCCCCCCCGGGGTGTTTGCCAGCCTAAAAGTTGCTCAGGGTTGGTAGTGGCTGGGGTGGCACACAAGCCAAGTGTGGCAGAAGAGAATGTCCTGTTGTCGCAATATCAAGGCAGCATATAAACCTCCAATCCAAGCAATACGAGGCACAGCAAAAAATAGCTAAACTAGACCTTTCAAGCTCCAGAGAACAGAAATAAGGTGAGGGGCTGCTCTGAGCGGAACAGCAGGTGGTTCTCTACTTGGGGCCTCAGTTCTGTGCTGCCTTCAAGTGGCCTTTGGTCACAAGGCCACGAAACCCAGTGCAGCAGTTAGCCAGACAGTCGTCCACTGAGCAGTTGCTCTGCTTTGGAGGCTCCGAGTGCAGCCAGGAAGGAGGAGTTGGGACAGGCTGATCTCTAGTCTCTCTGCCGTGGCCTGTTAGGATGGCAGTGGCCGGAGTGCCCCTCGGAGCTCTCTGGGCCTTAAACGAGTCCCTTCTCCCCTTCCTTTATAGGCAGCTACTATGTGCCTCCAGGGCCACACGCCCCCATGGGCTACTATCCTCCCACTGGCCCCTACGCCCCTGCTGGAGGGCAAACTGCAACTGTGCTAGTGCCATCGGGCACCGCAACCACTGTGACGGTCCTGCAGGGCGAGATATTCCAGGCCGCCCCTGTCCCAACAGTGTGCCCGCACTGCCAGCAGGCCATCACCACCAAAATCAGTCATGAAATCGGCCTCATGAACTTTCTCCTGGGCTTCTTCTGCTGCTTTATCGGGTAAGGGGAGTGGGGGTGGCTGTGAAATCTGAGTTTGGAGCAGGCTGGGGGGGTGGGAGGAACAGGTGTGGGGGGGAGCGTGCCAGCCCCTGAAAGCCATTCCTTTGGGGCAGACCGTCTTGTGGGCTCCCAGTGGAGGGAGGGGGCATCCAGGGCTGTGTTTCCCTGACTCTCCCCGGCAAGTGGATGCAAAGATGCCCGTCCTGCCCTTCACCATTTCTCCTCTCCCTTCCAGGTGCACCCTGGGCTGCTGCTTCATCCCCTGCCTGATCGATGAATTTAAGGATGTGACCCACACCTGCCCCAACTGCAAGGCCTACATCTACACCTACAAGCACATGTGCTAGCAGGGCCTGCTCGGCTGGAAAGCTCTGCTGCTGCCTCCTGGTTTGCCTTTCCCGTCTGCTTTCGTGCTTCTTCCTTCGCCCAGAGAGGCTCAGGGGCTGTGCCCCCCCCCCAAGGCTGCGGGGGATCTGCTGGGCCGGCTCCGGGAGGAATGGGAATGCGAAGGGAAGCTGAGCCAGATGGGTGGCTCTCCCCCCCCAAGGAGCTGCCGGTGCTTGGCTGGGGCCGCCTTCAGTGAGAGGATGAGGGCTTCATCCGCAGTGACGCCTTAGGCACTGATCTACAGCGGGTAGAGGGAGAAGGAGCGAAGTCCCTAGGTGCTCTTGGCTTTTTTTAAAAAAAATATTTTCTTAATTAAAGAGCTTAAATATAATAGTAAAAGCAAATACACATTAAAATTAGAAAAAGATAGCATAGAAGTACAAAGTAAGGAAAAGATAAATAGGAAAAAGGAAAGAAAGAAAAAAATATGTAAAGTGGCTTCCATTTTCATCACAAGTAAAAGCAAATTTCATATTGCTCCCTACAAAGTTACACATACTTTTTTCTTCCCATCTTTTCCATACATAAAATCATAAACCATCAGCTTTTCAGTCTTGGTTTTAGCAAAAGGTCTATAAAGTCCATAAACCAGAGGTTTATAAAAACATGCCTTGCTTTAACCTTGATCAAGCAAAGCAACCATATATTCCTTTCTTTTACTTCTAACAATCTTGATCTTCAATTCATCCGGATGCGGCTTTTTTCTGTGGCTGTTTTGAGCCTTTAACAGGCTCCTTTTGTAAATCCAGTGGAAAGCCATTATCCAAGTCATTGTCTTGGTTTGCCTTTTGTATTTACCCTTTGATTTTCTAAGCCTTAACCAACTTCTATTATTTATCCAGTAAAAAGTCCTTATCAGGGTCCTTCTCTTGGCATCCACGCATGTTCCTATCAATTTTATTTTCAGTTTGAGTGCCGCTAACTACTATTTCTGCATCAATTAAAATTTGTTGCACGTCTGTCGTTCCTTCATCTTCTACAGTCTATCCAGAGAAACAGACATTGCTACTGATACTGTTAATACTGTTAAACAGTATCAGTATCTGGCCCTATTCTTCAAAGATCTTTAATTTAAATGTTAGCGGTATTTTGTATAATTTTGTAATTCCTAAAGACAAGCTGGAGTTTTTGTTTTTTGGGGGGCTGGATTTTAGTTCCCTTTATTGTCCAATTTAATCACAGGGTCTCTTATCTATGTTATGACTTGCGGTAGCCAAAATAATTCTGGTTCTTACAAAAAGCTATTTATATTATATAATTTCAAAATCTTATGGTAGAACTTTCAATATTCCAAATTTTCTGGAGTCTTAAATTTGTTTATAACTTTATTTCAAAATCTTGTTTGGCTTTTTGCCTTTCATTTCAATTTTTTTAAAGTTCTGAAACAAATTTTCTTTTGTTCAGGATAAACATTTATTCACACTGTGACATTTCAAACTTGTCCCTCTGAAGATTGTTAGCATTAGGATGTTTAAATGAGTGATTTCCAAAAGTGATTAGAAGGGATGTTAGTGAATTTAGTGTCCTTTAAAAGGCGCCAGCCAATCCCTTTGTCTCCTGGAACTGATATCCACAATAGTCCACGCCCATGCAGTCCCCTCACAAGGAGCAGCTATCCGAAGCACATGTGGGCAATCCCTTATCCTCTCCTTAACTGGAGGAGTTAAGAGTAGATCCAGTCTACTGTCCTGTTCTGTGGTCTTTGTCTCCACTCTTTATGGAGACATGTTTAGCTTGCCAAGCTCCCACCCCTAGAAGTCCAGAGCTGTTGGCTTTTCTGCTTGTCCTAAGTATTGCTGAGGCCTACCTTTCTATCAAAGGGAAAGCTTGAAGGTTTCGTTCTGTGTTGGTGGTTCCCACATCTATGATTGCTCCTTGCACTTTTGAAGAGGCTGTTTTTTGATTCTGCACAGCTCTCTGTGCTTTGTAGATTATGGCCAGGCACCGGAAGCCAGTCTGCCTCTTGCTTGTAGGAGTGTGCCTGACAGTGAAGTAGTGGCAGAGTTGTTTATTCAGGAGAAAGAATTGGCCCAGCCAAAGCACCCCACGCAAGAAGCGAGAGCTGGCTCCCCATCATTCCATATCTTGTTTTGTCTGAGCCATCTCTCTCAACTTGGGTAGGCCAATAGCACCATCCATCTTAGCTGGACTTGAATCCCGTTTGCCTATTGGAGGCGTGCAGGAGGCCCGGAGCCAGCCCCCACTCCCCCACTGCAGATATTCCTCTGCTCCGAGCCAAACCTGAGCGGAGAAAATGTGCTTGTCCCAGGTTCCCTTTGTGATTGCTTGTTGTTTCAGGTACTAAACTTAATAACTACTTTATGGAAATGTGAAAACCCCGTAGAGGCACACGCACACGCCATTTTGCACTAGTTTTGCTAAAAAGCCCTTGTCTGACCCTGATGAACAGGGTGCACAGGAGCTCCTGAAGTTTGTGGTGGGATAGCAGGTGGCTGGTCCGAGTCCCTGGCTCAATTTTCCAGAGCCTGAGCTGCCTTGCCTCAAGCACTTGTGCCCCTATTGGGGTACTGCCCAGGCACCTGTTCACCCAAAGGCTGCCCACTGAGGCTGGAGAGCACGGGTGGGCCTGGTCTGGGTTTGAGGGCTCTCTAAAGCACTTGGAACCAGCAGGGAATTCTCATCCCATTCTTCTTAGAGGGGAGTAACCTGTCAAAGCTCTTCCATGTTTGTAGTCAAATAAAAAAGATTGACTCTCAGCGGATGTGTGTGCTGTGTGTCGGGGGCATAATCCAGAGCCTGGCTGTTGGGGGCCAGAGTGGACGGAGCCCTGCTCGTTTCCCAGAGAGGAAGGAGGGGAGATTCCTTGGTTTTATGCAGGGGGCAAGGGAGGACCAGGAGCTCATTTTGACCCTCTTATCGGTATTTTCAGAAGGCTGTGGGCAGCTAGCTTACATGCCTTCACATGCCAAGTGAAGACACTCATGAGGCAGAGAAGCAGGACTGCCACAGCCTGAAAGTGCCCTCCCCAAATCACGCAAACTGCAGAAACCAAAGATCAATTTTATTATGTCAGAGGCATTGCCATAGTCTAGAAGTTACACGAACATTAAACCATTATCACTTTCCATATGTACAAATTGAAGAGCCCTCCTGCAAGTAAATGGGAGTGAACTGCATTCTGCATCCAGGTGAGAGGACTGCCTGCCTGTCCCCCAACCGCCCACCCTCCATGTAGTGTGGAAGAGAAAAGTTCTGGAAGAGAAAAGCTCTAACCGTTCAGGCCGGGGTGAAACGCTACCTGTTCGGATTGGTTCAGCCGAACTGGTAGCGATGGCAGTGTGAGGCTCCGCCCACCCACCCGTCATTACTTCCTGGTTTTAACCAGGAAGTAACCTGTTTTTTACTCGTGGCGCGTGCACTTCCAAACCAGTAGGGAAGGTAAGTAGATTTCACCCCTGCTTCAGGCCCCTTCTCTCCCCAAGACAATAGCTCAGATTTTCTGATTAGTTCTGCTCCTAATTGTTTGGACACACAGGCATTTGTACACTGGATTTGGGTTTAATGTTTCCTCAATTAAATCCGGCATTAAAAGTCCACTTATTTCAATGGAGAAAAGGAGCACTTTCTTCAAGGGCCAATGGGCAGCCGGTGCCCAGCCTCACATCACGTACCAGGCTGCAATGCCAGCAGTGACTGCAACGCAGGCTGCCAAGACCAGCTGGACGGTGGGCTGCTTCAGGGCAGCCAGGGCGAGGTGGCAGGGGCAGGCAGCATCCTTGGAGCCAGCTGAGGAGGAAGAGGACCATTAGAGGCTGGAGGAAGCCAAAGAGGGAAGAGGGGGAAGAAGGGGACTTACCGGGTTTCGGGGCATAGTACGGGCATTTGCGCATGTCTCCCTTCCCATCATGCACTGGGAGGCCGCCATCTTGGACTTCTTCTGGTAATAAAGCCCCGATCTTGTCCAGCTCCTCGAAGACCTGCAGACAAAGTCCAAGGTTGCCCTGAGCTGAAGCAAGTCGCAGGAGTGCTCAGCTGATCTAGGCCCAGCCCTTGTGGGCTGTTCTGGACTCTAGCCAGCCAGAAAATCTGAGCCGCCCATAGCAGTAACCACCTCCGAGAGCGATGGGCCTGGAGCAGAAAGACTCGCTTTGCTGCTAGAGGATGCCAGGCCTGTCCCTTAGGATGTCAAAACAGGAGGCAGGCAGCAATTGGGGGTCTCCTGACTCAAGCCTGACATTCCACAAAAGATGCTCCCCATTTGGGCCACAAAGAAACCTAAACTTGGCACCACTGGCTGGCTAGGGCCTCGTGAGCTGAGGGAGAAGGCAACGGCAGGCAGCCCCGCAGGGTCAACTGGCCTTAGGAAAAGAGCCCCCGTCCAGCCCCAGAAGGATGGATTCAGGGTGGGGTGGCTTTTAGCAGGCACCCTGAAATCCAGCAGCCGCACACCTGCATGTTGAATTCAAAGGCCCTGTTGGCCTCCTTGACGATCCTCTCCTTGGTCTCCTGGGACACATCCAGGGCGTTCAGCCGGGCTCGGTAGAACTGCTTGAACTGCTGGGGGTTGGAAATGTTTTCAAACATGTAGAAGTTGATCCCTTCTCCACTGCTTGGCAACTTCAGTGCACGCTGAGCCACCCTCTTCAGCACCTGACCCCCAGAAAGGTCCCCCATGTAGCGGGTGTAAGCATGGGCCACCAGGAGCTCCGGCTCCTGCTGCCCAACATAATGGATGCGATCCACGTAGTGCTGAGTGGCTTCTGAGCACTGGATCTTCTCCTCCCAGCCTTCCCCATACAAATACTCCAGGTCTCTTGCTAAGGCTTCCTTCCGGTGCAGCTCCAAGGGGAAATACAGGGGGGTAAAGCTGGGCTGGTCCTTGTTGTGCTCCATCTCCTCCTCCAGTGCAGAATATGTGAAGTAAAGGGCTGCTGTGCCCAGCTGCAAGGAAACAAAGGAGCCATGAGAGGCCAGTGGCTACCAGTGCAGCCTGTTGTCCAAGCCGTTGGACTGCTGTGCCCGAGGCCGCGTTGCTCCCTGAGGCCAATGTGCCAAAAACAGCAACGACCCTTCACTTTAGTGAAAGAAGCAGCCCCCAGTTGGACCCATCCAGGACCGAAGGAGGTTTCATTTTCAGTGCTTTGTAAGTCAGAAAAAGGAGATACAAATCCATTAGAGGATCCCAGAAAGATCTGCTGAGATGGAGGGGTGACTCCAGAGAAGCCAACCCTCTCCTGCCACAGATGGGGCTGTCCTGGTCCAGAGCAAGGCATCCATCAGAATGGGCTAAATTTGTCTCCTCTTCTGACCCCAACCACCAGAGACCCAGGAGTTGGATAAAGCTGGAGATACCTTGAAGAGTTCCCTCTTGATGTGTCCCTTCAGGAAATCTTTGACAAACTGGGTGTTCTCAGCCCGGTCATGGGCCTCCTTGGTCCCTTCCTTCAGCAGCTCGGACAGGTCTGTGGGACTGTGGAGAGACAGGGGTCCCGGGGAGAGGGGCAGGGCACTGCAAGCTCAAATCATCTGCAGGCAGCAGGGCAGGCCCCCAACTCTGTGGGGCATTGAGGAGAGCAGGCTTTGCGCCACAAATAACCACCCCTCCCACTTTTTGCACCCCAGGCCCTGCCACGCAAGCTCACTCCTCAGAGAAGGGAACAGAGAAGGCAAAGTCAGAGATGCGCACAGCGTTGGAAGTCCCAGAGGGGGCCAATCTCTTTGTGCTCCAGGATGAAGCTGGCCTCCCCTGCAGGCGCCAGAGCCCCCCCCGCCCCCACCCCCAGGCATCCTCCCTTGCATGAAGCCTCTGCCAGGCGCTTCAGCCTCTCTCAGCCTCCACCTGCCCCTCTAAGAAGCAGGAGACGCTACCTGGTGGCCTTCTCCTCCTGCTCCTGCTCCTCCTCCTCTTCCTCCTCCTCCTCCTCCTCCTCCTCGTAAGAATGGCTCTCAGGCTCATCCATCAGCTCGGTAGCCTCGGTCGCCATGGCGCCTAACCTGCTGGGCTACAGACCCGGTTCAGCTCCAACTCCTGCTGGGAAAGAGCCCACCGCCGTTTAGCCTCCCGGAGTGCCCGAGCGAGGCCCTCGGGAGCGCAGCAGCGGCCCGCTCCGCGCCTCCATCGCAAGCGCCGCGGCCCGGGATGAAGGGAGGGAGGCCGGCCGCCGGGGAAGGGGCCGAGGGCCGCAGCGGTCGCGGGGCCGACGTCCCTGCCGCGCCCGCCGGTTACCTGCCAGCCGCCGCATCCGCCGCTCCTCCTCCCGCGGCTCTTCCGGTCACCCCGCGGGCGCGGATGGCTCCGCCCCCCTCTGTCACGCGGACAAAGCGCGCTGAATATGCATGAGCCGCGTCCGGGAGGCAGCACAGCGCCCCCTGCAGGGCGGGGCTCAACCTTGAAAGGCGCTCGGTCCTCAGCCGGCGGAGGCGCAGGACTAGCGGCCGTTCCCAGCTCTGCGCAACCGTCCGCCGAGGCCGCCCCTTTGCCCAGGCAGCTGAGCGCGCAGACTTGAAGGGCATCGGCAGAGCGAGGCAACTCCCCGTGTGGCTGCATGGCTGCATCGCCCCCCGCCCCCCCCATCAGAAAGCCTCTTCCCTCCAACTGATCGACTTTAGAAAGGCAGAAGCGGGCAGATCACTCCGGCGATCTTTCTATGGCAAGTCCATTATTTACACCGAATCCTCCTGCAAGCCACTCGAGCAGCTGCCAGAGAAGCAAAGAGCTCTGGGTCTGCTGGGCCAGTAGGCCTTCCTAGGCTCCCCCGGAGATAGGCAGGTGCTCCTGCCTTCCTAGCAGCCTTATTTATGTTCTCACGGGCTCGGCTGCAAAGGGTGTGCCCCCTTTCTGCTTTTTAGCCACTCACTTCTTGGGCCGGGATAACGCACAATGCGAGCAGAATCAGAGTGATTTCTTACACTGCCCTTCTCTCCTTCAGCCCAGTCCATGGCTGAAACTCTCCATTCTGGAGCAAAGCACCACGGCCACATTGCTGAAGGTTTGTGAGGCCCAGTGAGACCCTGGGAGCTCTCTGGGGAATTTGTTCAAACCTCAAGATAGGACTCTGTACTCGGCACAAGGTACACTTTATTTTTGCTCCTCAGGACCCTCACCCACCCAGCAGTCTGCTCTGTTCAGAGAGAAACAAGTCCAGGAAGACCAAGAACCTTTCACAACTCCACCCCCCTCCCCACCCGGTTGAAAACGCTGCAATCTAACATCTAGAGGAGAGGCCTCCTTCCTTCAATGGAGCCATCGGGCCATGGACCTTCAACGTGTGTCTGTCTTCAGTTCCAAAGCTACTGGCATCACGCCTTCCAGACTGCTACTGCCCCATCATCTAGTTTCCAGTGGAACGTTTACCTAGAGCCAAAAGAAAGAGGGACGTCTGTGACCTTCACAAAGACTGTGGACAGATCTAGTTAACCATTCTGCTATAAAAGCCAAGCCGGGACTCCGGTGCCCCCAGCCCCAAAAGTCACTTTTAAGGCTCTGGATTTGCTGCAATGTTTTGGGAAGGTTCATAGATGCAAGAATTGAGGAATGTTTAACTAAATACAAGCTCTTCTGCAATGATACCAGGAGTCTTTAGTATAATACCAAGTGATGGAAACTGAAGCTACTAATGCCCACTCCTCTGGTCCTTGTATTTGTTTTTCTGTTCAGCTGCTGCCCTATGAGTGCTGGGAGCAAGATGAAACAGCTTGGGGGTGCAAGAAAAGACCAAGAGGCAACAGGGTGTCTGTCCAGTCACCAGCAAGGAATGTGTCTGCTCCGGAGTGGTTTTCCTACAGCTTCATCCTCCCTCCCTCCCCTGTGTTTCTGCAAAAAGCGAACACAGAGACCTGCGCATGGAAAGATCACAAGAGGCTTCCTACCTCTGGTGCAGTTAATCAGAAGCTAAACATTTTCTTAAGTTTAGCTAGGAATCCCTCTGTGCCGTCCCCTGCCTCAGGCCTCTCCTCGCCTGCCCCTGTGCTAGTCGTGCCCCTGCCACCTAGACACAAATAGCAGAGAGCTTGGTCAATACACGTTGTGAGAAGGATCCCTGTCCGCGTCAGGCCATTTCCCAGCTTTTTTAGCCCGGGGGGGGGGGGGGGGGGGGGGGGGGGGGAGTTGCAGCTGAGAAGATGTCTCCCTTCGTCAGGCCATCTTTGCCCAGGACATGAGGAATGTTTAAATGACAGCTCATGTCGTGCTATACATGATTGCTGGCACTTCCTGCACACAGCAACAATTTTGGCTGCCTCCTCATTACTGTTTTATTTCAATCGCTTGTCCTTCAGCCTCTCTATTCTTTCACCGATGGCGAAACTATGATCTCAACAAAGGTACGCATTCTAATGCACCTCCCCTCTCCCTGGTGAACTTGCTAAACTGCTCTGAATGTCTTGGTGAACATACAACTCGGGCCTTGAATCCGTGGAAAGACAAGAATGCTCATGAAATGGAAATCAGCCAATTGCATTTTGTGGGTCACTGTGGGGCAGGGAAAGCACTACAGGAAGGCCAAAAACTGCTCTCAATTGGGGGATTTGTTCCCACTATTAAACCATCAGCGGCCATGCTGCCAACTCGTGCACTGCACGAACTCAACTTCAGGGGTCAGTAAAGTTCAGTGCATTGTGGAAGCCCAGAAAATTGATCAAAGCACAGATGAACTAATAGCGGGTAACCCTATTAGGCAAACACAAGTAATAGTAACCTTTTCCTGCCAAGGAAAAAATGGTGATACCATCTGAGTAGAAGGCTGTGCCATGGTTTACATCATTCAAGGCCATAGTTTACACCACCGGAGCCAGCAGTTCAACTATAACCAAAGACGACCTGCTAGCCCCAAAGTACAGCCAAGATCTGACAGCTCTATAGCCTCACCAGTGGTTGTGCTGGCGATGCCATTCACAGTCCCTTCTACATCAGTTTCATCTTCTGCATAGCTCAGCATCAAGGCTCGCTGGCGATCAGTCAGCCTCCTGCAGGAGAGAGGGAAGGTGCAGTAAGACAGGTCAATGGAAGGCTCTGGAGGAAAAGCAACTGCAAAAGCAACTGACAGACGCATCTCCCTGCCTCAAAGGCCCCTTTTCATGCCAATTACCTCATCTACCCCGTCCCCCAAAATGCCCAGTCTTCTCACTTACTTGGGAACTTTGACCTTGATATGAATGTAGTGGTCTCCATAACCGTAGCTGTTCACTCTGGGAATTCCCTTCCCGCTCATCCGAATCCTCTGGTCAGCCTGGATGCCAGGGGGGATCTAAGAAAGCACAGGAAAAAAAAGAAGATTAAAGCTTTTTAGATGTTTTTCACTCACTGCTCCTGAACTCTTACTGTATCTCATAAATGTGGGAATCAGCCGCCGTTACCAAAGCACTCGTGGGAGTGAACGTTCTAAGATTTAACACCTTGGGCTGTACATAGAACATCACAGAAAATGTCAATTTTCTCTTGAAGCAAAATGAGGACAAATGAAAATACCAATGGAGCAACAAATGACCACAGCTGCAGAAACGCCAATCTGATCCTTTCCATGAAAAAAAACACAGCTTTCCGTGCAAAAAGGGTAACATCCCCTTCATGTTTTTTGGGTCTCTAATCACAGACAAGCCATTTCACTTGTTCTGCAGGGGACGTACCATAACGTTGATTGTCTCATATAGGCCGGGCGACCTTGCTGTCCCTCCAAGAACAGCTTGTGCTATGGAGATGAAGAGGTCAGAGTGGATATCAGCACCGTCTCTCCGGAACACGGGGCTTTTCTGAACCTGGAATCAGGGACAGTTCAAGGACTCAGCAAGTGCAGGCAGCCAACCAGTTTTAAGCATGGCATGACATGGCAAAGCAGCAGGTCAGTACGCACCCTGAAAGTAATGAAAATTTCTTTCCTTCCAACAGGCATCCGAACGGTCTGCCCATCCTCCACACCTAAAACCAAACAAAGGCACTTAGGGTTACTTTTCACCTAGCACCTCATTTTTTTCTTCCCCTCTCATAGTAACTCTGATTTGGAGGCTGAAGACATTAGGATCGTGTTCTTAGTGTTTGGAGCTGCCAAGCTCTGATTTCTGCAAGGACCGATTTTCCTCCCTGCTGTTTCACTTCAGAAGAGCAGCTGTTGTTCTGCCCTAGGAGCACTCAGTACATACATACCTGCTGGGACCGGGACCATCACTGTCTTCTTCTGCTTGGTTTGGCCAGAGCCACGACAAATCACACATGGGTTAGTTACAACTGAACCCCGCCCACCACACCGCCGACACGTCGAACGCATGACAAACGGGCCTGTGTTGATCGTCTCCTGTCCAAAAGAAGACACAAGGAAAGGTGAGATGCCAGGAAATTTCACTTCTGTGTTGTAATGGCTTCTCCAACACCTGCACAGAAGACGAGGAGTTTCGCCAAAGTCTCCAAGCAGGGAGTGAAAGTGCTGAGGGAGGGGAATTGGACCCCAGTCAGCACATCGTTATCAGGGTCCATAACCATCTGAAGCAAGGAATCGGCTTTCTTCTTCTAAAGCGCCAAGGTGCCCAATCGTTCCCTGCACCAAAACTTGCTCACACCTGCCCTGCCCTTACTGTGCCAGTCCCGTTGCAGTAGGAGCAATGCACTACTCTGGTGCCCGGTTCATGCCCTCTGCCACCACAGCGCTGGCAGGTGTCATTGATCTGCACCATGATCTCCTTGTTGACGCCCTTTGCCGCCTGGCTGAATGTCAGATCCATGATGTACTACAGAAAAGAAAAAAATTCAGTGTTTTGAGCTCACAATTCCAAGCCAACATTTTTCATATCATGTAGAATAAAAGGAAGAATACAAATCTGTCTAGAAAAAGAAGAATACATATCTGTCTAGATTGAGAAGAAGTACTCTGGCACTTTCAGAAAATTAATTATATTTATGAACAGTGAGAGGGCCATTTTGGTGCAGTGATTAAGGCACTGAGCTAGACACTGGGTGATCGTAAGTTGCAGCCCTGCCTTAGGCACAGAAACAGCTGGTGACTTTCAGCCAGCCCTTCTCTCTCAGCCCTAGGAAGAAGGCAAAAGAAAATCTTGCCAAGAAAACTGCAGGGACTAGTCCAGGCAATCATAAGAAGTCAACACTTTTGCTTTGTACCAAGGCAAATCAACCAACCAAAAAGACCAATACAATACAAATCAAATTTGCTAATCATAATAAATCAAAAATCAAATTTGCAACCTACTTCTTCACACTATTTTCTCTTGGAAACCCACACTCTTTGTTATGCATTGTTCTGCAATAATGCAGAAATAATGTAGATTTCTGCATTATTGTTTCCCTCTTAAAATCTAAATATCAAAAAGGATAACTACTGAATTTGAATAAAAGTAATGTTCAGTCAAGCCATCAATGTGGGCAAAATCATTGTAATTGTTTTTTTTTAATTATTATTTTTTATTAAAAAGTTTTATCAAGTATTACAACAATTTTTTCCCCATCCCTCCGCCCCCCACCCCATATCCCTCATCCCCCTTCTCCCTCCAACCCCCCTCCTCCCACCCCAGACTTCCCAGAGCAAATCACAGGGTATAGCATTTAACAAACATAAACTAGAATATGCTAACTTTTTGTAGGCTCCAAATTCCCTCTTGCTCTTTAACTCCCCTTTCAACTAACAAAACATAATTCAAAAAGAAAAAGTTGGTTTCATTCATAAGCTATTTGAAGCTTTTTAGTCCGATATTTGTTTTGAATATAGTCAATCCATCTTCTCGAAATCATTGTAATTATTAAATGCACCTTTGATTCCCCCCCAAGACAGCAAAAACTCAATTTGAGTGATCAGAGAGGAGTGAATTTATCTGTTAATTCTGAATAGTTCCTGAATAGAATAATTCTGGTAGTTCCTAAAGATTCATCATTTGCATAGGATTTCTCATGCAGATGTTAAAACAGGAGGAATGAAAGCCCCAAGGGACTTTACACACCAGTGGCCTGGGCTGCAATTCAACTTTACCTCCTGGGGCTGGTCAAAGACGGTGCTAAAGTCTCCAAAAGGGGACTGCGAGAACTCCCCAAAGATCTTCCTGAACAGCTCCTCAGGGTCAATAGTTGGGCCAGTGTGTCTGTACTGCTGCCCGGAACCTGCTGAGCCAGAGCCAAAGCCAAAGTCCGCTGTACCATAAGTATCATACTGCTTCCGCTTTACTTCATCTCCCAAGACCTGCCAATGATACAAGAGCTCAGTCATCTAGGGGGCCCCAGTTCCCAAGCCATGGAGTGTAAAAGGGAGAGTAAGTATGCTACCTCGTACGCCTCAGCCAATTGAGAAAACTTCTCTTTTGCTTTAGGGTCATCCTTATTGGTGTCAGGATGATACTTCTTGGCAAGCTAAGCAAAGAAAGAAAAACACAAAAGTAAAAATTGTGGACAAGAGATTGTCATTTGTGTGTTGGGAATTCATGCAATGAATTTTAAATCAGCTATATTGAACTGTTAAAATAGTTTTTATCTTCTGGAGTATTTTTGCCTATATAGTATATTAAATAAGAAAAAGTTATTTCATTTCTATCACATCATAATCATATACACTTGAGCACCGCACATTTGTAGTGCAGTTCAGAATCCTTAGAAGTAATGGCCTTCAAAAAGCCAAATTAAACAAATGAAGGTTTAAGGAACGGTAAATATCAGTGGCCTTCATCAGCAATAGTAGCCAAACAACACAACAGCAGCCTTGCTGGATCAGATGCAGCTCTTCCTATTCCAGCAATCTGGCGCAAGTAGCTAGTGATCATGCCCACATGCAAGGTCAGCCCCCTCCTTTCCTTGGGTTTTGCAGCAAACACTTAGAAATCAGCCTGGGAATGTCAGAAAAATCCAATATTACAGAATGGATTCCCCAAGCGGTAGTCTAGTCTTATGACAAAATCTCAGTCACAACATGGGAGGTTGCTGTTTATTTTACCACCCCTTTGCTTTTGAGTACATGGGGTAAACAAATATAAAGGAAACCAGCTTTTAAGCAATTACTAGCCCCAAATGGTTGAGGCAGGGTTGAGAAGGTGTAGGACACAATGCCAGCCCTAAAGCTGGAGAGGAAAAAGACTCTCATGCAAGCTGCTTAGGAGAGAGCTCTACTGGCCAGTGCTATTTGCCCCCTTATGGTCAGGCACCCCCCACCCCACCCCCTGCATCCCCTCTGAGAAGCGGCCGTGCCTGGTAATAGGCCTTCTTGATCTCCTTCTGGCTGGCGCTGCGAGGCACTCCCAGGATCTGGTAATAATCCTCTTTGCTGCTGCTCGAGGCGCTGGTGTGAATCGAGGCCGCCCAGACGAGAGGAAGCGGTCGGATTCCTGCGCAAAGAGAAGCAGAGGGTCAAGCCGGCGTCGAGGGAAGGGCGGAGGCGCAGAGCAGCCCCGCCGGCTGCATTTCTCCGGCTCTCCGGGCAAGAGACCCGCGCGCTGCCAAGGCCGAGCATACTGGGCCGACCCCTGCCAGGCCGGCAAGAGGAGCGGGGCAGCGCTTGTCGTTCCCGGGGCTCCCCGGCCTCTTACCGGAGCGGTTTCCCATCCGCGGCGCCAGGGCCGCGCGAGAGGCGACGGGGGCCACGCTCCGCCAGCGGGCAAAAGCCAACACCAGCGCCAAACGCCGCGGCTCCCCGCCGCCCGCCCGGCAGCTCCCGGCAGCGGTTGCCGCCTCCGCCAGCCAGCGTGAGACGCACCCGGCCGCCATCTTGCGTGCTCGGCCCCAGTGCGCCTGCGCTCCTCAGCCCGGTAAGCCGGGAGTCTGACTGCGCAACCGCACCGTCCCGTGGTATGGGAGGGCGCAGCCGACCTTTCTCAGAGGTCAATCCCGCCGACGCGAAACTCGGGCTGCTCCTGGGTCCTAGTATCCCCCTGCCATGTTCTCGATCTAGGCGCGGGGATGGATTTCGCGTGTGCGAGGCTCAAGGGGGCGTATCCGGAGCGACCGTCTGGGCGTGGGTGGCTCTGGACTCCGGCTCCGCGCCCCTGCTTGGCCGCCCCCTTCCACACACGGGGCTCCCGCGAAGCGGAGCTGGGCACTAGTCCAGGCCAGCGGCACCGGGATCGCGGGAGCCTTCAGAGGTGCGGGGAAAGCCCCCGGAGAAGGGCTGGGTGGAGGGAAGCCGAGCCGGAGACCAGGCGCGGCCCCTTATTAAGCTCGGTCGGAGAGAGCGGGAGCGCCGCCGGTCCAAGCGGAGGGCATGCCCGAGACAGGGGCCGCGCGTGGCCGGCAGCTGCTCGCCTCCCCGGGAGAGGTGGGAGCTCCTCCTCGCCTTCCGCCACGAGCCTCCCTGCCGGAGCGGGGAGAATGCCGCTCTGCGAGCTCGAGGCTAATAGTGGAAGGGAGTTAGAGTGGGGAAGGGGCCCCATTGGAAGAGCCGCAGGGCCGCCTGGGGACTGAGCATCGGGGGTGGGGGGGCAGGAGGGTTTTTGGGTGGCCCCTGCTGCGCTCCAAGGGGATCTTCGGCCAGACGCGCTCCTTTGTAGCCCGTGAGAAGCCGCCCTCGAGGAGCCCTCCGGCAGCCCGGCCATTGGTCTTCCCGGGCCCGGCCACCAATCAGCCGAGAGTGGGTCTGGAGGGAAACCCGAAAAAAGGGGGGAGGGCTGGGGGAAGCCGGCAGAGTGAGCGGGACGCGGCGGGGAAGGCGGCGTTGCGAGGCTCCTCAGCCGATCTCGAAGGCTGGCTGGCACTGCGGTTGTCCAGTTACGGGCGGTCCCGTAACAAGCCCCTTCCGGCCGTGGCGCCTGAAGACAGGCGGTCCCCTCGGGCTCTCACCGGGATGCTCTCCCGCCGGCGCCCGGCCACCTGCTCACCAATAAAGCGCTAGTTGTGCCTGGGTTATTGGTCGTCGGCGCCGCCGGAGGCGAATGGGCTTCCTCTCCGCCCCCGCAGCCGGGGAAGGCGGGCTCGGCTCTTGAGAACGCGGCGTTGCTCAGCCTGTCGTGGGCGGCCCCTCCGCTCGGAGAATTCTGGGGCCCGCGTGGGCGGGGCCTCCGTGGAATTGGACCCGAGGCTGGACGGCGGCAGCGGCGAAAGCATGAGCCGGTTCAAGGTGTCCAAGTTCCGGCACGCCGAGGCCAAAGTGGCCCGCAAGGAGGTGGGTGGGCGGGCGGGCGGGCGGGCGGCGTCGTGAGTCGTGCTTACCGCCGGATCGTCTCCCCGGTGAACCGCCGCATCCACCTACCGGGGCGGGCGGCGGCTCGATGGACGCGGCGGTTCCTTGCTCGCCCCCCCCCACCGGGTGGGCTCGGGCTCCATCGGGAGGAAGCGAGCGGCTCGGCCCTCGGCCTCTGTCAGCGATCCCACCGGAGAGGGACGCCGGCGCTTTCGGAGGCGCCTCGCGGCTGCCGGGCTGAGCCGCGCTCGCGTGGGCGCCTCCCGAGACGCGGTCAGGCCCTGCCTAGCGGAGCTGAGGCCGGGGCCGCCCTCCGGCTGTTTCTTGGCCCCGGGGCAGCCGAGGCCCAGAAGAGCCGAAGGGAAGTTACCGGGACTGCATCCGGGGAAGCCCCGCCCTGCAAATTTAGTCCGGTCGGGGGACGAGCAAGGCGGCTTCCCCAACAGCTTCTCGCTGCTAAGGGGCCGGCTGGCCTGGGGCCGCATCCCCGGTGCCAATTGGGCTGGGCTGGGGCCGCCCGGCAGGTGTCTTTCTGCCTTCGCTGCAGCCAGCAATTGGAGCGGCCGGAGTTTGGCGGCCGAGCAGCAGTGGGGAATTCGCCGAACATCTCCTGGTTGCGAAGCCGGATCTCATCGGCCCGTCGCCCGGGCAGCCCCCGGCTAGGGCGGGCGGGGTGGCCCTCACCTCGGCGGCGGAAAAAGCTTCGGAAGGGCCTCTTTAAGCGGAGCCGCCTTTGCCGCTCAAACTTCCGGCTGCAGAGGGAACGCCAGAAGCGCTGATTTTGCAACTATTCCGTTTTATGATTTGAGACGTGTTTTCTCTCGGGGCTTCCGGTTCCCGCAGGGCCAGGGGGAGCGTCCGGGACAGCAAACACCTGAGCTTCCCCGCGGCTCTGCTCCACAGACGCTCTCCCGTGGTTAGCCTGGCCAGGCCGGCGGACAAGCGCGAGACCTCCTGGGATTGGCTGGCCTGACCATTTTCCCCGCCATGCCAGCCGGGTGGAGCCAGTCTCCGTCTCCCTGGGAAGCTGCTTCAGGGAAGCGCTGAACTGGGCAGCCTTATGCCGTGAAATAAAATCTCGGTCTGGGATGGGGGTTCAAAGAAAGAATGGGGGAGCCACACCTCATGTTGGCATAAGAGGCCCATTGGCAGAGCTCCAGCCACAGGGAGGACTCAGGAGTTGACCCTCAGGAGAGTCCAGGGATGACAAAGGAGGCTTTGCTGGTTCCCTCTTTCTGGGCAGTCTGGCCAACTCTGCTCTGAAGCGCCTCCTCCCTGTCCTTGGCTGTGCCCCAGTCACTTCTGCTGCTTTAGGCTTCCCTGGAGAGAAAGCTGCCCTTTGCTCAGGGCCAGATGTCCCCCACTGCCTTCTGGCTCGTGACTCACTTGTGGAAGAAGGTGGGTCTGTGGAGGCCTTTCCACCCCTTCCCCCTCTCCCAGCTTGCTCTCCTCTCTGCGCAACAGGCCTGGATTGGAGATCTCCAAAGCAGCTGCCCTTCAGGGAACCCCCACATCAAGGCCAACACCCGCTGGATTGCATTCAGCACAGACCTGGCAGGTAAGAGGAGCCCCGCCCCGTTTCTGCGCTTGCACTTTGACCTAGTAAGGAGTTTGCAAAAACCCTCTGGGTGTGGCCCAGGCTGAGGGTGGGGAGGCTCCCCTCCAACTGGCCCCAGTCTGGCTGCTCGGGAGGAGTTTTTTTTCCCTTCTGCTCTTCCCTCTAGCAGGGAGCTTGTCTTCTGCTCCCCCCCCCCACGCACACATCTTAAAAAGTCAAACATCATCTGTTGATTAGCACAGAGGCCCAATAGGACTGGCTTCACTTGGCTGGGGCCAGGAAGGAAAGCCCGCTCCCCAGCACTTGGTGCCTCCCTGCTGTGTAGTGGCCACCTTGAGCCAGGTCTGGCCAGAAGCCAAGATTTCCAATAACGACTCCTACCAATAGCTGTGCAGCCTCAGGGCAGCTCTGTGAGTGGAAGGCAAACTAGGGAGAGATTTCCTTCTGCCTGGCAGGTGGGCTGCTCAGGGGGCTGGCTTCATGAAGTTTTTCTGCTTTTTGTCAGGCGTGCTGGGTGCTGTGCCCCTGGAGAGCCCAAAGGGGATCAAGAGAGTTATCTCTCATCTGCACTGCCATTCAGGTGAGCTGGAGAAGCTGCAGGGGCGGCCTTTGGGGGAAAAGGGCAGGTCTCCCATGCAGAGAAAAGAGAAGTTTACTGCTTGGATGAGAAAAAACCTATATAGAGGAAGAGAGAAACAAACTATCTGCTTTCAGTTCTGCTGGCCAGTTGCTTAAGACAAGCTGTTGCTGTTGCAATTGCTCTCTTGCGCAGCTGCCGAAAGGAAGAGTGTCACATGACTCTGAAAAACCCCACACCCCCAGCCTTGTCCTACTTTTGACAGACTGAGCCAGGGCAATCCAGCCCTGCCGCACTGGGCTTGCTTGTGGATGAGGTTGGGAGTTTCACATTTAGCCTGATGTGCGGGCATCGTAGAAGCAGAAGCCAGCCTGCCCTGGACTTTCTGAGACATCCACATGGGGGGTGGGGGGGGCTCCTTCTGCTACACGCTCATCCAGAGGGCATGTCAGGGGTATTGCACCTCCACCTCCATGGGCCCAGGACTGTGGGCTGCCAGCTCAGCGCCTACCCTCTGGAAGCCATAATCTGGACAGAGACTGTAATCCGACAGCTGCACTGCCTGCCTGCCTGAGAGGATGAAGCCCCTGGTCTCAGAAGCTTTGCCGGGCCAGCCCACAGCAGGAAACTGCTGCTCTCCTTCCTGGGGGAGGCACTTTGCATTGGTGGTTCTGCAATTCAAAATCTCTGTCAACTGCAGCTCGAGGGGGGCAAGCAGGAGGAGCTCCTGGGTGGCTGTGCTTGCTCCCACCCCCTTGGAACTGAGAAAACGATGCATCGTGCCCAAGCCTCAAAGGGCTTAGTAGGCACACACACCCACATGTGGGAGCAAAGGGTTGGGGGCTAAATCCTCCCACACCCAGGGAACCAGAGCAGGAAGGGGAGCTGCTGGATTGTGGGTACCCAGAGCGCAATGGGCGGATGGATGGGCAGGGGTCTTGGCTGTGCCTTCTTGACTGCAATTGTCAGAGACTTGAGAAATGGAAAATGGCAGAGTGAACCAAATAATAGTAGGATCTGACCTTCCTCCTCTCACGCCCCCCAAACAAAGACAATTTCATCCCGCTGGGTGGAACAGAGTGGGTGTTTTGGTGTCAGACTGAATGGCCATGGGAGGGGGGGGCACTAGCTGGGAGAAGCTGGGCCCGTTTGCTTGGGGTGAATAAAGAGCCCTCGGGAGGTTCCCCTCTTCAAGCCCAGCTGGCTTTGTGCTGCAGTGGAAAACCTGCTGTCAGATGTGATGGCCGAGGGCCCCCTCGGTCCAGGCCCGAACCCAGAAGCCCCAGCCAAGAACCAAGGGGAGGCTCTGTGATGATGACCCTTTGGCTGAAGAAGCGAGAAGAGAAATGAGTGACTGCCACCCTCCAGTTCAAATCCCAGTTCCAATCCTCCCCGTCCCGTCCCATGCTGGGAGGCAATTCCTTGGGGAGAAGCAGTGCTGTGACTGCAGTGGGCGCCCACAGCCTTGGCTGCCTGCTTCCTTGTGCTGCCTTTCCCTCTCCTCTCCTCCCAGATGTGGTGACAGACTTTGACTTCTCTCCCTTTGACCAGCAGCTGCTGGCCACCGGATCAGCAGATGAAGTTGTAAGTGCAGCATCCGTTGCCTAGCTTCCCCCCAAGGTCCCCCTCTCTGCAAAGGCGGTTCCTGGGAGAACTGGGATGGGTGCAGAGGGAAAGAGGGATGGCACCAAAGTGCATTAGCTGAGAGCTTTCCCCTCACCCTCAGCCCTGCCTGCCCCTGAGGGAGCCTGGCATCCCCCGAGTCTTGAGAGCAGATGCTGAGCTTCTCATGAGCACTGCCAGAGGTCTCTTTCCTGCAGGTGAAGGTGTGGCGTCTCCTTGAGTCTGGCCAAGACCTCTCCTCTTCCCCCCACGTGATGCTGGGGCCAGAGAGGAGCCGGGTGGAGGTGCTTCTCTTTCACCCCACGGCGGATGGTGTCCTGGCAAGTGCGGCCGGGAAGGCAGTGAAGATCTGGGATGTGGAGCAGCAACAGATCCTTACTGGTACGATCCTAGTGGGTGCCCTTTGATTGCCCTCAGGGTGGACTGGGGGATACCAGGGATCCTGGGTGGGACCAGTTGGCCCCAGGAAAAGTGGAGCAACCATTACCCAGGTCAGCCCCTTTTTCCCTGTGCTTTCATCGTTCTGTCCAATTCTCTGCCAGTCTGGAGCTGTTCCCTTTGCCCATCCCAAGCAAGCACCAAAAGCTACTCCCGCATGCCTGGCCAGGCTCCCCCCAGGCTGTAGTCCTGCCAGAGGACCTGACCAATTTCTCTGGAAGCAGAGCTGAGAGGCTGCATTTTTGGTCTCCCTTCCTGGAACAGGCCAGCCGCCTTGGGCCACTGCCCACATGGGTAGATGCTGGGGGAAGGTGGCCAGAAAGAGGGACGGCAGGCGAGCCTCCGGTCAGGAAGAGTGGCTCTGACAATCACAAGAAGAGGAGAAGCCAGGCTTGCGCGAGAACCACAGAGCAACCTTGTGGGCAGCGCTGCAACTCCAATTTCAGAAGGCGGAAGGAGATGGGGGTATTTTCTGGGCTGAGGACAGGAAGCGCTTTGTTGCCAAGGATTGTGCTCCTGCTAGGAGCAGCAGTAGGTGGCGGGGAGAAGGGGAATGACATGACTTTGGAATTGCTCAGGCTGTTGCCTGGCAGAGAAGGTGGCTGGTGCAGCTGGAGGGATCGCAGCTCACCAAATGTGCACCCTTGAACCAGTTCAGGGGCCCCTGCAGCAGCCCCTGCCCCAGGGACGGGAGCCAGCATTGCAGGTCAAGCCTGACCTGATATGGAAGTGGGAAGGAAGGGCAGCAGGCAGAAAAGCTCTGAGTCAGAGGAAAACAACCCAGAAGGAGCTGAGCAGGACTTCAGCTGCTCAGTTGTCTCCATGCAACTGGGGGGGGGGTCGGGTTCCATTTGGCATCTTGTGCAAGCCCTGCCACTTGTCAGTAAATCAAGATTTATAATTGTGGAAAGCAACATCAGTCCCCCATCAAGCCAGGGAGAGACGCCCACCTCATGATCTGAGTGGTTCAAGTAGGGTCCTGGCGGGTCCCGGAGGGCACAAAACCAGGCCCGTTTCATTCTTCTCTTCAGAGCTGGAGCCTCACCTGAACTGGGTGCAAAGTTTGGCCTGGAAGCCGGACGGGTCACTCCTGGGCACTTCTTGCCAGGTGAGTGCTGTTGGGAAGGAGCGGCCAAAACAAGGAGCTGGCTCTTGAGTGCAGGTGGACACCAGGGGGCGCCATGCTCCATGCTGTAGTGTTGGTGCCCTGGCAATGAGCAGCCGCTTGCCCTTTGCTGCCATCTAGTGGCGCCTCAGAGGGATCCCTACGTTGCATTCTCTTGCCTGGTGCATGGTGGGTGAGGCCCTGGGAGCGCCTGATTGGGAAGGAACATTCTTTCCCCATGCTTGCGTCCCCCAGGAGAGTGGTGTCTCCTTGGGGCCCCCAGGCCCATCCCAGCCAAGAATGGGCAGGGCTGCAAAGAGAAGGTCATTCCTGCCCCCTGCAGCCTTGTGGAGACTTAGCCCGGCATCAGTCAGGCTGCTGTGACAATCTGGGGCACTCCCCCCTCCCCATGGGCAGGCGAGAAGTGGACGCTTCCCCAAAGGCCAGGACATCAGCAGGCACTTGCACAGCTGCCTGACACCCCTCGCACCGCCCTACTGGCAGCAGCATCATCCAGGATTAGCTCCCCTTCCCACATTCTCTGGCCTGGCTGACCGTGCCCAGGGTTGGAAGGGGGGTCGTGGGGCTGGGGCAGAGCAGTGGGCTGAGCTGATGACCACTGGGCCTCCCTTTGCTCCACAGGACAAAAGGCTGCACATCTTTGACCCACGGGCCAAGTCGGTGGCCTGCCAGGTAGAGTATCTAGGGGCTGTGGGGGTGCCAAGGGGGGAGGGCAGGGGACCCATCTGGGGCAAACTCCACACAGCTGACACCATCCAGTCCCATCTAACGCACAGACACACACCTGGGTAATTCTCAGGAGGAGGAGGCAGGAAGGCAGGTCCGTGAAGCAGCTCCAGGGGTAAATAGGTGCCAAAGGGAAGCCGTCCTCGAAGTCCGAGCTTAGCTCCCAGATTGCAAGAGGATTGCAAGCTGCTGCCCAGGGTCCAGAGCTGGGAGTGGGACTGCTTGGGAATAGGACCACGCAGATACCCCCTGAGGTCAGGCTCCGGCCCCCCTTTGCAGCCTGACAGGCAGACTCTCCCCGGTTTTTGATTCTTAAGGAGGCTGTGAGAAGCCAGTAATGAGCTAGTCTGCATTCCAGGACCCTATTTACAGCGTCACCTCATGGTCTGCCCTCTATGCTGGGACGGAGGAGGACCAGAGACTCCCCTCCTGGTGCATCTCTCCCCCCCCCCCCACATTGCCCATCTGAGAGAGGGTGCAGGGGTAGAGAAGCCACAGCGGAGGTGGTGGTCGGAGCTCTGCTCTGCTTGGGGATCATTGCACCACCCCCTCCTCCTGCTTATCCAAGGCCCGTTCTGTGAGCAGGGCTGTTCTGGCAAAGGCCCCAGGGGAAGGAGGGGTCATTGGGGGCTCTGTAGCCAAGAGGCATGGGGGTGTCTTGAGCCTTAGGCTCAAGAAGGGTGGAGGCTTCCCTGAATTAGCCAAGCAGGGGAGAGCGGGGCCGTGGCCGGCCAGAAGACATTGCTGGCTGGGAGTCACAAACTGCTGAGCTCCAGGCCGGCTGTGAGTCGAGCAGCTGCTGATCTTCTTTGGGGAGGCAGGTTGGGGGGCTGCTCCCCCTCCTCTCCATGCAGTGCTGACGTGGCTGCCTTCCTTTTGTCTGGAAGTTACTACTTCCCGCCTGTTTCCCCACGAAATGGAGGGACCTGCATGCGTCATCTCTGCTGTCAGTCTCAGAGCTTTCCTGGGGGATGGTTCAGTGCAGGAGAGCAGCGGGGGCGGAAGGGGGCTGAAACCCGGCTCTACTTCTTCCAAGCAGCAGAATGTCTGTTTCCTCCCTCCTGTTTTGCTCCGTGGCTGAGGGAGGTGGGACCGATGGGAGGGTCTGCCTGTCTTCTTCCTGGGTTGGAGGGTCTGACGTGGCTGGATCGGGCCCTGGGCATTGGGCCACCTTAGCAGCAGCCTTTTGATCCTCCAGCCCTCGTAGCACAGCCTGCATGGGTCTCTCTCCAAGGTCTGCCCCCCCAGCGAATGGGGGCGGCATCTTCTTTGGGCTGGGAACACCAGAGCTGCCCATCCAGTTGCTCCCAAAGTCCCCTCAGCAACTAAGAGTTGCAGCTGACCACTATGGCACCCCCACACCCACTTTCTTCACACAAACTCTGCCCAAGACCCAGCAGTCTGGAAGAGCTGCAATGCAGTGGCAGCCCAAGGAGCCTTTGGGGGAACTGCCCCACACTGGTGCCCTCGACTCCAGTCTGCTGGATGGAGGCACTGATTTGAAGGGACTCACTGGAGGGGGGGGGGAAACACGTCCCATTCCAAGGGTCTCCTCTCTCCTCACTAGTAGGAATCTGAAAGGTAGCCCACCCCAACCCTCTGTCTTCTCCCCACAGACTGTCCTGGCACATAAGGGCGGCAGGGAGGCCCAGCTGCTGTGGGTGAACACGGAAGGCTGCTTCCTCTCCGTGGGCTCCAACCAGGTGGGGATTCTGTCTGTCTCTCCTGCGGGGCTGGGGGGCTCGGGCGGGGGGCGAATCCTGACAGACTGGGGGCCCTTCCTCTGCACCCTCTGGAAAGGACATCTCCCCGGCACAGCCTGCCAGGGCTCTGTAGTCCCTCCGAGGCAGCCCCTCAGCCTCGCCTCCCTTCCAGATGATGGAACGGGAAGTGTGCCTCTGGGACAGCCGCCAGTTGAGCAGCTCCCTGACCTCCGTCACACTGGACGCCTCTCCCAGGTAAGGGGTTGCGGCAACTCCCAGTGTTTGGGGGTGCAAATGGGTGGCAGGGGTGGGCCAGGCTGGCGTTCCACCGGATTGGCCCAGAGGCCGCTGGGCACGGTGGAAGGCCCCAGGGCTGCTGCTGCTACTCCCCATGCTATCTGGCCCAACCTGCCTGGATTGGCACCTGCACCCGCAGCTCCTCTAATGGAGGGGGGACACAGTCAGAGTTGCAGGAGGGATCTTGCTTAAAGTAGCTGGCTAGAGTTGGACCCATCGACTCCGAGAGGAGGTGGGGAATATGTGGAGAAACATTATGTGGACATTGCAACTGCCACTCCTCAAAGAGTTCCTTCTAGGATCCTTCCAGGTCACCAGGATGGGCCTCTTCGGCTTTTGCCCTTTCCCCAGAACTTCGGGGTCTCCAAGCGCATCACACTCCTGGGGTGGGGTGACATCCTTGTAGCAACTCAGGTGGGGGAGGCCTCACTTCCTGGTAGGCTCTGATTTCCTTGGATTGTCCAAGGGGGCGGCTGCAGGCATGGAGGAAGGGGTCAAGGGATGCCAGGTTGGCGGCTTGTTTTGGCTACCACTGATAACTCTGCCAAAGAATGTGTGGGGCTGGTTGGTGCCGCTTATCTGCCTGCCCCTGGCAGGTTTTGCAAGGCTGCCGTCTTGTTGCCATCAAGCTGATAACTGTGAGATAGGAGGGGCTGATTCTGATGGGATGGGGGGCTGTGTGGGGGAAGGAAGCACCTCCTTCCCAGCAATGGGGCTGTTTCTGGAAGGCTACTTAGCTAGGGAAGTCTGTGCCTCCCTTCTCGCCCTTCCGGAAACGGAGGGATGGTTGGCCAGGCTTCTCTCCTCCTCTCCTCCCCACCACCCACATGCCTCTCCCCAAGGGGGGAATTGAGCTGGACCTGCTTTTTTGACAACTTTTCACTGCTTGGCTACAGAGAGGAGTTGACGGCTGCTCTCCGGCTAAGGAGAGCCAGCTGCAGTGAGCTGCCCCTCTGCCCACCTAGCCCCTCTGTGGTAGGGACTGCTGTGCCCTCAGCCCTTCAGCACCAGAACCCCGCTGTCCGGTTCCCAGGGCAACTCTGGGAATGGAGGAAGCTTCAGCGAAGGGCATATGGGCTCTGCAGGGGGCAGGAGGGGAAGTAGGCCCCGTTGCTCAGGAGATCTGGGGACACAGTGCAGGTAATGCCAGGGGCTTAGCACAACCCTGGCCCTCTCCCAGGAAGGGCTGGTGGGCACATCAGAGCAGCCTGCCACATTAAACCATGGAGGCCTTGCTCCAGCCCTGGCTCCCTCCTACCTGCCTTGCCCCCTAGATTTTGCAGAACTTTCCAGCCAAGAAAAGGCTTCCCATCTAGCCTGGTGGAGCTGCTCCCACCCATCTTCCCTTCCAGGTTGGGAGAAGGGGCTATGTTTTGACAGCATCGGAGGTGGGTGTTGGGCTCTCATCTCACAGATCTGGCCCTGCCTGGAGAGGCTATCATCTGACTGGGGGGCTTCAGTTGGCAACCGCTCTAGGAAGCGCATCGCCAACGTGGATCTTTGTGTCCTGGCCATCCTGGAGCGTCTCTGCCCACTTCCCTCAGGGTATCTGAGTCACCTCAAAGAATAAGCAGCTGGCACCGCCTTTGGCCAGGCCTGGTCCCTGTCCCATGGGTATAGCCGGCAACATTTCCAGGGAGCACTAGGGGAAGATGTTTTTGTAACCCCCCTCCCAAGCAGGGGCACTGAAGGGCTGGCAGAAGCCTCTGCTGCCAAACACTGCAGCGAGGAGGAGCTCTGTTCCTGCCCCCCCCCCCCCCCGCCCGCCCTTGAAGGCTGCGGAGTCAGCCCTTTTCCCGCTCTGGGTGACTCAAGCGGCTGGCAAGCTCTGAGCTCCCTGCCTTCCAAGCCTGGAGGAGCTGGCCAGGACTCCTGGGTGGGACTGGCTTGGCTTGGCCATAGGGCTGCTGCCTGCCTTATCCCCCCCCCCACTTTATCCTCTCAGCTGCGGTTGGAAAATCCACGTGGCTCATAAGGAAAATATTTGCTCAGCAGCCGTTTTTGCAGGAATCTGCTATGTTAATTTGAACAGTCTGCTGGGGATGACAAAGGGCCCATTCAGTGGGTCAGCCAGTTCCTGTGGGGAGCTTCCTCGGTGCCGCCCACTTTCCCCAGCTTCCCTGTGGGCCAGCGACTCCCAGGGGCCCCTGGCTTCCCCGGGGACTGTCCAGCTGCTTCCCAGCCCTGGAGGGCAGTCAGCTTTGGTGCACTCCCACCTTTCCTAAATTAGCTGCCCTGCTCTGACAAGATTGCTGGCATGGGGCTGGGGAGAGCTGGGTACCTTGTCCTGCCAACAAATGGATGGTTGAACTCTGGAATAACCTTGGTCAGCGGATCAGGCCTCTGACCCGGTTGGAGCTCTCTAAACAGGGCTGCAGGGGTGCTGCTTCTGGCCATTGGGATCCTCCCCATGGTTTTCTTGGCTCGGTCTGCAAATGCATCTGCAGGTGCCACCTGTCCAGGAGGAAGCTGGTTTCTTTCCCTTTTACCACTTGTGGGTGTGAGGTTGCGGCTTGCTAGATCTGCCTGGGTGGCATTGCCAAGGTGTTCCTGGGGCAGCTGAGAGATCACCCTGGAGGTGGTGAGCGCAAATGAGCTCTTCGGGACCCCTCCCCGGAGCCCCTTTAGAGCAGCAGGACCTTCCCCGGGGGCCGGGGGGGTCTCCTTGCTCTGGGCTCCAAAGGTCAGATCTGCATGGTGAGCACAGGGGCTTCAGCTGCTCCCCTCCTCGAGAGGCTCTTCTGGCCTGACCAGCCAGCAGCTCCCTGGAGAGAACCCGCCTGGAGTACAGGGAGGCTAGTAGCCTGTGGGTCAAGCCAAGCTGTGCAGGCACCCTGAGAGGGGGGCTTCTTGGGGGGGCTTCAGACGATAAAGGGAGAGGAATTTCATTTTGGCTGCGCTGCTCACAGCCCGGGTTCCCCAGCACAAGAGCCATTTGTGAACTAACCCCGATTTACCAACTGAACCCAACTGTGTGCATTCATGCATCCCCTGGAGCCATGATTTAGCTACTTTGGGCCTGGTCGTTGGGCTTTCCAAGTGCCGAGTGCCCATCTCCTGCAGTCTTGAGGAGAGAGCTGTTGCAGCAGCTCCGGATCACCGCTCTGTCTGAATTCCAGGCGGATCCCCTAATGCGATCCACGTGGTGCCTGCCTGATCCAGCAGCCGCAGGCTTGGGAGGTGGGAGAAGCTGGCTGGGCCCAAGGACGGCCAGGCAGAGGCAGCTGTGTAAACACGGCTCAGGCTTGGCCGGAGCAGAACTGTGGCTGATGCTGCCAAAGGGGGGACTGCTGGTAGGCGGCTATAGCGGCCCTGTCAGGCTGGAGTTGAGGGGGGCTGCTTTAAGGGGTGGCTCCTCCCCCTCTAGGAGTGGGCATCCTCTGGAAATGGTAGGGCAGGCCTCTGCCCTTGCCTGCCCTGCTCCGGGGGCATTTCCACTGGGGCCTGTCCAGCTGAAGGGCTCCAACCGGGCCTGGAGTCAGGTGGCCCCCTCGCTGTTCGAACAGAGGCCTCCCCCTCATCTGGGCCCAAAGCACCACCTGACTATGGCTGCCCAGCTCCATGTGGTTAGCAGAGGAGAGCAAGGAGCTGCGCCTAATTTTCAACCCACTTTTGGTGGTCTGAAGGTGGTTCCTTGACTCGGGCGTGGATCTGTTCCTGTGGACACAGACCGTGGCCCTGCTGTGCCAGTAATGGAAACATGAAAGACTGGATTGGGCCCAGTGACCTGCCCCACTCCTGGCTTACTGCATTCTGTGAATCCAACCACCTGTTTTGTCCAAGCATTAAGTCTAAACTGCATCTACTCGGAAGAACCTGCTTCTAAGCACAGGGAAGGGCCAGCAGATGCCCCGGCCCAGAGGCCTAACTGGCCTGCCCGGCCTAGGCTGTAACAGACTTCCTGGTGCCTCTTTCCAGCTACTTGGGAAAGGCATTGGGGGGGGGCTCTTGCAAAGACCCCATGTTTTGGAAGCTCTTGGGCCCCCAGGGCTGCAGCTCAAAAGGCTGGCATTACAAGCAGATGCCTTGGTGTGTTGCGGAGGGTGTAGCCAGGCTCACAAGGGACAGGGTCAGTGTGAGGGTGTCTTCCAGCACATTCTGTATTCTCCGCCTGCAGTAAGAGCTGGAGACTGTGTGTTTGCATTGTGCCCCTTTTCTGCAAATGCAGCCTGTGAACAAGGCTCTTGCTCACACTCACATTTTTCTACAAAAGCATTTATAACCTGCACAATCCGTACAAAACTTATTTTTGTACAAAAGCATTTATCATCTGATTTTACAAAACATATCAGTCTGTTAGGAAAGTGACTGCCCAGGAGGAAAGAGACCAGGCAGTGACAACTAAGACTTCAGTTTTGGGTCGCTGGGGTGCCCGGAGGACCTGGTCTCCTCTTCCTCCTCTTCGATTAATGGAAAAGGCTCTGCTCCTTCATGTGGTTTTTTTTTACAGCTACCCCCATAGGTCTGTAGGCTTGGGGCTGCCCTCGGCAGAGAACTCAGATGCCGCCAGCAAGGTGCCCTTGCTGTGGGAGGTGACCTCTTTCTGTGCCCCTCTCTGGCCTCTCCCTGGACATTGTCCAGACTGGCACCAAGGAAGCCACCCACACCCTGCTTTGCCCTTCAGTGACCCTAAAAGTAGGAAGGGCCCAGGGCCCGAGGGGGAGCAGTGTCTGTGAAATGGGGGTGCATGAGAGGCACCTCATATTCCAGGCTGAGGGGCGCCACAGTCTTGGGACTCTGCGTCACCAGATCCCCCTTCTCCCCACACATTGCTACCCCCTCCAGCTCCAACGGACCAGAGCTAGGGGTTCCGGGGGCAGCCTGGGCCTTCCTCTGCTGCCTGCGCTGTCGCACATAGTAGGAGCTGGCGACCGCCACCCCCAGCAGGAGCAGCACAGCTGCCACAGGAGGTGCCACCACCAGCGGCAGGTCGGGGCCTTTGCCCTGCTTGACACGGGCGTGCTGCTGGTGGGTTGGGTGCAGCGTGTGGGCCTCCACGCAGAGCTGCTCCTGTGGGGCCTTGTCACCCAGGGCCCCAACGCAGATGTGATACGAGGAGTTGGGCTTCAGGGCCCGCACCGTGTATTCGGGCAAGGCAGCTGGCAGGCTGAGGGTGACGGGCCGCTTGTCTGGCCCCGAGAGGTTCCAGTAGGTCAGGCGGATGCCCTTGAGCTGAGGCTTGGAGCGGATGTAGTTCTGTAGGCCCACTTTGACGGAAGTGCTTCCCACGTGCTTGACAGCTATTTGCTTGGCCTGGGTGGGCTCTGACGGAGTGGTCACCTGCCCCCTGTCTACCTCACAGTACAATCCAGTGAAGCCCAGGGGGCAGAGGCACTCCAGGTGGTGGTTGGGGCCTGGCTGGCACAGGCCCCCATTAAGGCAGGCGTGCGGTGGGCAAAGATGGACCTCGGGGCTTGGCTGGCCGTCCGGGGCGGGCGAGGCTGTGGTCATGAGGCCGCCATGCCTGGTGGTGGGATGGCCGGTGCCGGCCTCTGGGGGAAGGGGCCTGCTGCTGGGAAGGGGGCTGGTGAGTTTGGGGCTGGTTGCTCGTAGGGTGCTGCTGGTGGTGGTGGGGCAGCCAAAGTCTGCATACTCCAGCTGCTGGAGCAAGCGGCCTGCGTTTTTGGGGGGGAAGTGGCAGCGGGTCTCTTCCGGCCTCCGGAGTGAGGCTTTGCTGAGCCTGGCCCAGCTGACGATCCAGCTCATGTGGCAGACACAGTTGAAGGGGTTCTCCGCTGCGGTGACCGCCCTGAGTCTGGGGAAGGAGGCAAAGAAATCCCAGGGGAGCCCGTTGAGGTTGAGGTTGCTGATGTCCAGTTCCTGCAGATGCTGGAGCTGCTGGAAGTCCTCTGCACGCAGCTGTGAGATCAGGCCGTTCCCTGCCAGGCTGAGCCTGGTTAGCCCGGGCAGCTGGCTCAGGACCCCGGGCACCCTGGTGAGCAGGTTGTCTGAGACATCCAGCTCATGCAGGTTGTGCAGGCTCTGCAGGAGCTCCTCATCCACGCTGCCCAGGCCCAGCCCAGCCATCTTCAGGGACTCCAGACTCCGGACATGGAAGGTGCCTGTCTCGAGGGCTGTGATCTTGTTCCGGCTGATGTCCAGCAGCAGGAGGGTGGGCAGGTTGAGAGGTGGCACCGTTTGCAGCTGGTTGTCCTGGAGCTTCAGTTCCAGGAGGTTTTCCAGCGAGTCAAAGGCGGCTGGGTGAATGCTCTGGAGCTGGTTGCGATCCAGGTAGAGCCGCTCCAGCAGGCGCAGTCCATGGAAGCTCTCGTTGGTGACCTCCTGCAGCTGGTTGGAAGATAGGTCGAGATTGTGGAGTCCCGGCAGTAGCTGGAAGACGTTGCGTGGCAGGCTGGATATGAGGTTCTGGGAAAGGTCCAAGAGCTGGAGAGCAGGCAGCCCTGCAAAGCTGTCCTCGCTCAGTATACGGAGACCACTCTCAAACATGTACAGGTGGGCCGTGTCTGGCGGCAGCCCCTGCGGAATGGCAGGGCTGCTCCTGGCGATGCAGAAGACGGTCTGGGGCTGGTTGCACTGGCAGTCGGCTGGGCAGCCCTGGGAAAGGCTACCAGCTGGGAAAAGCAGCAATGCCCAGATCAGGGGGAGCCTCATGGTGGAGCTTCTGCAGACAGAAAAGCAGAGTGGAGGTGGGTCACCTCTGACCTCGAGGGCATTTGCAAAGCCCCCGTGGGCCACCCCTGCCCAAGCTTTTCTCCTAATGCAAGTCCTTCTGGATATTTGCCTGATCCCAGAACTTTTCTGGGAGGCAATCCTGGCTTTTACCCTACACCCCCTCCGCACACACCGTGGTTCAGTCTAGGTACCTTCTCAGGGATCAGCAGGACTGGAAGCTAGCTTCCTTCCCAGGGGAGAAGAGCCTCCCTTTGGTCCTCCCAGCATTCAGATCAAACAAGGAGGGGCCAGAGAACCAAGAGGAGGGGGCTGGCCGTTTGCAGAAGAGACCCTGGTTTATTGGGAGGACATGCAGCTGCTGGGCAGACTTTCCTTTTGGAGCTAAGAAACATTCTCCCCCCCCCCATTCGCCGGCAGCTGGCATGCACCGCCACTTTGGGGCACCCCGTTTAACTTGGCTGCTATTCCACAGACCTGGGGGCGGGGGGTGATTTTGATTTTATGGAAAGCCAGCAAAGGAGGGCTCCTCCTATGCAGACACCAAAATTGTAGCTCTGCCCATCCCTGTCCAAGCGCTGGGGAGGGCAAAGCACACACACACAGAGGCATCCTTGGCAAGGATGGGCAGCCTGGCTTGGAGAAGGCAAGGTGGCTCCCAACTGGCTCCAGTGTGCCCCCAACCCCTGCCTGTCACCTCAGCCAGTATGCAATCACAGGCAGCTCGTCTGTCGCCTCATTTAATAAGTGAGATGATTAACTTTGGCTGTGGAGCTCTTAGAAAGGCTGCTGCTCACCAGGTGATCAACTCTGGAATGTGCAGCTGGAGGAGGAGGAGGAGGGCCGTGAGTTCGCTTGCAAAGAGAGGGAGAGGCCTCCCCCCACTCTGCACTTTGAGAGACTGAGCCCCCCCCCCCCGCCAGCCCTCCTCATGGTAACCCTGCCCCTGCCCTGCTCTCACCCTCGTCTGATGTAGGAGGTCCAGGCCAGGGCTGTGAGCAGAGCCGCTGGAGACCCCTGACATTTGCAGTGGAGTTGGCCCCGTCTCGGGAAGCGCCACACTTTACAAGGTGTCCTCATGAGGATGGCATTGATTCACATGCAGTTAATTCCATTGCCCTGGAACCAGCCCTCAGCCATTGTGATCACCTTGGGCTTAGGGACCAAGACTTGAACGGGTCAGGCCAGGAGAAAGAAGCAGGGAAGCTGCTGGAGGACTTTGCCCTATGGACAGCCCCCCCCCAATCATGGTTGGCTCTGCCCCGTCCCTTCATTCATCGATCTGGCTGGGGACGGGATGTCACCAACCTTCCCCATTTGGGCCTGCAGAGGAGAGGGGCCAGAGCAGTTCCCCCCCCCACGCCTGCCACCTCCCGGTTTGGGCAGCTGATAAGCAGCCTGCTGCCCCCAATGGCCTATTGGGAGACGTGGCTTCTGCCCAGCAGGCTCCCTCCACACCCTGCAAGGCTTGGGAGCGCCTGCCTGGCCTGGAAGCCATCTGGTCCCAAGATGCCGCTCGGAAGGCGCCCCGCAGGCTCAGGCTAAGAAAAGCACCAAGCGTGGGGCAGCTGGCAAAGGATCAGAGGCTCCTTGACCCACAGCAGCCGTCCCTGGAGCCAGCCCTGGCTGGGGAGGGGAAACCACAGGACACGCCCCATGCAGGCTGGGGGGGGGAGGAACCGCAAACACCTGGAGCCACTGCGCCTTCCAAAGCAGCCAGAGGGCAAGGGGTCCCACTTCTGGTCTTTCCTCCCCATATCATTTTGCCTTTCCATGAAATCTGGGGTGGGGGGGATTGCTTAAGGAGTGCAGCAGGTCAGAGGCCCCGGCTGCTTGCTGGGTCCAGGAGGTTTGTTCCCCAATCAAGATTAGGTCGCCTCATGCTGGGTTGAAATCTTCTGGAGGGGGATAATGCATAATCCAGGACCCTTCAAATGGGGAGCAGTGGGAGGGAGGAGGGATCCTGCGAGGGAGGCGAGGGCTGGAGCAGGAGATTGGCTGAGAACAGAGAGGACTAGGCTGCTCTTGCTCCTCCTCCCTGGCCAGGCAGAGGCTGCACCCACACTGGTGGAAAGGGGACACGACCCCTCCCTTGGATAAGTCCCCCCCTTGCTCCTGCACGCTGCCTCTGCTTCCTTCTCCAGCCAAGCTAGCCATGGAGTCCCCTGGGCTGCTCCTCAGCCTTGGGCACCCCAAGTATCCTCTCCTCCCTTCAGAGCTATGGGGGACCCCAGCCAGGAAATGAGCCCCCAGCCTGGCCCTGCACGGAGAGGGCAGCTGGGTCTTCTGAGGATCCTGTGGGAAGAGGATGCACGTGCCCGCCTGCGCTTGGGCAGGGCCCTGGGCCTTTGGGCAGCAGGCTGTCATTAGCCTGGCACAGGCGTAACCCCTAATTAGGCCAGGGAGGAGCTGCCTAACCCGCATTCCCCTGGCCAGGAGGAGGTGGCGGTGGCTGCAAGGAGTCAGGCAGGTTGGGTGGCAGCAGTGGGGCAGAGGGTGGGGAGCGCCCCTCACTTGGCTTGGACTTTGGGGTCTTGTCCAGGGTAGCACCCTTGCAAATGGGGGGGGGGAAGCCCCCCCAGCAGTGAGGCTGGAGTTTCTCCTGATTTGTGGCACAGAAGAAGCCTCTGTTCGGCTTGGGGAGTCCTCCAGGCCTGGGACTGAGGCGCCTTCACACAAGGTTGCATTGTCCAGGCTGGCCCTCCAGCTCAAGGCTGGAACCAGATGAGGAAGTTGGTTGAGGGGAGAGCCCTGACATCCATGCCCCCCCACCCGAGATGGCAAGAAAATGCAAGCTTTACCCCACATTGCAAGACAGTTGCCAGGCTGAGGATAATGTTGCCCCCCCCCTTACTTGGGGATCAAACAGGAGTCAGCTGCCCTGTAGAAGCACTCTACCTCTTTCCCTGCAAAATTAATTTCTAGCTTTCCCTCCACCCTTGTCTCCCTTCCTCCCCCCTTGGAGGACTTGGCAGCCTCTCACCTTCCCAGCCACAGCATTCCTGCCCCCCCTCTCGCTTCTCCAGTTCCCCCCAGGTGCTGGGGAGGGGGCGAGCCAGCAGGTAGCACTCAGGTGCTCATCTGCAGTGTGTGGGAAGCCTTCTGCCCACCATTCCCCCTAGGCTCCGAAAGAGAATTCCATTGCGTGAGCAGAGGCTGGCTGGCTGGCGAGGGCTGTTTTTCTGGTTGGGTCCTGGGCCAAGACAGCTGGCTAAGTGAGAGACGTGCTGATGCCCCTGAGCCCAGCCTATGTGTTTGGCCAGAGGCTCCCCAGGAAGTGTGCCGGTCCCCAAGCCGTGTGTGGGTGTTCCCAGCTGGGCATCCTCTGCACCAATTTGACTGCTTAGTCATGAGAAATCACAGCATTGTGCACCCATCTTGAACCCACAACTGCGTACAGTCTTGGAACTAGGTTCCTCCAGAAATGCAATTCAACTGTTGGCCATACTCAAGCAAGGGTGCAGATTCCCAGCTTGCAAACTGCTTCCTTGAGTCTCAGAGCACCCTTCCTAAAATTCCTGACACTCCCACCCCCACTGGAAACAGGAAACTTCTGGCTGGTCTAGCAGGCATGACCTGTGCTCTATTCCTAGGAAGGAGCAGCTCTCCCCCACCTTAGGAGGGGCTCAAGGGATGAGCCCCGTTGAGCTGGGTCCACTCAAAACATCAAGGAGGCCTTTGCTACTGCTTCTGGGCTTAAGGCTGCTTCTGGGAATCCCCTCCTCCACCCATCCTCCCTGGGCATAGGGCCCACAAGTCACTGCCTCTACCTGGGCAGCAGCTCTCCAATGTCCCCCTCCCCATAGCCCTCCAGTGCTCCCCCCCAGTCCAGACTGTATTGTCTCTTGGCAATTCCTTGAGGAGGGGAGTGAGCAGAGTGGGGTCTGGCAGTGATCCAGGTGCCTCCCCAGAACTAAATTGTTTGCCCTGAAGAACAGGAGGAGAGGTGGCACAGAAGAGACACACTCTGGGGCCCACGGCTGGCAGCCCCAGACTCAGGCACCCTTCCCAGCCAGATGCCCAGCCAAGTTCCTGAGCAGAGATCTGGGGGACAGGCTGAATAGGGGGGGGGGCTGAAGGCAAGGCCACCTGGGTCGAGGAGGAGGGAGCAGCCCAACAGCTTCACTTCCTCTTGGTGGGGGGGAGATTGTGGGGGGAGCCAAGATTCCACCAGTTTGCCTTGGCAAGAAACATGGAAGGCTGGCCGCCTCCACTCCCACCCAGGCCGGCTTGGGCTCTGCTGCTTCAGGGTCTTTGTGTGGCTATTCTCTAAGTGGTGAGGGCCACTGTGGGGTGGCACCCAGAGCAGGGCAGAAGATGGCCCCACACGGGGCATGCAGTTTGCCAACACCCCACCTAACACAGCAGGCCAGAGAAGCTCTTGAACTGGCTGGCGTCTGCCGGCCTGGTGCCTGGAAGAGCACTTTGCACATGTTCAGAGTTGCCCAGGGCTCAGCCAGATGCAGGCAAGTCGACAGTTGCTCTCCCGAAAGGGAAGCGAGTTCAGCGACCTCCCACCGCCGTTCGCCCTGGTTACCAGCTCCGGGCCGGACTCATCCCGGGGAGGCGCGGCGACGACAGGCGAAGTGCCTCAAATCAAGGGGGCGAGGAGGCGGAAACGTCCGTGCACCTCGAGCGCCCTTCGTCGTCCTACCGTTTCCTACGGAGCCCCTCCCATCCGCGGAGCGAGGAGCTTTCCGGACGGCGGGGGCTCGGGGCACTTACCGACCGGGCCCCCCGAGACGAGGCAGGGCCGGGGTGCTGCTAGCGCGCGACGCGTCGGGGCTGCTGTGGTGCCTGCTCCATCGCCGGCTCCGGGAAGCGGTGGCGCCTGCCTCGCTCCCTCCCTCCCGGCCAGGCTGGCCGCGGCTCTGCTGACTCGGGTTTCAGCGCTCGGAGCCGCGGAGGGGCGGCGGGCGCCGATTGGCTGGGGAGCCCGGGAAGGAGGAGCGGCCAGCCCCTGGGCGCCCCTCCCCCGCCCCTCCTGCTGGCCGGTCCTTGCCGGGGCACCGCGGGGGAGGGAGGGAGGGAGGGAGGGAGTCGGGCTGGCCTCGTTGCCTACGGCGGGACTAAAACTCGAGTGCCCGCTCAGCCCTAGTCCGCCGCCTCCACTCTTTCCAGCCTTGGCCCGGCAGGGCGGACCAGCTGGGGCCGCCTGCAGACCGGGAGGAAGGGATTTGTGGCCCCGAACCCCCACAGGCTGGCCGGGCAGGAGAGCCTCGCTGGGTCAGGACGGGCCCGTCTCCGGCACCTGCCGCTCGCATCGCACCAGCCTCGTGCCGGGATCCCCTGGCGGCCCGTCAGACGAGCCGCCTTGGCGAGATCCTCCTGAAAGACCTGCTGGGCCTGTTCGGGGAGCGGGAGGGGCCGGGCTGGGCTTGCCATTTGGAGCGCTTGGGCCCCTTCTCAGGTGGCGGCACCCGCCCCAGAGCGGCCTTTCCCTGCCCACAGCCGGCGCTGCCTCCTCTTCCTGCTGGCCGGCAGGAAAGTTGCCAAGACTGCTGCCCCCCCCCCCCCCCCCAGTGGGGAAGAGTGTCGCTGGCGAGAAGGCAGCAGGGCACCGGCGCTCTCTCCCTGGGCCCTCAACTCCCCAGGAGGGCCCTCCTCCGGGCCCAGCCCACTCGCTGCCCACCCCCGGGGAGGGGGGTGTTTGCAGACCAAGGGGTGGGGGAGAGGACTGTCTGCTGGCAGGGCCCCTGAGACCGATGCTGATGTGGGTCTTACCTGTCCCTGAGGGTGACCCAGAAGCTGGCAGTGGGAAGGAAGAGAGAGCGATCGCAGGGCTCCCTGCAGCTGCCACTGCTGGGTGCAGGGTTAGCTGGCTGCCCATGCAAGGGCACGAAAGGGGCACTTTTCTTCTAGTCCCCCTCCCCCCCTGGGAAGAGGGTGGATCCTTACTCCCACCTGCTTAATGGGAGATGCAGGCGGCTGCACGGCTGGGCGGTGAAGGGGTTCCAGCAAGGAGTGGGCCAGCACTCTGCCCAGGCGCAGGCAGTGCCGGGAAAGACTGTTCTCAAAGGTGGTTAGAGGGAGGCTGGGAGGGTGTTGGCAGCACAGAGGCCAGGGGGGCACATCCCAAGAGCGGAACAGGCACCCTGGCAAGGGGTTGCTAGAGAGGGAGCAGCAGGTGCTCCTGGCAGGCTGGGAGCATCTGGATCGGGGCTCTGGCCATGTCTCCAATGGGACTTCTTGTCTTGCAGGCCTCTGATCCCACTCTTTGACCCCAGTTCCGGCCTTCTTGTCCTGGCTGGGAAGGTAAGTGCTGCTGGTCTCGTGGGAATGGAGGGCAGGCAAGAGGGGGCCCTGCAGCAGTGGCTCAGGCAGCCGTTCTCTTCCAGGGAGAGAAGGTGCTTTTCTGTTACGAGGTGCAGCCTGCGCAGCCAGCCATGGTGGAAGGTGAGTTCCCACCCCCCAGCTTGCTTGTCCAGGGTCCTTGGGAGTTGTGTGCCCTTCCCCCACTCACCTTGCTCTGCTCAGTTCACAAGTGCTTTCTGGAGACCCGGACTCAAGGGACGGCCCAACTGCCCAGGCTGGCCCTGGATGTCACAGCCTGCGAAGTGATGAAGGTTTTGCAGCTGAGCGACTCCGCCGTTGTGCCCATCAGCTACCTGGTGCCCAGGAAGGTAAACCAGCCAAGTTGCCCGCATGGGAGGAGATGGGGCTTCTTACTCCAGCAGTCCTTATTCACCCCCAGCCTTTCTTGCAGTCCACACATGAGTTCCACAAAGACTTATTTCCAGACTGTCCTGGAAACGTCCCGGCAGCATCTGCTCAGTCGTGGTGGGCTGGGGACAACACACAGGTAAGGAGGGCTGAGCTCCCCCCGGTTGATTACCCCCAAGATCTTCAAATGCACCCCTCCCCAGCCACCCTGGACTCCACAAGGGCTTGGTTCAATGGCAGCTTCTTGAGCTGACCGCCATCAAAGCAGCAGGCCTGCCCCACGGAAGACTCCTGGCCTCTCCTGTCCATAAGCCTTCTCCAGCCCTGGCCAGCATTGACTCTTGATAGTCCTGCCCCATAGTGGCACCCTCCTGGGCCTTGGCTCCTCTGGCAGGGGGTAAACGTTTCCTCTCCTTCGTCCAGGTGGAGATGGTGAGTCTTGATCCTGCCCACAGGCCCAGCTTGGGCTTCCTGTCTGCCTGCCTGCCTTGTCTCGACCAAGACAACCAGCACCTGCCCTCCGCCCACATGGAGGCAGGGGATCAGGTCAAGGATCTGGACAACAGTGTGAGTATCCGTGGCTGACAGGGCACCTGGTAGCTTTGCCCACTTCCAGGGTGCACTTGTCCCAGCTTCCTCTGAGCAGGGATGATCTGGGCCTGCCCCCATTCCTCCCCTCAGTGTACCACCCTTCAGCCCACTGGCTGACACACGGCGTTGCTTTTTGCCAGGTGGGCAGCAGCCTGTCATCTCCTGTCAGTTCTCTGGCATCTCCCTCCAGCGTTGCCCCGTCTCTCTCTGCCACCAGTGGCTTTTCCTCCAGCCCAAGCCAGCGGTCCCTGCAGAATATTCTGGGTAAGGGTCTGTGGGCAAGGGACACTGGTGGACGTTTCAGCATCCAAGAATACCCGGGCTGCCTTAAAGAGGGCTTAGTTGAGGATGCTGTGGGGCACAAGGAAGATGCATGGGGCAGCCCCCCCTTCCCAGACCCGTTCATCCTGTGCCTTCGTCTCCAGGCCCGAGTTCTGCCTTCCGGCACATCGAGGGGGTCGTCTTGCCTCGCACCACCCACATCACCAACCTGCGTGGCTTGAGCCTCACCACACCAGGGGAGTGTGATGGCTTTTGTGCCAACCGGCATCGTATCGCCATCCCACTGCTTGCCACAGGTGGACAGGTGGCCATTTTGGAGGTGAAACACCGTCCCCACCCCCAGGGTCATGTTCAGTGGTCATGGCCGGCCACAGATTGCGGGGGTGGTGGTGGTCTTCCTCTGTCTTGGCAAACGACAAGGAGGAATGGCTGAGAGCATCATCTACATGGCTTCCTTCCCTGTCTCTGAAGCTCTCCCAGCCAGGGCGACTCCCTGACACCCCGGTGCCCACCATCCAGAATGGGGCACCCATCTCGGATCTGTGCTGGGATCCCTTTGATGAGCAACGCCTGGCCATTGGTAAGGGACCAGGGGGTCTTGGAGCGAGCACCTCTCCTGGGGCGGGCCTGTGCACCCCAGCCTTTTGGGCTGGCTGAGCCCTGCCACAGGGCCGTACCCTGCCAAGAGCTCTTCCTTCCTTCCCTCTCTGATGCAGCTGGAGAAGACACCAAGATTCGGCTATGGCGGGTTGAGCCAACCAGACTGCAGAAACAGCTGCTGGAGCCAGAAGTGGTCTTGAGAGGTCAGCCCCCCCTCCCTCCACGCCCTTCTCTTCGTGGCTGGCCGAGGCAGGATCGGCCCAGGAAGCCTAGCACTGCTCTGAATGCGGCCTCTCTCCTTCTCATGCCAGGCCACACAGAGAAGATCTATTCCATCAAGTTCCACCCTCTGGCCTCCGATGTCTTGGCCTCCTCCTCCTATGACAAGAGTGTCCGGATCTGGGACATGCGCACAGGGAGGCAGGAGCTGGGACTGCTCGGGCACACTGACCAGGTAGGGAGCACAACAGCCTCTCCAAGTTACATCCGGAAATGTCCTACAAATAGCCAGCAATTAAGCTAACCTGACCCCCCCCCCTCACCCCCCAGATACAGCATCCATGATGATGGCGGGGCATGCGGTCCATCATAGATCTTGGGGTGAGGGTTGGACATCCTAACGGTGTGACTCAGCATCCTGGAGCCTCATGCCTCTCTCAGCCAGCCTTGAGGGTTGACCTGTTGTTGCTTTCAGATCTTCAGCCTGGCCTGGAGCCCCAATGGATGCTGCCTGGCAACCGTCAGCAAGGATGGCAAAGTGCGAGTTTACGAGCCTCGGCAGGCTGCCCAGCCTTTGCAGGTCAGAGCCTGGGCAGGCTCTTCTGGAGGGCAAGGCCCACATGTATCTCAGACGAGCCAAGAGGGCAGCTGTAGCACATTCTCTTTCTGAAGCATCTCCCCCTTGCCCCCTAACAGGATGGTCCAGGGCCTAAGGGAGGTAGAGGTGCCCGTGTCACCTGGGTCTGTGGCGGCAAATACCTGCTGGTCTCCGGCTTTGACAGGTGAGGCCTTCCCCTCTGCTATCTCCCAATTGCTTGCAAGAGCATGGCCTGTCTTATCTCTTTCTGCCCCTTCCTCTTTCAGTCGCAGTGAACGCCAGCTCTCCTTGCACCAGGCTGAGGCCCTGGCCACCGGACCTCTAGCCACCATTGGCCTGGATGTCTCTCCCTCCACCCTCATCCCTTTCTATGACGTGGACACCAGCGTGGCCTTCTTCACAGGCAAGGTGAGCCAAGAGGGAAGGGAGATCCTGCCACTCAGCGGGCAAGGGCTTTGCGGGCATGTCCAGGGAAGCAAAGCAGGCCATCCGGCGCCAGCCCTGCAATATCCTTGGGTGGGCGGGACACAAAGATGGCTCTTCTTTTGCCTCTAGCCAGGCTGGGTATCTGGTGTATGGAGCCCAGTTTCCCACTCAGAGGGATTCAGCTTCCCCCCACTGCATTTCTCCTGGCTGGGTTGACTCTTCCCATGGGACCGGTTTGGCCAGATGCTCGTGAAAGGCTTGGGCAGGAGTCCCCAGCCCAGGCTGCGCATTCTACCTCTTCTCTCTTCTGGGAGCTTAGGGCGATACCAGGGTCTTTGTCTATGAGGTGGTCCCAGAGGCCCCCTTCTTCCTGGAGTGCAACAGCTTCCTCTCCTGTGACCCCCACAAGGTGAGGCACCTGCTGGGACAGAGGCCCAGAGAAACAGGGCTGGGATGCTAAAAAATCCTTTTAGGCTGGAGTCTTTACTGGACTTGGCTTCTTTTGACACTGGAAGGGCCAAAACCTTGTGTGAGACTTTTGAAAAGGCTGCAGAGGGCAAAGAATGGAGCAGCTGCCCTCTGGCCTGCCCCACTCCCCAGCACCAACAGCTGGGAGCAGGGGTCCCTGCCAGACTGGAATGGCATCCCAGAGGGGAAGAACTTTGGGGCTGCCCTTCCCTCAATGCCTGTTGACCTACCTGGCCACCTGGAGGCCTCTTCCTCTGCCCCTTTGATCAGCATTAGGCCGTCTGGGGCTGCCCTCTTGTGGCCGTCCAGGGTCAGAGCATCCAAACAGCAGAGAAGACGAGAGCTTTTGCAAAATCTCTGGGGTGCTGGTTGGGGAGTTGTTGTTCCTTGCAGGACAATCGGTAGAAGTCAAGTCTCGCTCTCTCTCCTCTGCTGCTCCAGGGCTTTCAGTTCCTGCCCAAGACGGCGTGTGATGTGCGGGAGGTCGAGATTGCCCGGGCATTGCGCCTCCGGCAGACTTCCATTGAGCCGGTGGCCTTCCGGGTCCCCAGGGTCAAGGTAGAACACCAAGCCTTGGCTTTTGGGGCCAGGTGTGTGCATGCCTATGGGTCTGCATTCATGTGTGTGTGTGTGTGTGTGTGTGTGTGTGTGTGTGTGTGGTTGCTCAGACCTTCAGTCCACACTGCAATTGGCCAGCTTCAGTTGAATGAGTCAGTCATTCACAAACTCAGAATATCTCTCTGTTTCCCATATTATTTATATGTCCATTTATTTGCTCCAACCCCCAAATGGCCAAAAGGCTCATATGGTGAATGTGACCTTCCGTGGTGCTAACCTCAGGGTCTTTTACTTACCTTTAGCCAGACCTGTCCATGAAAGGGCCCACCCCCATCTCCTGCAGCTGCCCAGCAGCTTTCTTCAGGGGAGGGGCCTTCATTGGACACCCCAATCTAATACCTCAACCCTCCCCCCCCAGTTCAGAGCCTTTCCTGTCAGAGAGGTTCAGCATTGCCCTGCGTCCAGCCTCTCATCAGCCACAGGTCATTTCCTTCCCATAGAAAGAATTCTTCCAGGATGACCTTTTCCCCGCCACGCAGGCGTGGTGGGAACCTGCCCTGCCAGCCACAGCCTGGCTGAAGGGCGCTAACAAGCAGCACCAAACCATCAGCCTGCAACCCAAGGACATGACCTCAGGTAAGGGGGAAGGAAGGGCTGAGCTGGGAGGGCTGAAGGAGTTCAGTGGGCATAAGAATAAGGAGCTTCTGCTGCCTTCCCCCACGCAGTGAGCCAAGTGCCCAAGGAAGCCCCCAGACGAAAATACCTGCCCTCCTCTGTCTACCTGGAAGAGAAGTCCGAGGAGCAGAAGAAAGAGGAAGTGAGCCTTCACTCCCTTTGATCTTCTCACACTGGGGGAAGGGGTGGTTCTTTTGCCTTGGGGTGAAGAAGCCCCCCCTAACATCCATTCTCTGCAGCTGCTCAGCGCCATGGTGGCTAAGCTGGGAAACCGAGATGACCCCCTCCCACAGGACTCCTTTGAGGGCGTGGATGAAGAGGAGTGGGTAAGAGCAGTGCTCGGAGGGTCATACTTGCAGGGTGGGGGGGCAGCCTGGCCACTGCCAGCTTCTATAAGCCCAGAGACATCCGACTCCTCTCTCTCGCTCTCTCTCTCTCTCTCACTTGAGAGCAACAGCCAGGAAATGGAGGACCTGCCTTCTTTACTTCAGGCGGGTGAGCCGCTAAGAGCTGGCTAGCACCAAAACTCTGTCTGTGGAGGGTCTTTCACTTTGGAGGGATGAACTTGGTCCCACTACCCACAAGAGAGCTGCCCATGGCACATGACTTCAAGCAGCTGCCCCAACATTGCTCAACCTTGCCCATCTTTTTTTGCTCCATAGGACTAGTTACAAAGGCTGGAACAGACAGATGCTCCCTCTCTGCCCGCAGCCCCCTCAGAGGAAGGAAGAGTCAGGCTCGGCCTGCAGGCTACTCCCTGCCAGCTGGCTTCTCCCCAACTTGCTGCTTCTGCTCAGGGGCTGCCCTCCTGCTGGGATAGGGACTCAGACCACCTGTTTACAATCATCCGGCGAAGGCCCGCTCTCCAAGGACACCATGGCTTCCCCCCAACACAGGGGCCCTCAGGGTCTGTCCTTGGCAGGAGCCTTTCTGTTGCATCTCAGGCTGTGCAGGGGCTCTTCTCAGCTTGCTGCTTTGAAGCTGGTGGGCCAGTTGCCCAGAAGTGTTCCACGGAGGGCAAGCTGCAAGCATCCTCGGGACTCATTCACTGCCCACATGTGCCCAAGTGATTCCAAGCTGGCATCCTGAAGCTGGAGAAGCTTTTGCTTACCAGCCCTCTTCTCAGGAGGAAGCTCCTTTCTCCACCTGATTCCACCTTGCTGGGTGTAGCCCTAACATGAAAACCTCCTTCCTCCCTTTCTGGTGTCTCCTGTGTCTTTATTCTCCTGTGTCTTTATTCTTCCTGAGGAGCGCGCTGCTCCGACTTCCTCCTGTGCGGAAGAGGCAGAAGCTCACAGACAGTCCTGCTGTCACTGCTGTTGAAGGACTTGGGGGGGGGGGGGGGGGGGGGAGACCTCGGCGATCCAGCTGGGCAATCTTCCCTAAATTCAGAGATTTAATTTCCCCAGTTCCGCGGACTGTAAAGGGCCAGTGTCTGAAAGTGGTCCCGATCCCCTGGGTGGGAAGGCAGAGAGGCCCTTTCTTTGGGCACCAGGGTGGGTCCTGTGCCGGAGCTCCCCACCCCAGGCTCACGAGCCCCTTCGGAGGCAGCTTCTCCCTGGGCGCGGTCAAGGGAAGCCCCCGGGGCGAGTTGGGCGCAGCTCAGGGCCCCGCCTCCCTGGCAGATGGCGAGCCGGGTCTCTCGGCGGGAAGGGTGGCGAAGTCTCGCAGCAGCTCCCGAGAGCGGCTGGCCCGAAGCTTTCCAGGGTACCTGCAGGGCAGGAGGCGGCATCGCTAAGGGCGAAGTCGCTGGGCTCCGGATCGCCGCGGGGCGCCTCCCACGCAGTACCCGAGGCTGCCGCTGGGGTGGCCCTCGCGCGCGCCGCCTCACGGGGCGCTCTGGCCGCTGGGCGCTCCTCCATGGCTGCTTCCGGGGCGAAGGGCCGCTCCTTCCGGCCGCGCTCTCCTGCGGGTGCTCTGAGCTGCGCTCCCGCGGCGGACATGGTGAGGGGTCGCCGGGCGGCGGGGCGGGAGGGGGGGCGGGGCGGGGCGGGCGAGCCTGACCGCCGCTGTCTCCGCAGGCCAAGTACCTGGTGCAGATCGTCCTGGTGGGCGCCCAGGTGGTGGGCCGCGCCTTCGCCCGCGCGCTACGGCAGGAGTTCGCAGGTAAGGCGGGCCGGGGGGCGCCGGGCTCTCCGGGGTCTCGGCCGTTGGCGGGACGCTAAGCGGCCTTGTCCCCGAGCAGCCAGCCAAGCGGCCGCCGAGACGCGCGGGCGGACGGGCGCCCAGTCCTGGGCGGCCTCCAGCCTCTCCGGGATCAGCCTGCAGGAGGCTCAGCAGATCCTCAACGTCTCCACGCTCAATCCGGAGGAGATCCAGAAGGTGGGCCGGAGCCGGAGCGGGTTTGGGCCGGGAGGGCTCTCGGGCAGCGGCTCCTACGCGACGGCGAAGCGGAGAAGCAAAGGGCCAAGCCGCTGATTCTGACCCGGCCTTGTCTGCTTTTCTTCGGTAGAATTACGAGCATTTATTTAAGGTGAACGACAAATCCGTGGGGGGCTCCTTTTACCTGCAGTCCAAGGTGAGTTCAACCGGTTCGTCGCCCGGGCAGGGGGGGAAATGACCTGCCGGCTGCCTGCTGGAGCGCGCTGCTCTTTGCCGACCGCCGGCGCTTTATAGCAAAGGCATCTCTCGGTTCCTCCCCGCCCCCTTTTTTCTGGCACAGCATTTTTAAGTCCTCCAGGTTCACGCGGATGGGCTGCGTGTGGCATCCATGGAACCTTCCATCCTTGGAAGGTTGCGGCTGGCATTTTCCGTGCCCCCAGGAGCTGCTAAACTAAGCCTCCTGTGATCTGGCCAGGCTTCTCCTGAGGGTTGCTGCCCTCCAGTGGCCACTTGCCACCGGCAAAGCGGGTGGGCTCTCTGCCACATGTGCCTCTGAAGTGCCAACCCTCTGCCCTGCAGGTGGTGAGAGCCAAGGAGCGGCTGGACGAAGAGCTGAGGATCCAGCCCCAGAGGGAACAAGACTCGCCACAGAAGCCAGGCACGTAGCACAGCCTCTCTCTTGCACTGGCATCCCCTCTAAATTATAGCTAGCCAATAAATAGCCCTTGTATAGCTGGTCTCGCATTGTCTTCAAAGAAAGGTGGTGCCAGGATGCAGGAGATTCGATTCCCACACCAGCTCAGTTGCTGAGGTTACAAGACAGCAAGGCTGGTTTGCCCTTTTTGCATGCAGCTTCCCTGGCAAAATGGCTTCGCGGCGGCTACCTCAAGCCCAGAAGAAAAAAGGTGCAGAACATCCCTGGTGGCATTTCAATTAAGATCCGGAAAGACTCGCCCCTCAAAGGGGGAAATTATGGTTGACTGTCCAAGCCAGATAGCCAGTGTCCTCCCAGATAGGCCACACGCCTGACCAGCTGCTTGTGAGACCTTGCCATAGCTTAGTCCGATTGCCAAAGGCCAGCTCTGCTGCTGTGGGCTGCTCAGGACACCAAGCCAGAATGTGGATAGCCTGGATTTTGCTATGGCATCATGGCGAGTACGTGAAGCCATCTTTTCTCTGAACATCTTCCTTCCCATCCCTAGACACATGCACAGACCAACCGCAGACATCACCAGCACCTAGCAAGGCTGTTTTGTGTACTTTATTGTTCTTGTCATAATCATCCTCTCTTCTGGAGGACCGGTGGGTCAAGTTATAGCTTATCTTTTTCTGTCTTAAAACTATACTAACATAACAGAGGCAAGAGGAGGGCATCACCCCCAACATAACCTACAATCAAAAGGCACTTAGAAACAGGAAAACACTGGCAGCCTGTGTGCATCAGTTCTGAGGCCAGTTTGCCCAGTGGGATGCTTTGTGAGTGGGAGCCCCAGAGCAGGCATGCATGTGCTTGGGAGTCCAGCTCCCCGGCCAGGGTGGTTCTGGATCCTTGGCACTATGTGGACCACTGAAGGTCTGCCAGGAATTGCCTGCAGGGACTGCACAAGGATGATATGTAGATGGCAGAGGGATAGTTGCAGGTTCCTTTGGGGGGTTATATAGGGGGATACCCAGAGATGCCCTTGTCTAGGAAAGGTGGTTGGAAACATAGTGACCCACCGATACAAGGAGGGCAGTCGAGTGGTGATCTGGGCTGCTGCAGGGGAGCCGTGGGGTGCGGTGGGGAAGTGCAGAGCAAATGCTGCTTCTCTGCTGGGCTCCTGAAGCTGGTACAGCTGGTGGCAGGGCCTGCATTTATGGTAGGGGAAATGGGCTGTGTTTTTCCCACCCATCCCTGGGTCTCAGCTATCTCCTGGCCAGGTTTGACAAGTTCATGGCTTCCTGCTGAAAGTGTAGCAGGTCATCTTGGATCTGCATAAAAGGTGCCAGCTTGTCCAGTGCTCTGCTTTCCTAAAAGCAAAGGAGGGAATCCCCACCCCCACCCCCACCAAAAAAAGGGGCTTTTGCAAAGTTTACAGGGCAGAAGCAGCCCAGGACCCAGCACAGACGGAACCTTCATCCAGGGGTGCTTTGCCGTCTTCCCATCCTCACTGCCTCCGTAAGACTGTTGCACAGCTTTAATATAAGGAACTGCTTATGGAGGGAATTGCGCAGTTCAATTCCTCCGTGTCGGGGAACTGTCTCGTCAGCAGCACACGCCATGGTGTGCTTTGTCAGAGAGGTTTGAACCAGGCAGAAGCCCTGGGCTGGAGTGGAGGGAGGCAGCTGATAACAGCTCCTCCAGGATTAGCTTCTGAACAGCAGCCAGAGGGGGGAGGAAAAGGCCTCTGAGCCACAGGGTGGCACTCCTGGGCTCCAGAGAAAAAATGGGGGACGGGACGTGCCCCAAAGGCAGAGAGGAGTGCCAGCAAAGGAGCCAAAAGAAGTGGTGGCAGCTTTGGGCAGAGGATTCTTCACGTGGGCTCCCCCCGTGTTTCTTGGGCTAGAGCAGGGCTGGGAAAAGGGGGGCTGGGTTGAGAAGGTCTCGCTGGGGATTGACCAACCAGCGGTGATTCCTGCATTGGTGCTCCTGGGTTGGCCCTGCCTTGCATTTGGCAGAAGAGGGAGAGGGGAGGGTGGAATTCCTGGCTGCTGCCCTGGGAAGCTTCTTATTGCTTTGCTCACATGCATTGCTTACTCGGATTGAATGCCAGGTCCCCTTCCAGTCGTCCTCCTTGCTCTTCCCTACTTAGCTCACCACAGCTTCCTTCAGCAAAACGGAGCCAGCTGGGATTACCATCCAACCTGGTGGCAGAGTTTCAGCGGTTGCCCCTGAGTTCATGCCAGTGGACAGGTCCAGGACGCCCCCGGGGAGCAGAGAGAGGCTGTCGGTGGTTGTCCGCAGCCTGGCCAGTTTCACTCTCTCACTGGTCTCCTTGCATCGGCTGCTGCCACCAATGTCGCCTTTGAAGGGCCGGGCCCTGTTCTCCTGCCCTCGCTCAACAGCTGCCTTGGCAGAGGTGCCAGCCAGCAACGACACCACTGGCAGCCCCAGGCTGCCCACTGAGAAAGGGGAGGCCAGCAGGGGGTTCTTGGCCAAGTTCAAAGGGGCAAGCGTGGGGCTGGGCAGGCCTGCGATGGCGGCCGTGCCCAGCCCACCACAGGCTAAGGTGCTGAGATCCAGAGGGGCCTGGGAGAGAGGGAGGGGCAGGCTGTGGCTCCCAAAGAGGGCAGCCGGGGTAGGCACAATGATCTGTGCCCCGCCGAGGTATGGTCCGTTGGCCATGAGTGGGGGGGCCTTGGTGGGGGGCTGCAGCTTCAGCAGCTCCTGCTGCTCGCGGGTGATGAAGTGCCCATGGGCCTTGATGTGCTTACGGAGGGAGCTGGGGTCTGTATAGCGCTTGTGGCAGCCGGGCATCTTGCAGTGGTAGGGCTTGTCCACGTAGTGGGTGCGGGTGTGCTTGAAGCGGTCGCTGGAGTTGGAGTAGCGCTTGCTGCAGCCTTCGTAGGGGCAGAGGTAGGGCTTCTCCCCTGCAGGGAAGAGAGGGGAGCAGGGCTGCTTCAGGGAGGAGGGCTCTTGCCTCCCTCTCCCACATGGGGTGGGGGGCTTTGGGAGGGCCCTGACCCCCAGGCCATCCATCCCACTGCCCTCTGCAAGACCCATCTGGGGCTGATTGGATCCCGGCACTTGTGGGAGGGCGCATCCAGAGGGTTAGGCCGGTCTGGAGGGAAGTCGTGCTTACTGGGGGGGTGGGGACTGGAACCCAATCGGACTCACCTGTGTGGGAGCGGTTGTGGATCTTCAGGTTTTCTAGCCTTGAGAAGCTCTTGTTGCAGGTGGGGCAGCGATGGGGCTTCTCGTTGGTGTGTGTGCGGATGTGGATCAGCATCTTGTACCTGCAGAGCAGAAGCCGCTCACAGTGGGGGGGTTGGCTCCTTTCCACTGTCCCAGCACTTCAACAGCTGGGAGTGCCTGCCTCCAAAGATCGAGGCCGGGCTTCCTGCCAGGGCTGTAGTGAGTCAGCTGACAGGCCGGGGGGGGGCCAACAAAATGGCCATGTGGAAGTGTGACCAGAGCAGCCTTCCCCAGACATTTCGTGCCCATTGGAGCATTGGGATGGCTGAGCCGTGGTGCCATCCCAAGGCTGCCTGGCCAAGGCAGGCCCCACACCTTCCCAAAAGCAAGGAAACGATTACCTGGCGTTGAAGCCCCGGCCGTGGCGGGCACAACCCTCCCAGTGGCAACGATAGCCAGCATCCTTCTCTGGCTTCACGTGGAAGTCGTTGACGTGGTCCACGAGGTCTTGCAGGAGCTCAAACAGCTGGTTGCACTGTGGGGTGAGGGGAGAGCGAGGCCTGGGGTCACTGGAGAAGAGCACAGACACCCCGGCTTGGCAGAGCCGTTTCTGAAAGGGCCGACTGCTCACCTTGGACCAGTGGCACACCAGCTGCTTCTGCACAGCTGTCTCCAGAGCAAGCCGCTTCTCCTTGGGCGGTGCCAGGAAAGTGGAGGCAGGCAGATGCAGGGACCCTCCTGAGTTCAGAGGCAGGAAGAACTGGAAGGAGCTGCGGAGACTCTCCAGGTAGCGCAGGGACTGCAGGTCCTGGAAGGGCCAGGCAGGGCAGTTGGCTGGCAGCCCATCCCCCCACAGTTAGTGAATGTTTCTGTTCTGCCAAGGGCAGAGGCCCCTTCCCAGGCTACTTGGCAACAGAGCTCTCTGAAGAGCTGGAAAAGCTGCTGGGTGTGGCCAGGGCAGGAGGAGTCCCTCTGCTTGCCCCCCCGCTCCCCGTCTTGCTCAGGAGTGTCAGCTGAAGAAAAGGAAGCCATCGCCAGCGGCAACACCCCCTCGAAAGCCACCAGGGGAGGGGAGGCAGGAACCTCCATGGCCCAGAGCCTGTCAGTGGGGAGGCTGCATAGCCTTGAGGGAACATGCCAGGGAGATTTAGGAAAGCTCTGGCACATAGGTGGGCTTTGTGAGCCCCCCTTGGGAGGTGTGGCAGAGTTGGCATGCCCTGCTGCACCCATCCCGACACTTACACGCAAGCTGGCGCAGTTCACCAACCCCCCGCTGCTCTGCCTGTCTGGGGAGGCAGATGTGTTGCCACTGGGGGGTGGAGAAGGGGACAGGCTCAGGTCAACGGTAGGAGGCGAGGAGAACCGATGGTCTCTCTTGTCTTGGCATTGGGGGTGCTCCTGGAGGCCTGGGGGGGGCAGAAGATGGATCAGCAAGTGGTGCACCCCTTTCCCACCGGCAAGGGAGCAGCCCAGGCCCCCCCTTCCCTGCCTACTACTCACCCTCTGGAGGGGAGCCAGGGCCCGCTGCCAGGTAGCCCTCGTCCTCCGAGATCTGGCTCAGAGCTCGGCCCTTGGTGCTGCCCAGGGCCCAGTTACGCTTCTCTCGCACAGCCGGGAGTCTGGAGACACTCAGCTTGAGGTCCAGGGGCTCGTCCAAGGAATGCATGGGGGGCCAGCAGCGAGGGAGCAGACTGCTCTGGTCAGCTGGGGTGGACTCAGGGGGGTCTTCTGTCACCCTGCATGAGATTTGGAAAGGCAGGGATGCCCCATTTGCTCCTGATATTCCCCAACAGATCCTCTGGGTCTACCTGCCCCAAAGCTGCTCTATGGAGAACCCAGCATGAGGCTCCCCCCCCCAATGTTTATTACTTCTGGGGTGCAGGAGGAGGCTGACTTGGGCAGCTGCCTCCTCTCTGCAGGGAAGGGTCCGAGGGGGCCAGCAGTCAAGCAGGTGGGAAAATCCAGCTGGTTGCTCCTTGCCCTCCTCCTGCTTCACTAATCAATGTCCCCCAAAATATTTGGGGCCCAAGGGGGGGGAGCAGTTGCAAAAGTCAACCTACCCTCCCTCGCATCAGACTTTCACTTTGTGGGTGCCAACACCCCCTCCCCCACAGGAAGACCTTCCAATTACAAACAGCTGCTCCTTGTTCTTGCCTGCAGGCTGTGGAGCTATAAAGGGAGGGGAGAGGGGCGCTTCCTGGGGAAAGGGCAGAAAGCAGCCAGGAGGCAGCCGGGCAGAACGCGACACTTTGGGAATTGGGAAGGAGCCCCGAGACTTGCTAAAGTTGCTTTCAAAGGGCCCTGTGAGAAATCGGAGCGCCCACTTCATGGGGAGGGGGAGCGTGGCTCTTTGGCATTTGGGCAGAAGGGCAAAAGGCTGCTGGGCTCTCGAGGGCCGTGGTTGCCGCCCGTGCCCAGCCGCCCCTCCCCGTCCGATGCGGCCCCCTCCCCACAGCTCGGTTGGCTGAAGTGGCGCCTGGACTGCTCCGGGGTTCAACACGGCGCATCATCCACGCCCTCCCGGCGAGCCAGGCGGGCCGGCTGCTGACACGTGTCTCCCCCTTTCTCCCCCTTGCCAGGCCGGCCTTGATGAGCGTGCCAAGGACCGGCGGCCTCCGCACTCCAGAAGCGCCGCTTCTGACACTCTGCCCATGCTCAGAGGGCGCAGCCGTTGCTCAGCTGCCGCCGGCCTGACTCGTGGGTGCTCCTTGGAGGCGGTTCCGCCCGAGGCCCCGGCTGTTGCGTTTCCTCCGGCCGCCCCCGCCCCAGCGCCCCCAGCCGCCAGGAGCGCCCGCCCCGTCTGCCGCATCCTCATCCGAAGGCAGGCCGGGCGCAGGAAGGGGCGGCGGGCGCTTCCCTCCTCCGGCAAAGGCGCCGGGCGGCAGCGAGGGCCGCCCGCCGCGCTCTCCGTGGGCCTGGTATGCGGCGCCCCCCGCCCGGTTCTGGGCGGCACCTGCGAACTCACCCGACCCGGATGGCGCAGGCCGGCTCCTGCTCGCCCTCCCCGCCGGCCTTGGCGCTGGGCCCGGCCGGGCTGCGGCTCAGACATGCTGGAATGCGCAGGCCCCTCCCTGGAAGGGGGGGGAGGCGGGCAGCCAGAGGGAAAAGCACCTCGGCGAGGCCAGCGCCGAGTCTGCAATGCAGAGGCGGGGGAGGGGGAATCACAAAACACGCATTTGAGAGAGGGGCAAAGATCTTTGCAACCCCCCCACCCCAGCCACACGCTCTGCACTCTGGGCCAGGCTGAGGCCCAATTGTGGGGGGGGGGCGCTTCTGGCACCGAGCTCCACTCCTCTTCCTGTGACTGGGTGAAGGGGGGAGGGCGGTGAGAAAGGAGGTGCAGCCTGGCTGGGCGCAGAGCAGCTGGAGGGGAGAATGCAGGTGTCAGGCCCCACTGTGGGCCTCTCCTGGAGGAAGCCCTGGCTTAACCCAGCCCCTACCCTGACACAGCGCACCCTGCACCTGGCGCAAAGGGGGCTGGCGGGCCTACCTGCTCTACAGTTCAGCCATCGGGGCCCACGACTGAGTGCGCCCAGAGGAGAGACAAAGGCTGTACACATAAGGACGCCACTGGGAAAGATTGCACCGCATCCGGATCAAGATGCAGGCCACAACAGGGCAGGCGTAGTTCAGGGGAGCCCTTGCCCACCTCCCTGGCACTGCTGCTCTGCCTGTTCGGGTGCCCACCCTACGCCATTCCCTCTCCCACATGGAGAGCCCCCTTTGCCCAGCCTTTCCCCTATTCCAGGAGGAATGTCCAAGCAGAGTCCAGCCTGCCCCAGAGGCCTCTCGTTCTCCAGTGCCAGGGGCCTCCTGGCAGAAGAGCCTCTGGCCAGCTTCAACCGAGTCCTGGCGGGCACCAGAAGCCAAGCACGTGGACAGGGGCCTTCCGTCCCTCCCTCAGAAGGCCAGGTTCACAGAGCAAGCATTTGGATCAGGGCTCCAGGATGCTTCGGTGGCAACAGCCCAGGACATAGACAGTCTGGGGAGGCACTGTTTCCCAGGGAGTGAGCCTGGAGTGCCAAGGGAGGAGCTGCTGCCCCTGCTGTGCAGAGCAGCTCTCTGCCTCCACAGAGTCTGGCCGTCCCCCGTCCCCCCCCCCCCATATTCCAGTGGCCTCTCGCTGGATTCCTGAGCTGCTCCCAGGAGCTGGGCTGGGTGGGACACTGGATGGGAAGCAGCTCCCCCGCCCTGCGAGGCAGCAGTAGCTGCCAAACCAAACTGGCCCCAGAGCAGAACATTCCTGGGAACAAGCCTTCCCAGAATCCAGAGGAAGTCAACCGAAGGAGCCACTTGCAGGAGGGGCCGGCAGGCCTCCCTCCACAGATGTGCAGAGGCACCTAACGTCCCTCCAGTGTCGGCTGACAGAACAAGAAGGAGCGTCCAAGCCCGGCCTGGCAGGCGAACAGAAGCTGTCCTCCTGGCAAGACCCTCCCCTGCTGTTTTCTTAAGACTTGGACGCTTCAGGGGGAGGCCGGATGGCTGGGCATTCAGGCCAGAGCTGCCCCCACCCACTCCATGCCTGGGCGCAGCTCCCTGCTCCTTCATCCCTGGCAGACCCACCTCACCACTTCCCTCCTGTACTGACTCATATCAACGACAGCCAGGCAAGGACTGGATGTGGTCAGGAAGCGGCCAAGAACACAGAGGCAGCTCTCGGGTGCCCTTCTTCCAGCCGCCAGGTCCTCTCCAGGACTGGCATCCCGGAGGGTTCTTCCAAGCACTCTCATTGTTCAGGACTGCACCACTGGCAGGTGAAGAGCTGTTGCCTGACACAGACCACACCAGCCTGAAGGAGACCACCTATACAGCCACCTCTCTGGTGAGGAAGGCAGTTTAAAATCAGCAGCTGGTGCCTCTGCCTGGCTTCCAGCAGCCAGACCGTCAGCCAGGGTGGGGGAGTCCCCAGCCAAATTCCCCACTTCATCTCTTTGCTGAGGGGCTCCAGGCTCAGAACCATATAGAGAAGCAGCCACACAGTTTAACTGAATCACAAGCCATTAGTCCTCAACTTCAGGTAAAGAGATGGATCTGCCTTTTTCTACTCCAACCCCTCAGAATACATGTCAGGGGAGTGGAATGGGACCACCAATAACCTCACAGCTCAATGGATTACAGCTCATTAAACCTTTGGAGTAAATATGTACACCAGGGTGTATTCCTTTTTATTTATTCATGATATTTATCTTATTTTTCCAGCCAGAGTGCAAGGCACCTATAATAAAATACCAGCAACATTACCTGTTACTTGTTCTTCCCCTCCATGAAATAGGACTAAAACAGCACTCATGGTAAAACAAAATCAGCATGAACCCACAGCACTTATTAGTTGAATTAAATACCCAAAGCCCATCTAGCAGGGATGTGGGGAGGGGGGGCACTGGGAGTGTCTGGAGGTCCCTCCAAACGTGCCCCCACCCACTGGCAGGAAGTCAAAGGAGGCTCTGTCCAGCTGGCCCGCCTGGGAGTGGCTTTCCTCCCCCTCAGCTCCAGGCGCTCCTTGACTGGGGCTCTGCCTGCTCTGGGCAAAGCGTAATCCTAGCTGTGATCTGGGCACCTTCCAGGCTCCTCCCCATCTGACCAGCACAGCCCCATCTTCTCAGATGTGCAGAGGCCCAAGTTCACCACACAGAGCTGGCTGAAGCCTGCTCCAGGGTGGAGGGGCTTGGGAGAGCACCATACTTGGGGAAGGCACAGGTGGGATTCGTGGTGACTATGCTGTCAAGAACTCCAGAAAGCAGCTATGGACAGTGCCTGGGGGGGGGGGATAGGGATCCATTCAGTTGGCAGTACGCCCTCTGTTCAGTGACCAACTCGCCTCCCCCCACTTCCAGCGAGAGCAATTCCTTTCCTACCTATCTCACCTCCAAATGTTCTGCAGGCCACGACGTCTGCCCTCACCCCCCTCTGTCCACCCAAGCACAGCCCTGCCTCCTTGGATGCAAGACAACCGATGGCACCCTGAGTGACCACTTCACCTGGGTAGCTGCCAGGCCCCAAGAGATCTGCTGTAATGCAAATTCAGCCAAAATGGGGGCGGGGCAGGAGGAAAGCGGGAAGGAAACCAGCATGCCCCAGGTCGTTGAGTGAGGGGCAGCCCTGGGAGGACTTTGCTTAGTCTCCCTCATGCCCCTTCTGGAAATCAGAGGCAGCTGGACACATGGACCTGCAGCCTCTTTGGAAGAGGGAAGAAGGGTGATCCTGCACTGACCAGTGCCCAAGTATGTTCACGGCTAGGCCCTCAAATAGCTTTAGAGAAATGCGGCTGAGAGTCAGATCCTGAGAATCACCCAGAGCCCCCAGACTCAAAAGCAAGGGGGCCCTCCAATGGCAGGAAGATGATCAAGGGCTGGGGAGTCAATCAAGTCCTGAGGGTCTCCAACATGATGAGAAAGGGGGTTTCTCAGAGCCCCTAGGTTGCCCTGCCCATATCTCAGCCAGACTGGTTCCCCCGAGGGCATCCCTGTTTCCCCTCCTGCCACCCAAGTCTCCTGTCCCCCCAAGCTGGCACTCCTGGCTGCAGGGCCCATTCAACCGCAGACAGTGGGCAAGAGGTCAGCCCTGGCTGAGTGGGGAAGGAAAGGGAGGATGGCCAGGCTGAAGGGCTGGTGAGCCACAGGGACAGACGGGGCAGTTTCCCCGCCCCCTCAAAAGCACAGGTCTCGGTGCACAGAATTTTCCCCAGAAGGGGAGGGGGGGCAGAAAATGCCAGTGTTATGGAAGACATCCAATCAGGCCGGGAAGGGTGAGGGCTCCTGGGGGGGGTCATCCCTACAGCCCCCTGCTCAGGTGAAGCTGGGAAGGGCATTGACTGGAAGGGGAAGGGGAGGCAAGGTCAAACCCACCTCCCACTCTGGGGAAATCGCCTGGCCTTCTAGCCAGAGTGCCCCCTGTGTCCAGTGCGGGCAATGGCTGTCCCTGGCGCCTTCCCTTCTGGGCTACAGCTCCTCGCCATTCCCAAAGGGTTTTTTTTAGGGAGGGAGCAGAGTGCAGTGGCCACATCCAGGTTTCCCTGCTCTCTGCTGGGACTCTGCTGCTACAGCAGGCTTGGGTGGCTGTCAGCAGGGAGGTCTTGCAAGGACATTCCTGCTCTTCCTGGCTCCCCAACAAACCACAGATCCACCCGTCTTGTTCAGACCCCCCACTCTGACAGACTGCATCGGGTTGCAGGCCTTGATCCTTCCCGCTGGGCCAGAAGTGCCATACCCCAATGGGTTGTGCCCTGGAAACCCCTTTCAGCTGGAAGATGTGGGGCCGGCTGGAGCAGAGCAGGAAGGGGATCCCCGCTGCCGGTCCCACGGGATCTTCGAAGGGCTACCCCAGGGTGCCCCGGTTCCCGTGCCGGCTGAGGGAGCCCCGGCCCTGCGCTTTGTCCTCCCTTCTTCCCCCTTAGGCTGGCCTGGAAGGGTCATTTCAAGCCCGGCAGGGGGCCGCAGCCCTCCTCTCCTGGTCCGGGTAGCCTCCCCTGCCCTCCCACGAATAGGCCCGGGTTCGAAACCCCCAGACAAGGCACGGGGCGGGGGCGTCGTGCGCTCAACCCGGGCGCTGAGGTTCCCATTGCGGAAAGCAAGCAAGCCAGAGAAGGGACGCCGGGCAGCGGCCGGAGGGATAATGGCTTCCAGCAAAGGGCAGGCATGTTTTGCCGTCGCGACGACTTCCCCCATCTGGGTCCGATCCATTCCCCCCCCCCGGTCTCCAAAGGCGCCACCTCCCTCCCTGACCGACCGACCGACCGCCTGCGCCCCCGTAGCCTTACCTTGGCGCTGGCCGACGGCGGAAGGGAGGGAGGCGTCTCGGCTCGGCTTTGTGCGCGCCCCCGGTGGCTAGGCGACCGGGCGGAGAGGCTCGGGAGCGGCGCTGGGGCTGCCCTCTTTGAGGGTCCTGACAGGCTTTCACCTGTGGGAGAGACCTCCGGGGGGCGCCTCGCCGCTCCGCCTCGGCCACCCCCACCGGCACCGATGGGGCGCACGGCCGCAGCGCCACATCTGCGCCTCGGCAGGGAGGGCGGGCGGAGAAGATGCCGCGCGAGGGAGCGAGGGCGGCGGTGGAGGAGGCGAAGGGGAGGGTCTCTCCGGCTCCCCTCCCCCGGCTCTGGGACGCGGGGGGCGACTCCCGTGCGGATGGAGGCGGCGCCTGCTGGAGAGGAGGGGCGGGAGGCGGAGGCGGGGAGGGCAAGGGGCCCCTTCCTCTTGTCCTGATCGCCGACCTCCGGCTGCGGCTCTACCGAAGAAGGCTCGCCTTTCCGTATCAGGGGGCGGAGGGGGGCAGCGCGCCAGCCTGCCTCTTCCGCCGTGAGGAAGCGCCGGGATAGGCGAGGATCACACGGCCAGTAGGCCGCCGGCCCGAGCAGCCGTCGCGCTCGCCACTCTCCTAGCCGGCTTCCAGGGAGCAGTCGTGCTCGCCTTCTCTGGGTGGGCGGCCGGGCAGGCCGCGGAAGGAAAAGGTCGACGGCCGGGTCCCTCTGAGATTTGCTCCCATGACTCGCGGCCTCAGGCCGTCCGTCCCGGGGGGTTCCTCGTCGCACCCGCCTGCGCCTGGCGGTGGGCCCCGACGGCCCGCCAAAAGGACCCTGCTGCCCGCCCGCCCCCTAACCGGCCGGCCGACTTGAGGGCCCTCCGGCCAGCAACGCCGGGCCAGCCCCGACCGACGGCGGCTCCCCTGGCGCAGACGGCAGAGCGGAAGGAGCCGGAGGTGGAGGCGGAGCGCGGTGGGCGGGCGGATCTTTTGGTTTCTGGCCGAGCGGAGCGGGACGCCCTTGCCGGCCAGGGCGGAGGCTCTTCGTGGCGGCTCTGCCGGGCAGCAGAATAGTCGAGGCGGCCGTTCGCTCCGGGCTTGGGATGCCGCGACGCCGGCAGGGAGTTCCCCGAGTTTCTTTGCGGCAGGCCGGCTTTGACACCCTTTTTCCTACGGCCTTGGGCTCGCAAGGCGGGCAGTGGCTGGCTGGCGTCTGGGCTAAGCATCCCCAGGTTCCCGGTCACTAAGCGGCCTCGTCCGGAAAAGACGTCCAGATGCGGCTCAGCAAAAGCCATTTTCTCCCTTTGCTTTCCTTCCGTCGGGCCCCTCGGGGCCCCTGGCAGCCCAGCCTTGGGAGAGCAGAAGGTGATCAGATCTCCGCCCAGCCAGACCTCCTGCCCATCCCTTTGCTTCTCAGCCCGGGCCACCAATCCGCACCTCTCGTGATGCTGTGAGCACCGTCTTTCCTGGCCAAAGGAGCAGATGCCAGCTGGCCGCTAGTACTCTGCTGGCCACCATTGCCTGCTGGGTTTGCAGGGAGAGGCCTGGCCTGGCAGCAGTCCCAAGGACTAAGGCTGCTCTGTAGCCCAGATGGAGAAGTTCCCCAAATGCCACACCACAGCACTTCCCCCTGGTGCCCCTGGGAGAATAGGCACCTATGTGGAACTGGAGGCCCGGAAGTTCCTTGGAAGCGTCATTGTGGTACCCTCCCCATTTTGGAGCATCTGCTGGGGGCTTCACGGTGAGTCATGTACCCCTCCTGCCACCAGAGGACTGCTAAGCCTGACCCCAGCACTGCAGACTGGGTGGCTACCCAGGAACAGGGCTTCTTCAGTAGGTTTCTTTTCCAGACTCTGGCACTCACCCTCAGTACTGCAACCTAATAAGCAGCACCCGATGCACTTGTCACCTGCCATTTCTGTTTCAACGCACAGCTGTTTTGCCACAGAGCTTTAGAATCTGGTGCAAGATTCTTCTAGCTGATCTTCACAACAACTTGGCGAAGTAGGTTCTAGCAGGGGGGACAAAGTCACCTGATTACCATGCTTGGGCTACCTTTGGGGCCTGATGCAGTCAACACAGCTAGAGGCCACTGCTTGGGGAAAGCATCCCAGATGGGGCCTCCTGCACCTTCCCTAACAATTGAGTCATGTTTCAGGCTGTGTGTGGGGGAGAGCTGAAATTGATTAATCTGAAACTGGGTTGGAATTGGTGGCCTCCCATTTAAATTATTTCAGTGCTTATGTCTGGGTCCGTCTTTGTCCAGCCCAAGCTGTTAATTCCAAGCAAGAGGGGGGAAATTGATGGTGGTCAGGGGTATGCTGGTAACAACGCCTGGTGCTTTGCCATCAGCCTAGATCAAACAGCTGTTTGGAAGGCTGAAAGGTGGCAGTTGCTCTTAAGACCCGTTTCCCAGCTGAGCTGTGCCAGAAGGGTAGGGACAGGACTCCAGCTTTTTCAGCACCTCCAAGAGGAAGGCTTACTCACTCAAATAATTCAGGAAGAGAATTGAATCCTTTGCACTTTTTCCTTTTGTTGCTGGAATTGTTCTTATGTGGCTGTGATGATTCCAACTGGTTTTTTTCTGCTCTGTCTTCCTGGCACCTTGTATTTTATGTTTGTGATTTCTGTGTCATAGAGAACTTTGGATCCGGGTCAATTTAAAATGGGAGAAAGCAAATAAACTCTGAAACTAGATGGCTGTGCTGTATTCTCTTAGCCACAAGGGGGAGTGCCTCTGGCTATGGTGCAGACCTTCCTCAGCAACAGCACTTGGATGGTGAGGGGGCACTGAGCATTTCCCCAAGTGCTTTACTCCTCCAACTCTGGGGCATTCTGGGACATTCTGCCTCTAACAAAGACAAGCTTTCTACTGCTCCTCACTGCAGGGAACCCAAGTGCTCTGGGTCAGAGGGTGGGTGATGCGCCCCAGAGAAGAGTCTGCCTCCAAATCCATATTGGGATCGGAGAATCAAGTTGGGGCCCAGATACCTTGTGCAGGATGGGGGATCATCCATCCCCAGTCTGCCTCTTTCATAAGGGCGCCTTCTTTGCTTGTCCCAGGAGCATCTTAGCCTCAGAGTGTGGCCCTCCGTAATCTGTCAGCCAGCAGAGAAGAGAGGGTGCCCTGCTGATGATAGACACGGCTCTGGGACCGCTGGCCACCCCAGCCAGTCCCTGGCTTTGGTACCCTTAGTTGTGGGCCCGCCTGACCCCCTTTGTTGCATTCAGAGCGTCTTTGGCCTACTCTTTTACTCCGGTTTGGAAAGGAAGCAAAGCGAGGTCCTGGCAAAGAGACTGAGACATGCTTTCAGAAAAGAGATCGACTCTAAGAAAAATTGCGGTCATGCTGTAGACTGGGGGAAGATGGTGAGGTAAATAGGAGCTGCATCTCATGTTGATGATTGCCAGGCCAGGGATGCGCTCAGCTCAGCTACCAGTAAGCCCCTTGGCAGGATTGGGGCACTGTTTGTCTTGTTCTGACATCCCTTCCTATGAGGCAAAGAGGAAGAGATGTCAAAAGGAAAACCACGCTCATTGATCTTCACTCTTGGGAACTGCAAACGTGCAAAATGGGAATTTCAGTCAAGCTGGATCAGTTCAGTTCAAAGGTGTGGAAGGAGCGGCCCTTTGACTTCTTGACCCTCCAACCTCTCTTGCAGGCTGGGGCCGATTCTCAGCATGCTATCCATGTGTTCTTTGGTCTTGGCTAGCAGTGTGTGATCACCACTGCTGCAACTGTCTCGACTACAGCTAACGTTCAGACTCTGCCGCCGGGACTAACCCGGTCACTTGAGCATGTGTTGCCCTGGCTAGATCCAATGCTGTTGCTGTTTCCCACGGGCTCAGACTGAATCCAAGAGTACTCCAGATGCAGGTTCATCTCCCATTCAGACCCATAGCCCAGCCTTCCTTTCCTTGCTGTATCTTCCCTGGATGAGCACTTCAGGAAGGAAGAGGCACCAGTGCTGGCCAGAGCCAGTTCCCCCATCAGCTTTTCAAATGACCAAGACCACGCTCTTCTGCCTCCATGGGCCGGATGTCCTCCCCCAGGTCAGCACTAAGCCTAAAACTGCACCTGGCCATAATGGTGACACTTGGGCTTTGCTTCACATTCACCAATTGGACAAAGTATACGGCATAAAAACCAGTCAGAATGGTGGGAGTTGGTGGGCTGTGTCTTCCCACAGCAGTGACATAGTTTGCATTGGTTAGCTGGTCGTGTAAATGTTAATTAAGGTGCTAGGTCATACAAGCTAGAAGGAAGCTTAATTCACCTTGGCTGTGTTTTGTGAGTCTGGCCAGAAGGTGTTTTTGGTCACTTCTTCACGGGGGTGGGTGGGGAGGTGACAGTGAAAGGCTGAGCGGTGAGCATTCCATAGCAGCCGCAGTCAAGTTGGACCCCTGTGGCCAGCTCCATCCACTGTGTTGTGGCCAGAGCACAAGACCGCCAGGCTGAAGAGGCCCAGGTAATCCCTCAGCAAGAAGGGTGGCCCCAGGACAGGCATTGCTCGATGCATCAAGGGCCAGCCACCAGCAAGCAGGTAGAGTGTAGCCAGGCTTCTCCAGCCCTTGCCTCGAGTGGCTGGCCTTGGGCAGTGCTTGGATGCTACTCCAGGGTTTGATTTGCCCGGCACAATCCCATCGGTGGGGCTTGCCTTGGCCCACCTCCTTAAACCGTTGTTTGAATAAAATGTCCCCTATTGCAAGCTCCAGTCAAGGCAGACCTCTGGCCCACCTCCAGTCAGCTGTGTGGGGCTATCCCAGCATCCCTACTTGGCCAAAGTAAGGCTTCCACTGGGGCACCTGGGCTGGCTCTGCAAGCCCCGGCCTCACCTGTGCCACAGCCTTAGGTGCTGAACCAGGCAGCCCCCAAGTCAGTCGGGGAGCACCAAAGTATCCCCCCTAACCGCCCACCCGCATTTCTCGCCGGTTCCTCCTGGAGATGCCTGCTCTGGCAGCTGCTCTGGGGAGCAAGGCCGCTAGCCCATTCTGGCGGGAAGAGGCCGGGCTCTTCCTCCTCCCCTCCGGAACAGATGGCCCTTAGGAAGGCCGCAGGGGCTCAGTCCCTTCACCCCCCTCGCAGGCTCCCACCTGGGAAGGGGCCGTTCCTCGCCCCTTCCAGGCCGCCAAGAGCCCCGGACCGCCCGCTGCGAGTTCCGAGCGCCGGTCAGCGCAGCGCTCGGGCTGGGTCTTCCCTCGGCGGGTATGCCGGCCGGCACTGCTGCTCCGGGCGGCAGGCGGGAGGGCGGCGCGGCAGCCGCGGCGAATCGCCCTTTGTTTACATGGGCCGGTGGCTGGCGGAGGCGGCGCCGGCGGAGGGAGGGAGGGAGGGAGGCGGGCGGGCGGGAGGGAGGGAGGCAGCGCTGCGCTCGCCCAGCTGTTTCCCGCCTTGAGCAGACACGCGCAGGGCCAGAGCCGGAGACGCACCGCGGGACCGGCGGACGCGTGCTCGCCCGCCGCCCGCCCGCCCCTCGCGCTCGCCGCCGCCGCCGCCGCCCCGCGCCGGCCCCGATCCCGGCCGGGCATGGAGTACTTCGTGGTGCCCGCGCAGAAGGTGCCCCCGCTGCAGCACTTCAGGAAGACCGAGAAGGAGGTGATCGGCGGGCTGTGCAGGTGGGTGCGCGCGCCGGGCTGCGGCGCCGGGCCGCCGCGGAGCGCGGGAGGGACGGGGATGGCGGCGGCCGAGCACGTGGGTCTCTTTGCTGGAGCGCGGCGGGCAGCGACGTTCTGGCCCGGGCGGCCCCGGAGGGAGCGGGGACGGGCGGCGGGGCGCGACGGGCCCCGCATCGCCCCGACCCCCGCCAGTCCTCGCGCCCCGCCGGGCCTCTCCCAGCCCGCCGCGTGTTTACTGGCAGCGCGGCGGCCGGGCCTGGCCGTGACTGTGCAGCCTCCGAAGGGGCGGGCCTTGCCGCCGCGGGCTGCCGGGACATGTAGTGCCGGGCTCGGCCGGCCACGCCGCGCCGCCGCCGACTCTCACAAAGGCTGCCCGCCGTCGCACGTGCCGGCCGGGGTGCCGCTCTTTGTGCGCAGCAGCCCGCCGGGCGGTGAGGGTAGAACGGGCGCGGCGACGCGGCCCCCCTCGGTGTGTCCGCCCCCCGCCAGCTGGGCTGGAAGGCGGCCTCCACGTGGGGCGCTGCGCGGGGCCGGGCGGGCCGCGGGCGCCTCTCCGGGCCGTCCCGGGAGCGGCTTTTCCCCGCTTCTGCTCGCCGGGGCCCGGAGGCCGCCCCTCCCATCCCCGCCGGCATTCGGGGCGGCCCTTTCCCGTGAGGGCCCCGAGGTGCCCGCTGGCTCTTCCGCGCAGGCAGCGGAAGCGCGCGGTAGGTGCCCCGGTGCTGCACCGTGCTAGGCAACACTACGGCCAAGTAGCCGGGCCTCCTTTTCCGTTGTGCAAAAGCCCACTGATGCGTCGAGGGGCCCCCCAGCTCCCATCTTCTCGCCTGGGTGGTTGTGGGGGAAGTTCGGGGCGAATTGGGCCCCTCTGGCTTTCCTTAGTGTGGAAATGCTGTTTTACTTGCGCTGCAGTAAATGTAACCGCTCGCAAGACATTTTAGCTTGACAGGAGGGTCACGTGTGGCCTGGAAACGGTGAAAGACACAACATGGGTTGGAAGATGCTTAAGCACAGCAATTTGTTGAGGTTCTTTGAAAGCCCCATGATGACAACGAACTGACAGCAGGCACCAGCGCACCCCACTTCTCTGAAAGGGCCTCTGGGTTATTTCGAGGCTTGAGCCGCCCTTTGGCCAGCAGTGAAGAGCACCCGTAAAGCCCCCTGAAATGGAGCTGCCCTGTGGGCCTCCCTGAGGGAGGGGTCTGCTCCTCCCTGGATTGCAGGGCATCTCTGAAGCAGCTACCAGAGAGAACCTTCCTGAGCACCACAGACCGGTGTGCCGTGGAGCTGCGGGGCTGGACTCTGCACGACGAAGGAATCCTAAGGAGGGAGTTAGGAGTGGCCAAGAGGGGCTGTAGGGCAGGCGGCTCTAGCCGGAACACACTGCTGGGCACTAGGGCTGGCCACTGGCTTGGGGAGCTTTGAGGGTCCCGTCTCTAACCTGTGCTCACCTGCTGCAGCCTGGCCAACATCCCCCTGACCCCAGAGACGCAGAGGGACCAGGAGCGACGGATACGCAGGGAGATCGCCAACAGCAATGAGCGAAGGCGCATGCAGAGCATCAATGCAGGATTTCAGTCCCTGAAAACTCTCATCCCACACACAGACGGGGAGAAGCTCAGCAAGGTGAGAAGCTAAATCTCCCCACTGATTGGAGGCCGCCAGCAAAGCCGCAGTGGTGGGGTCGGCAGGGGGTCAAGCAAGTCCTTGCCAGGCCCTGATGGCGGGTGGAGGCCCACTCACCAGGATTGGGGAGCAAAGGCCTTGGGGCATCGTGGGGGGTGGGGTGGTGGTGGGCTGAGGAACCTCCACGGGTTGAATGCTGCAGCTGAAAGGGAGGACCCAGGGGAGAAAGGGGATGGGGGCTGCTCCCTGAGGAACAATGGGGTGCAGCCAGCTGCTGAAAGCCATGGCAATACGTAGAGCCTCGGGGAGCAGAGCACAGCATGGGAGGGGTTTCCCTGGGGGAAGCTGGTTGATTAGGGAAGAAAGGGGCTGGCTGCCTTGGGGGAGAGGGGTGCCAGGTCTGCACCCTCTGGAGTTCCCTGCTTGTCTCTTCTTTGGTCAGGCAGCAATCCTCCAGCAGACGGCGGAGTATATCTTTTCTCTGGAGCAGGAGAAGACGCGGCTGCTGCAGCAGAACGCTCAGCTCAAGCGCTTCATCCAGGTGGGTGCCATGGAGACCTTGGTTGGGAGGAGCGCTCTTCTCCCTGTGGTCCTTGCGCACCCCCCCCCTTCAATCTGGGCCTTCTTGGCAGGAGTTTAGCGGATCCTCCCCAAAGCGGCGGCGAGCAGAGGACAAGGACGAAGGCATAGGGTCACCAGACATCTGGGAGGACGAGAAGGCTGAGGACCTGCGCCGGGAGATGATCGAGCTCAGGCAGCAACTGGACAAGGAGCGCTCGGTCCGGATGATGCTGGAGGAGCAGGTGTGCCCTGCGGGTCTGGAGGCTGGATCACAGGGGAGTTTCTGGGCAATGTACCAGCAAAAAGACGCCCCCGGGGGCCAGGGCGAGCAGCCGCCCCTTCTGCGCACAAAGCCTCCCTTGCCTATTGTGGAGAGTGACCGAGTCTTTCTCTGGCTGGCTGGTAGGTACGCTCCTTGGAGGCCCACTTGTACCCAGAGAAGTTGAAGGTGATTGCCCAACAGGTGCAGCTCCAGCAGCAGGAACAGGTGAGGCCACAGACCCAGGGACACATGAGCAGCAGTGCTCGCTCCCGGCCTTTTGCAAACAGGGTTGCGCCATTTTTGGGCCATGGACAACAGGAAGCTGCAGCACTGACCAGTCCCCAGCAGACACGTTGGGGAGGGTAGCCTATCTTGGGTTAGGAAAACAAAATTTGGGTACCCAGCTAAGATGGCTATGCCCAAAAGCACGCCTCACTGAAGAGCTGAGGGTGGCTACGGCACCCGTCTTGTTGGTTCAGAAGCATCTATGGAGGCTTCTGCCCCCTCTCCATTCACACGTACCTCTAGGTTTTTGTGGCCCTGGAAAGGGGAGGCTTCATCCTTGGGGCTCCAGGTGTGGCTCAGGGCTTCTGCGGTCAGGTGTTAAGGAGAACGGCTGGAAAGAGAGGGCTCTCAGATCCACCAGGGGACGACAGGGTCTGAGTTGTCCGAGGGCCTTCCGGCTGCTGCCTCCCCATGTCTCTGCCTCAGGCCCAGGGTGGCCTTCTGGTACGGGAGCCCCACTGTTCCGTGCAGTTGGTGTGATGTGCCAGGTGTCCTTCTCTCCTCTCACCAGCTCCTGCCTGCTCATGGCCCCCCAGCACCCACCCAGCACCCAACGGTGATTGTGCCTGCACCACCTCTGCCTTCACACCATGTCACCGTGGTAACCATGGGGCCCTCCTCAGTGATCAACACTATCTCAACATCCAGGCAGAACCTGGACACAATTGTTCAGGTGAGAGCAGGACGCAGCAGTTCCTGACCTGCAGAAAGGAAAGGGGGACTTGGCCTCCTTCAGAGAGGCTGGGAAGTGGGCCCCTCCATGGAACAGGTCCCGGCAGATGCCCCCACGAGTAGCTACCAGCCTCACTGTGCAGTTCTGCTGCGCTCCCTGAGAACAGCGCCCCTGGTTTCATCTCCCCTCTTCGCCTGGCTACACTTGAGCCCCTTGGAGGAGAGGAGGCCCTCCAGGGAAATTCCCTTTGAAGCTGGCATCCGCCCCAGTGGCAGCTCAGGGCCAGGCCCTTGCCTGTCTCGTTCAGAATCTGCAGCCTCCTGACCAGTCCTGGCACACCATTTTGTCCCTGATGGGTTCCTCCAAGCTGGGTAGAAAAATGGGCGCTGTCCTCTTGGCCTCTGCAGGGCCCAGACACGTCCACCAAAAAAAGGTACTTGGCTTGCCCCAAGCAGCAGGCAGCCAATCCCAGGGCAGGAAGGGCCCAGCAGAAGGCTGTCGATCAGTCTCTGGGCAGGGAGCCCACTGGCATTTACTGTGTCGTCTTCCCCCAGGCGATCCAGCACATTGAGGGGACTCAGGAAAAACAGCTGCTGGAGGAGGAAGAGCAGCGCCGGGGTGCAGTCATTGTAACCCCTGCCCGGGCCAGCCTGGACCCCTCGAACTCAGATACGGCCTCTGACCTGGAGGCGGAGGACAACGATTCCATGGGACACAGCAAGGCCGGGATGCCCTGACCTCTGCCTGGCAGCGGGAGGGTGAGCAGGGTGGGGGCGAGGGGACTTCAGGAAATGTGCTGAAATTTTTACAAAATACCACAACATTTGGGTCTATTTTGTGACCTTCCAATACTGTAAGTGAGAGCATTAGGACGGGGATGAGCTGGACATCGGGCTCTCCAGCTTGAAGCAGCTGGGGAAGAGTTGGCAAGCTGCAAGCGGCCAGGCTCCTCCAGGACATAGCTGGGCAGACTCCCGGCTTAAAGGATGGATTTTCTCTGGCACCTCCGGCCGTAAGAGGTGTTCCCAGGGGCCTTGTCCCTCTTCGGCCTTGCTCCTGGCCCTTGGAGGGGTGAAGGGCTCACCGAGGCCTTCTAAAAGCTCCAGGGAGAAGGCTAGTGGTGGTAGGCCTCAGGCTTGTCTCTGCCTCACTGGTCCTCCTTGCACACCTCTTGGTGCAGGGAGACCCCTGGGGCCCTTCCATTCAGGGGGGCTGGTTCAGGCTTGGGGCCTTTTCAGAGCCTGGGAGAGAGCATTGATCCCAGCCTCTCCTCTGGGTGGTTTCGTTCTTGGAAGCACTTAAATCCGTTCCATGGGTTGACTGGGTCCGCGAAGAGCGGTCCTGCTCCGTGGGGGTTGCTGTCGTTGCATTCTGTGCCTCCCCGTCTCTCTCCCCCCCCCCCGCCCATTTGGACAGAGATCTTGGCCAGGGCTTTTTTGTGCTGGTTGCTTTTAATAGGTTCCCCCCAGCCACAGCTGTTCCTTTGTTTTCATATTTTTATATGGGTTTTTTTTTGTTCTTTTTTTTTTACAAGTTTTGAGTCTTTGTGTTCATTGAGATGCTATTATATTTTGTTAAGAAAGTGGAAAAAATGAGGCTTGTGCCTTTGTAAAGAAACAAAATAAAGTTTGTACTTTGTTTTTTATATGTCTTGTTTAGTCTTTGGCTAATGTTGGGGGACAGAGGCAAGAAATTTGTGGGAAGGACTTCAACTATGTGTACCAGAAGAGGAATAAGGTTCACTATAAGCAAAGGTTGCTGTTCCCAGGCCAGGAACTGCATGAGGAGGGGGCCATGGACTGACCCACCCACCCTTCTCCATGTTCTGGAATTCAGTTCCTAGCTCCTGCCTTCTCTTGCTTGCAGTTTCTGTGTTGCCCAGCAGAGGGAGCTTGTGCTTGCCCCTCCCCTTTGTGCACCAAGAGGATGGTGGCAGGATGGGTTTTGCCCCCCTGGCCTAAAACGTAGTTGCATCAGGTGGCCAGGATCAGTTAATTCCTCCCCACTTTCCCTTGGGAAGGACCACTCCGGGGGTTTGGGGATGGCTGATAACACAGGTGGGGTGCAAAAGCAGAAACATGGAAGCTGCCTACTTCATGGGGTCTCTTCAATCTTTGGGGCAGCTCAGTCTCCCCCTGCTCACCCCCACCTGCCTTTTCTGCAACTCGTGCGGAAGGTTGGTTGGCAACTTTTTGGCATGAGTTGCTAGTTCCCAGATCCAGCATTATGCTGACCCCTGCAGGCATACTCTGCTGATGTCTCTTATGACAAAGCCGTGCTCTTTGTCTTGTGCCCACCAATTTGCTGTTCTTGCTCCGAAGGCTAGCAGTTTCATACACCATCCCCTTTGAGGCATTTTGCAGGCTGGGAGGGCTGCCCAGCTTCTCCATGGCCATACAGGTCACCTGAGAATGCTGTGCCAAGGTAGGACTGAGCTAATGGTTCGAGTGCTGCTCCTGAGGGCCTGGGCAGGAAGAGCTGGTCCCTGCCCCCCTTCCCCCACTGCCCGTCCTCTGGGACCTTGGCTCCGGGCTCTGCTCTGGGAAGCAGCTGCTGTAATGCCCCTCCTCTTCCATCCCCCCTTAGCGACTGCCTCTGAGGGGGGACTGACGGAGGTTGGTGGGGAGGGGCCTCCAGTAGTCCAGCACCAGCACCATCGCCTGCGTGGGCCCTGCGGCCAAGCGGCCACCTGCTTCTCCGGAGCCTGCCCTGGTATAAATAGTGCGGAAGAAGGGGAGAAGGCTCCTGGCAGCCAGCATGGCAGCGCTGAGGCTCTTCTGTTTCTGCCTGGCACCAGTTGTGCTCTTCAGGGCGGCAGGTAGGGTCCTCTGTTTCCGAAGGCCCAGAACTCATGGGGAGGGCCAACATGCCAGGCCTATGGCAGGCAACATGGGGGGTGGCAGCCTTGGGGCACCCGGAGAGGGCAGTCGTTGGGCTGAGGGGAATGAGAGGAAGAGCAGCTGGGCCGGGTGGTCTGTAGGTGCTGTGCTGGGAAGATCCTGCTCCTCTCCTCTGTGTTTGGAGACCTATTACCCCAGGGATCCCCTGTGTCTTAAGGGCCCCAGGGCTGCCCCTCCCACCGGGGTTTTCCGCTGCCTGTTCAGGGGCCCTGGGCAGAACTATGTGGCAGCCAATGCCTTCCCCTTGGGTGCCCTTGAGTTAATTTGGTTCTGCTGGCTGGGTGCTGCCTCTCAGCTGCCTCCCGGAGCTAAGTATGGAAACAGGCGTGTAACTGGAGCCCTGAAGCCTCTGGTGCCCCTCCCGCCTTCCCCGTTGCCCTCATCAGCTCAGCTGCTGCCTTCTCAAACTGTCACAGGCGCCCTGGACCAGCTGTAGCCTTTTAAGGCCATTTTTTACCATTCCCAGAACAAAAAGGAAGATGGACAAACAGGGCTGAGGGCTCCTTTCCTCCTCCTCCCTCTCTTTCCCTTTCCTTCCTTCCCAGCAGCAGGACACCCCTGCAGGTCTGGGGAACAAGGGGGTTTGGCCCTCTTTCCCAGCTTCCATGGTGGATGCCCCCAGAAGGGGCAAGGCAGAGAGGGAATCTCTCCGGACCCTGGATGGGGCACATGGTAACCAAGGGTGGCCTCTAACTGGACCGGGTGCCCTTCCTGCTCCAGAGCTGCATATCGAACTCCTGTGGGTTCCTTTTCCCATAGGAGCAGTGCAGGTCTAGTCCAATGCTGGGGGGCAGGCATTCTGTGACCTGGAAAATCATTTTTTGGATGCATGGAGCTCACAGGGCTTTAGCTGCATCCCAGTACTGGAAGCAGGTCTGAATTGATGCCACGGTCAAGCGTGCACCTGGGGAGTCCAGGAGAAAAGTGTTGTGTCTCTGAGCGAGTTCATGGGGAAGGCGAAAGGCTGCAGGACCTGGCCAGGTACTTGTTGACCAGTCACTTCCCGCCTGGCTCTCTTCAGGAGCTCCAGGCGGAGTATGAAGCACTTCTGCTGCCCCTGCTGTGCTGAGCCAATGTCGGGGTGTTTGTGTGTGTGTGTGCGCGCGCACTTGCTTTCCTTGGCAGTCTCACCAGCTGTGTGTTTCCTCTGGTTGGCGTCTGCTGGGGGGGGGGCAAGCTGGGTCTCCTCCGTAGAGGTCCTCGCTCAGCCCGGCCACTTGCCAGGGACCCTGCTTGGCTCCGGATGCCCTAAAGGAACTCCGAAAGATCTCCACACTATCTGAGCAGCAGCCGGGAGGGCCCGTGTATGTATGGGTGTGGAGATGCGGCAGCGCTTCTCACTTCAGGGCACTGGGGCTTCGCTCACCCCTTCCTATTGCGCAGCCATCCAGAACAGGCACGGGTGGGGGGCAGGAACTGGCCTCTTTGTCTCCTCGGGCGAAGGCCAGAAAAGCAGGCGTGTCTCCCTTTTTCTCCGGAGTTGTAAAAGAAAACCGGAACGGCGCTTCTCTGGCGCACCCGTCAAGCTCTTCTCAATCTGGCCACCAGAGGGCACCCTTGAGACTGGCTGGTTGGGCTGCTCGGCCGGGGCCGCTTGAGGCAGCGGGAGACTCGCGCCCCCTCCTTCCCGGGCCCCGGGGGCTCAGCTGAGGGAGGGTCCCTTGCTCAGGGGAAAGGTCCAAAGGCTCACCCTCTAGCTGTTTCTCCCTTTGGAACGACCCCCCCTCCAGGCCAGGTTGCTTGACCACGGCTGCCCTGTCCGCCATGCGATTTGCTCGGCCCTGCTTGGTGCTTGCCTTTTCCTCTGGGTTACGTCCCACCACTGGCACCCTTAAGGCTGGCCAAACTGAGGGCACCTGTGGCCCTCAGCCTGAGCAGACATGACGCTGCTTGGACTGGTGCGGTCAGCACAGATGCAGCCTTGACTTCCTTAGCCTTTCCAGGGCAGCTGGCAGACCTTTTGCTGCAGGCCAAGTGGGGGCACCTGGGACGTGCTCTCGGCTTTGTGTCTGCAGAGCTGGTTGCCCTCACCTGCCGCCTTGTCTAAGGCCTACTTGGCCCTCAGCCAAGGACCCTGCAGGTCAGGGTCCCAGGGTTCAGATACCTCAGCTCCTTTTCCAGGCCTGGTCCTAAGTGCAGATGATGTGGCCAGAAAACAGAGCTGGTCAGGGGTACCTTACATCAAGAGACAAAGGAGCCAGGGATGGTGTCCCTGGCAGAACCCAGTGGTGAAGCATGCAAGGGCCAGCTGGCTGTAATGGGCTACAGCCGCCTCTCCAGCATCATTGGGGATTTCTGGGGCAGATGTATCTCTCCCCCACCCTCCCTGGCACTTGGGAATGACTCCCCACTCATTTCAGGGACGGGAGCCTGCCCAGCCCCCAGCAGGAAGCCCCCTGCCCTACGAGAGACAGGGGCAGGCTTGTAGGTGTCCTGGCAGACTCTCCTCCCTCACCTCCTCCCCCCTCAGAGTAAGCTTTGTGGCTCCTTTCAGCCTGCCATGCCTGCAAATGTTTGTTTGCGCCAGCCGGCCGGCGGGGGTGGGAGGGAGGGAGGGAGGGAGTTTCTTGGCTCTGGCCTTCACCCAAGAGTGACTTTCCTGAGTGCCTTACCAGGGCTGGGGGGTATTTTTAGCGCAATGAGGAAGCTGCCGGTGCTAAGCTCCATACCTTTGGCCCCTTTGCCATACTGTGGCCCTCCCTCCCGGCCATCTGCAGATCAGCTTGGAGATTGCTCCAGATCAGCTTGGAGATTGCTTGCAACTTGGAGATCAGCTGCCTACTCCTGCCCTTCAGCCGCCTCCTGTAGCGCTTTGGGCTTCTCCGCTGGGTGACCAAACACCCTGTCTGGCTTTTCGGCACAAGGGCAGTGGAGCCGAGGTAGGACTGGGTCCCACTCTGGGGAAGCTCCTCAGCAGGTTGCCCAGCTAGAGAGAAAAGAGGGTTCCATTGGGAGATGGAGAAGCCATAGTCAAAAGCCACAAGTGCCCCACTTTCTTCAAGGCAGCAAAACCCTCAGCCCCCACCGGGATCTTTTCCTCCCAGGAAGCCCTGAACACGAGGACCAAGCGCCCCTTGCCTTCCCCTATTGGGCCCCTCTGGGCTTTTTAATGCATTTCAACACCACCTGGCTGTAATGCCCTTCCTCTCTGGGTTCTCATGCAGGTGATGGGATTCCTTGCAGGTAGGACGTGGCTGGGAGACTATGCCTCAAGGTGTAGCGGTTTCTGTTGGAACCATCATAGAGGGAGTCCTTGCCTGGTTTCCTTTGCTAAAGGCAAAGGGCGAGGGATAGTCGGAAGCCCAAGCAGGGCATATGAACTTCCCTCCTGGGTGACTGGCTAACCCCTCTTCAGCTGGCAAGCCTGGCTCGGAGCCCACAAAACAGCTGTGATAGTAACATCCAGTTACTATCCAGTTACTCAGTCAGTTGGCATCTCCTTTGGGGATCCCCTTCTCCAGGAGCAATGGAAGAGACTCCCCTTGGCATCTTTCTGCTTGTAGAACCCACCACTTTTACCTTCCTGATCCGCAAAGAGGCTCTTCCTGCCCTGGATTCCTTGTGTCGCTTCTGCGAGTGGGCGAAGGGTGCCACAATCAGGAGGGGGGTTCTCAAGCAGGCCCTGACACTTGAGAAGAAAGGCTGCTGCTGCTGCTGCCTAGGGGGGAGGGGGGAAATCAGTCCATTCCAGAGCTACCTTCTCTGTTTGCATGGCAGAGAAGGGGCTTTGCCAAGGTGGTTGCTC